AGCGCAGTAGGCGGCGAGTGTTCTGCGGATTCGTATCATGCCCGAGAAGATTGAATTTTGTCCGGATTTTTGCAGTCCTTAGTTGAATTTTCTCCATTATAAAACTCGTCTTTGTTCGTCTATGATCTCTAATCTCAAGCCGCTCTCGATATGAAGCAAGAGGTTAACGCTCGCTGTGCGCCACTGGTCGCCGCTTTCGAGCACAACCAGGAAATGAGGCAGAAGGAGATCGACTTCTTGTTTCAGGTGAAACACTCGTTGCAGGGACAGAGAGCTGGACTGTAGAGGACAAGGTAGAGCTGGGTTGTTCTAATAGGGAAGGCATTTTCCATCGCTGTAGGGACAGAGTAGAGGCGGGGATAGAGTAGAGGTGGGGATAGAGTAGAGGTGGGGATAGAGCAGAGGTGGGGATAGAGTAGAGGTGGGGACAGAATAGAGGTGGGGATAGAGTAGAGGCGGGGATAGAGTAGAGGTGGGGATAGAGTAGAGGTTGCTGCAGGGGAGCAGGCTGTTCTAGTCGGGGAGACGTGTTCTCTCTCTCTGAAGGGACAAAGTCAAACAGACGGGGTGTAAGCTGGAAATTGGATTAATGGCAGGCGATGCAATCGCCTAAGAGTAATCATGAATTTCACGACGACGAGGTGAATGGTTTACAACTGAGCAGACATGCACTAGTTTACAACGTTGAGACGAAGTTAGCACTTTCGTGTTTCAATTTTTTTTTCCACATTTCGTTGACTGATACTGAAAAGCGATGCAGTATGTCATGTGACTTTCAGAAGGTAAAAATTGTTTTCCATTTCGCGAAAGAGAAACTTTAAGAAATTGATTAGGTGATCTGCCATGCTGAACAGACATACGTTATTGAGGTAATAGATTCGAGCAAAGAAAGTGTCCCTGACACTTTTTAGCTGGATGCTGAACTGACCGCCTTGCGTCCTGCTACGGGAAGGCGCACTGTTGTGCCACTGGTGAGACCAAGAGGTCCTTACAGCACTAGTCCCTATAAGTGAGCAACGACGACAGACAAAGAAGCTCGGTACTAGAGAGAGCATCAACTCAGATGAGCTAGATCCTGTGAAGCCGTGGAGAGGAACAAGTCTGGTTGTTTACGCCAACAGAACCACCTCCACACACCAGTAACCCTACTGAAGAAAAGCTCTTTTGCAACTATAATAAAAGATAGACAGTAGACCATGGATCTGCAAGAATGTGCGCCTCTACCCCCTAGTCAAGAAAACCGGCCAACTGCCATAAATGAGCAGTATTTCAGGAAAAAACCATAAAAAAGTGCTCTTGTTTCTCAAAAAACTAAAACAAAGTCTTAGAAAGCAGCACACACACGACCCGATTTTTTACATACGCGTTGTAGATCGAAGTAGAGTCGTCTTCTCTTTCACCCCTGGAGTGGGTACATTCATTCATACATCTCACCCACCATGCAAAAGTACAAGTTAACTGGCTATATTTCGGAAGGCCGCTTCGGATCCGTATCGAAGGCGTGTCTCCGCGATGGACCTGATCATGAGCTTGTTGCTATTATTATGGCAAGTATGGTTGTGCGGAGTATTGCTACTGATCCGTCCTTTTCTGCTTATGCTCATTGTGCTCAAGCGTTTAAATAAGTACCGAAAGGGGCAGCTAGAGGTAATCTTCGAGATTAGAACGCTTCGGCACGATGGACTAAATCTTAACCTGGAAAAGGTGTTACCATTTATTCATCTGTTAACAAGAACTCCTCTAACAGCAAAGAAGTTTATTTCCGAGAAGCTGGCAGAAGACTTGCTGCAGGTGGCCAGATCGTGATGGAAGAGTGTGATGCCTGGACTAAGTCGATAATTCGAGAACTTCAATTTTTCTACGCGGAAGAAAATCCTGGGGAAACTTGGAAGCAGTTGGGCTTTGCAGGAAACGATGGTTATAGTGGAGGTGCTGGAGGAGGATCGATTGGAGGCATCGACACTGCTGCTACGGGATTGCTCGGAGATGCTGCTGGGTTGTTTTGTGATGCGGAGACGAAACAGGTAGAAGGCGATTTACATTGATTGAAGTGTGGGATCATCTTTGTACAAGTATTAGCAAGTAGATCTCTTCTGTACACAAAATGCAGTCAATCGACGCAGAAAGAGGTGTCCTCCTAATTTGTTCATTTTCAGACAAGAACAGCAATTAACTCGATTTTGGTAGGTTCTCGTCGAAGGAGCTCGACACGAACTCGCGTCTTTGTCCCTAGAGGAGTACTTATTGGGATCCGCGTGCAGTCCTTCGTCTCCAAATGGTCAGCATACCCGTGACGACTTAGGATTCGACACTTTTGACACCTCTAGTCCGTCTTCTGGTACCACTGGCCCTGGCGGACGAACAAGAGGTGGGGGAGGAAATAGTAGTAAAAGAAAAACTCCGACAAATCCAGTAGTTTCTTGTGGTGCTGGCGCTACTGTTGATAAGGTGTTTTTCTCTTGTTCCGCTTCCAGTAGAGGAGAACAACTGCGGTCGAGACAATACTTATGACTTGTGAAGTCTTACAACTAGTGCTAGTAGGAGCATACATCTCAAAGTTAGTACTTACAGGAAAACTTCTTCCGCGGACCCTATTTATTCTAACATCCGTCCATCCGAACATCATCCGTTTGATCGACCACTTTCGATCGGACACGCAACCTTGCCATTGTTTAGTCTACGAGTACTGTGAAGCTGACTTGGGGAAAGTCTCTGGACTCTCGGAACTGCAGGTGAAAAGGTTGACGTTGCAACTTTTGTTATGGGGAGAACTTTGGAGTTAGAAGTGAGTGCAGACTTCACCACATCCTCTTCACCACGAAGCTTTGAGTGTTTAGCGTGTGTCAGCTCTTCCTCTTTTTATCACATCGAAGTGATAAGCTGTCAGGCAACAACTAAGAAAGTTTAAGTTGCACTTTGTTATGGAGAGAACTTAGAAGTGAGTGCAGATTTCACCACATCCTCTTCACCACGAAGCTTTGTCTTCTTCACCCTCTAACACTCACCGGCTTGCAAGAATTACACGTAAACCGGAAGGTCATGCACCGGGACCTGAAGCCAGGAAATCTGCTTCTCCATAGAGATGGTCTTCTGAAGATCGCGGATTTCGGTAGCGCTTGCCGCATACCAAATACTTCGGCACCTGCTGTTGCGGCGACTGGTACAATGGCGACTGGTGGAGTAGGAGGAGGTAGCACTGGTGGAGTAGGAGGACTCTCAGGAGGACTCTCTTCCTCAAAGGTTGCCGATGAAATACTCAAGAATGCACAACAGCATAGTAGTGCTCTAGGTTCTACTCCTCTGTGTTTGATAGGGGATCATGAGCTAGAAGCCACCACGAAGAATGAACAGAGTAGTCCGACCAAAAGCACTCCTGGAGGACCAAGTTCTGCGTCGGCGTTGGACGAAGTGGCTCCCCTGTCCTGCAGCACATCATCTGACGATGGGTGCGATGTTCCCGGTTATGACGCTCGCACAGGACTTGCTGTGAATCATGGTAGAAAAGCAGAACAGGCGAATCCTGCTGTGGATAATCTGATGCTCACACGTGAAATTTGTACTCGGTGGTACAAGTCAGTGGAGCTTTTGTATGGGTCGTTCTTAAGGCACAAGTAGACAATAAAAGCTACAGAAGATGAGCAGGCACAATGACATGACACGTGTGAACTATGATCGAAAATGCTACAGAACGAACCTAGGAGTTTTCCTACGTATTCAGAGTCAATGAATTTGATTAAGAACTACAGCCGATGTGATGGTCTTTCTTTTTTCTAGTTAGGTCGGCTCCACCACAATTAAGAACTACAGCCGATGTGATGTTTAGCTTTAAGAACAGCAGATGTGTTTAGCTTTAAGAACAGCCGAGGAGTGTTAAGATCAGCCAATGAACTGTAAGAACGTTCAAACACATGCGACGGAAACACAAGCCCGCTTCTCCCATTCCACTTCTAACTCCCACCTACGACGAAAAAATCGACATTTGGGCAGTTGGGTGCATCGTTTTCGAGCTGCTCAATGACAGACCGTTGTTTAACGGCGATTGCGATATCGAACAATTGGGCAAGATATTCCACTCTTTGGGCACCGTAGACACAACAGAGTGGCCAGGCGTGCGGGATTTACCTGATTGGAACAAAATCCAGTTCTGGGACATCGATCCACCACCAAATCAGTATATTTATGAAAGGAGGTTGTTACTACTGCTGGTGTGTCCTGTTTTTGTTTATGTAATGGAACTTTCGCACGTAAAGAGGATCCACATTACATGGCATCTACTCCGTAGTGAGTACAACACTGTCTACACCTTACAACTCCGTAGTGAGTACAACACTGTCTACAACATCTTACACGCCACTTGCTAACCCTCGCAATCCAAACCCTTCTGCGAAACCTCCGGGATCGTGCGTCACTGCATCCGCTTGAATCCAGCAAAAAGAGCAGACGTTGGCAACCTCCTTCTGGACCCTTGGTTTGCAGGTGCGGTGACCGAGGATTTCCGCAAGGACGTAATACAGATCATCCGATCTACAACAGCAAAGAGGTCGAAGGAGGTCATCCCAGTGAAAAAGATTCCTCAAAACGACAAAATGAGTCGACATGTCCCAGAAACTTTGCAGCTGTCGCCAGGCGAGTTCGATAACCTGTTTTCACCGTTGTCGTCAAGTGGAGGTGGGATGCATGGTCTGGATGTGGATAAGCCATTCGAAGATGACGTGGGAGAAACGGGTCGTGGATACTATGTGGAGTTATGGTTGTCGTAGGCTTTGTCAAACACCAGGTCGTGGATACTATGTGGAGTTATGGCTGTCGTAGGCCCACATGTGGAGTTACAAAATTTCTAATTCCCCACATGCATCTTGTTGAAAATCATGGTATCGGCAGTGAGGACGGCGTTGGCATTAGCGGCGCTGACAATGACCAAAATAGCGGTGTTGACTACGACACAGAAGGAGAAGACGATGAAGAAATCACGACACCGAGTTTCCTACCTGGTCAAGCGTTGTACAATCTGGCTCAATTGAAGAAGTCGTCGGTGCCTAGGGAAGTAGGGTCACCGCATATGAACACGAAAAGCTTGAATGCTTCACAATTCAAGCTGCCTCTTGCATTAGGCGGAAGTGGTTCAGCGAAGAATACTCGAACGATGAATTCTAGTAGTACTACTGGCGGAACAGGAGCTGCTCGGGGGATGGGAGGAAGTACAACTAGGGACAGAGTTTCTGGTAGCCAATCTCTATCTGGTGATGCGGATGCGGGCGTAGGTGTACTAAGTGTATCACCTGCGTCCTCTACTCTGTCGCAGATCAAGCCTAATCCTACGGGAAGATCACCTGGTGGGATAGAGAGGGAGACTGACCCTGACGGTGGAGACGCGGGGCAGACTGAAGACGTCAGTCCACCCCCCTCTGATGCCTCTCCTTCGTTTTTCTCTAGTATCTCCGGTACATTTGGGAAGATGCGGATCGCTGGTACTGGTAATGCACGTGCTCTACGAGCAAAGGATGTGCATGATGTGCCTAGGAGGTGAAGATAGCACTTAGGGTTAGAGTTGGACGTCATTGATAGGGTTTTGGATTTTTTTCCCTCTGCAACGCAGAAAACGAGTACTGGGGAGACGTCATGATACTGATTTTCTATTTCTCCGACGCGCAAGCAAGTACACGACGCAATTGCAGCTGATGATCATAGAAGCTCAATTAGATTCTAAGAAAAGCAATTTATATAATGAGATCAGCAGTAAAGATGCTCTTCGTGAGCAGCGTTCCTCACTGAATGAACAAAGTGTTCCGAAGACAACAGCTCAGAAGAAGCGGGTCCAAGGGAGGGGACACAGGGTAGACGTTCACAAATCTTTGATGCTGATTGAGAAGTTCTTAAAGTCTTCACTTACCGCAAAAAGAAAGCTCACGACCATCAACTTCAACGATTACAATATTCAAAATGCAATGTTGATCTCCGTTTTTACGTTGAAGATAAATCATCTTTGATTCATCTCTAAACACTGCAGGTCGAGGACCTAGTGAATTGTTGTGCATCTTAATTCATTTTGTTGATACATGGGTTTGTTATAATTTCCGTCATATGCTTGCATATTCACTGCATTTGCGTTTCTAGCTTGCAATTTAACAAAAAAAAATGGCGCGTCCATCCACAATGAGCACACAAGCTGGGACAGCAGCTTCGCCTTCCACGAATGAACCCTGCACACAAGTACGACATGAGGATGAAACACAGCACAGCATTAGCGATTCGCAGACCACAAAAGCAGCATTGGAAGACGAGAGAGCCAATTCTAGTAGAAGCACATCCGATACAGAAGACGGTTGTACTCTACATGAGTCTGCTCCTGCATCACGACAGGACTCCACATTAGAAGAAGATTCAGTATCAGACAGCGACTCCAGTGCGCCAGCCTTCGACCTATTTGATGATGGTGATGCATGCAGCGACGATGAATTCGAGTTGTACACACATAAGGAGGCGTTTTTACCGGGAGGACCTAGGCTAGGTGCTGGGGAGATCGCGAAGATGAATAGGAGCTTTGCTGTTGTCTCTAGTACTTCGTTGAGAAATATAGCGCCATCGTCAACACCCTCAAGCTCGACAGCGCCAACAGTGACAGTCTCAACTTCAGCAACGACAGTCTCAGCCACAAAAGCGACAGTCTCAGCCTCAAAAGCGACAGTCCCAGCCTCAAAAGCGACAGCCTCAACTTCAGCAACGACAGCCTCGACGTCAGCAACGACAGCCTTGACTTCAGCAACGACTTCCACCTCAATAACATCGTCTTCACCCACCTCGACAACGCCATCAACATCTTCTTCCTCTTTTTCCCCACTACAAGTCATCCCGCTGTCGTTCTCCCTCTTCATCAATCCTTCACGTTCCTTCGTGTGGCCTTCTGCCAGGCTCTTGAGCGAGTTTCTACTTCACAACCCTGAGATTTGCCTCAATAAAAGCGTAATCGAACTAGGGTGTGGCTTGGGACTGCCTGCGTTCGCGGCTAGAGCTACTGGAGCATCCTCTGTGTTGGCTACTGATTTGTCGGAACGATATTTGAGAACACTAGAGCAAGTGCAGAAGTTTAACGACAAGATTACTAGTGATAGTAGTCGTAGTGCAGAAAGAGGAACAAGAGGAAGTTCTGAAGAAGGTGAAGCGATAGTTCCAACGAAAATCGAGACACAACGTGTTGATTGGTTTGACGCCTTGAAAAGTTGTTCTAGTTCCTGTTCCTTTAGAAGTAGTCTCTTCACTACCACTACCAAGAGGACCAAGAAGCATAATGATCTTCACAACAGTTCTTGTTCCGCTTTTGACGTCTGTCTCTGTGCCGACGTGAATTACAACCCTGATACTGTTGAAGCTCTACTTGCAACCGTAAGAGCAACGAAAGCAGAAGTCGTAGTTCTGATTAGTAGGGAGAAAAGAGCTGGCTTCGATGCTTTTGCGGAGAAATTGAAGAACCAAATGTTCGAACATTGTCTCTTAGATCGTGCACCGATTTCGTCCGATGTTTACCAGATCGGGAAAGTAGAGGAAGAACGGCATTCAATTTTCATGTTCTGTGGAAGGAGGAAGTAGTAGTTTTCTGACTTATTATATCGGGAGTGGGTCCTAAACCCACGTCTCGTAAATAGTATCTGAGAAGCAGCTAATCATCCGATAAATCACGAATAATGAAACCTTCACATTCGTAGTTTCTCTTTCTGTATGTCACATCTTTGCATTTCACTGGCTTACTTCTATCTGAATGACGAGGTCAGTTTTGTATTTTGTGCACAGGATTATAGAGTTGTAGAGTTCCTCTTATTCACAGCCATCATGTGGTGTAATGATATTGAAGTCATGACGTTGAACATCCGATGCATGGCCTATCAGTGATAAGTAGTTCTTGATAAGAGCAATTATATGAATGTGTGTCTAGTACCTCGTCTACCAGCAACATGGTGAATTCATTGCAGGAAGATAGCAGTATTGGAAATCATTTTCCAAAAGTGCAATATGAACACGGCAAGTAATCGTTGTCGCACGCCGCGTACCTTACCCTTAGCCCGCAGGCTTTTCTACCACGTGTCACGGATTCGTTTGTAGTCAAAATGAAAATGATGGTTTCTTGTATTTCGGTCTCTCGGTATCTACTATCGTCCATCGGTTCTTCCATCTACAATTCTGTGGCTGCAAATGTTCGCTCGATGATGCAGGTCACACTGTGGACGGCGAACCACCTCCTATCCTATCCTACAATTTAGTTGCTAGGATGATGATTGGACTTCGACTTTGCACCTCCACCATAATTCTCGGTCTCCACACGAAGAAGAAATCATCGCCGGAACACAATTAAAACTGAGGGATTAGATTGCTCCGAGTCGGATCGAAGCTTTGAGAGATGGTCCTTAGATAATTAGCACCCTTCCCCATGACCACGGCTAAAAAAACAGGATACAGCTGACCCCTACTAGATGTCAGTACAACCTACATATTACATGGTGCTTTTTTCCCAAAAAAAAATTAGAGAGCCAAAGATCTTCTACATGCACTAATGCTTGTCAGGAGCATCGTTGTAAGGAAGAAGCCAACACTAAGCGAAACATAGTTCAAAAACGTAAGCATTTACGTGCAACAAGGACCAAAAGCGACGACCGTATAACAACCCTTGTATACGGCATACTGCTTACTTTTTACCACCCAATACCAATATTAGGCAAAAACACAAAACCATGGAGCCTCTCCCGCCTCCCTGGCATGATGACAGGGAGGAGCCTCTTGTCGGAGCCGGAACTAGTGGCGATGATGAGGTCTTCCGCAGTGAGAGTAGTGCTTTTTGTTAAGTCTAGTTTTTCACTATCACCCACGCGAATCACGCCGAGTGGCGCCCCCCTTGATTTACAAGGTAAGATGAGGGGAAGGGGAAACTCACTCAACCACGCATAGTGAAAAGCTGGCGCTAATTTTGCATAGCAGAAACACAGTTGGTCTGGTCCACGGTGCAAACTCGGGTTTTGGACGTCGAGTTTCTGGAATTACAGAAGCTCCTTGGTCAAGAAGCAAAGCAGAAGAAGCTTCCAGCGCAAAATAAGGCCTTGTTGAGGGAGTTGCATTGCTTGCGGGAAATTTTATCGGAATTCCGCGATCAGAATGACTCCCTCTTACAAGCGAAGGAGCAAGAGGCGAAAACGAAGAAGAGCTTGTTGGATACACCGCAGAGAGGGTTGGTGACGGATAGGTATAGTTTTTGATTTAAGTACAACCTCCTTTGTGATTTTGAGATGGTACTTGTCAGCCGCGCATTATCACCCTCCCTCCAATTCGATGCCAGGTGCCGCAATCTTCTCGACGAACTCGGGAGTATTGCGACTACTCATGGCGTCCCTCTCGCTTCTGTGCTGCCTCAGAAGGATCCAGTAGCTTTGCGGTATGTGATGAATCACTCCGACATCGAAAATGAGAAGAGTTCTCGTCCAAGTACTGCCAGACCAACCACAGGATCTTCCAGTGGGGCTAGGTCATCAGCATCATCATCAAGGAGAATGACTGCTGTTGTAGCGAATAACAAGAGCAGTGCAGTGAAGAATTTAGCAGTAGCAGGAAGTTTTGGCGGAACAACAATGAGTGCAGCTTCTTCTAGTGGAGGAGGAAGTTTTGCAGTTGGTGCATCAGGGAACTCCACTACAGCAAGGGAGCCACACCAGAAGGATGGAATCAGTTGTAGTGATACAGGACAAACACAAAGTACTACTCCGAGAAGGAAAGAGGATGGTCATCGATCACTAGAGGAAGACCCAAATCCCCATCATAGACCACCAGATGGTACTAGTTGTAGTGCTAGAAGAACTACTTCTTCTAGTCAAGAAGATCCACATCTTCTTCCACCCGATGCAGTGAAAATAGGTCGTGACAAACTGAGTAATAATTATAGCTCATGCAGCTCTTCAACCTCTTGTTCCACGTCCTGTGCGGATGATACAGAAGCGGCTAGTGAACTAGACTCCGCATCTTGTGCAGAGTCGCACAATTCTGTCGCTATGATGCCTAGTTCATCTGGAGACAGTAGTGAGTTAGACTCCTTCCGCCCAGCTAGTGGCGCGTCCACGCGACCTAGCACCGGAATGTTTGCCTCACCTGGAAGAGGATCGATCGGAGGAGGAGGAGGAGGAGCGTGCGGAGGAGGGTCGACCTCCAGTGGTGGATCCGCATCAAGCAGTGGCGGGAAGATATTTGATGCGGTGAATGAAAAAACTAGTTGTAGTACTAGTGCTACTTGTACTAGTACTAGTTGTACGAGGGCTTCTTGTACTAGTGCTACTACCGATGTGAATGCTACCACTTCTCCCACTACTGCTGCTACCACATCTGAAGCAGGCATGCCTTCATCTGCAAGTCCTGCATCTGAAGCAGGCACTGGTAGCAGCTCTGCATCATCATCTTCTATAAATCGATTTTCCAAATGCCAGTTGCGAGAACTAGCAGTGAGTGTACGGCAAGCGTTGAGGCAGGAGCATCGAGAATTGCTGGACGCGGTGAACAGTATGCAGAAGCAGTTAGAAGACGAGCTGTCGTTTCGGGATGACACAGTGAAGCGGCTCAGGGCACACGACTCGGTCACGCTTGTAACGACGGAAAGGCTGCAGGTACAGTATTCTAGTATTTGAACTGCAAATAGGTTATTTGTATGTAGTGTGATTGATGGCTCAATCTGGTGCACAAAGACGTGATAACGATCCCTATCACCCAAGAGACTAACGTCAATCACTTCTAGTACTCTTTTCGCCCATCAACATCTCAACCTATGTATAAATCCGAATACAGGACTTCAGCAGTTCCCTTGAAGAAGCTGTCCGACTCGGGCATTTGGAGAGTCCTGTTTTTCTAGGCTTGCAAAAGCAGTCTTCGAGTCAAAGGCTGAGGTCTCTGGTCCAGGGCTTCCGACAGGCTGCAGGAAGTTGTGCAAATTTGTTTACGGGGTCTCCTAAGAACAGAAAGGCAGCACTAGCAGGCGGTGGGGATAGTGCGTCGAGTGCACCGCTGAGTGGGAGCAGTAGGCATAGCCATAGTAATGCTGCAAGCCCAAGTAGAAAGGGTCAAGATGCTGATCCAAAACAAGGTCACACTGGCGATGGTACTGCTAGTAGTGCTACAACAAAACACAACCTTTCTACAACTGCCAACGCCAAAACAGCTACCGCAAGTAGTAGAAAAGACCCTGCACCATCACCAGATTCTTTGACAGAGATTCTAGCCCGGTCAGCAGGAGTAGACCCAGGGATGGAAAGTATGTTTTTCGGCTAGTATTGACTAGTATTCATTATTAAATACTCTTACTCTTTGAAAAATGTCAATTTGTTGCTCATCTATGATGAATGGTATCTCTTGCTCTTGCTCACCTATGATGAATGGTATGAATATTGCTCACAATTGCTCTGTAATTACTCTTTGACTCGATCTTCCGTACGCATTTGGAGATCCGATTCAAGAACGCAATAGATGGATCGTATCCACTACAGTACGACTAACGCTTGACAAAGCCGTCGTTGTCAAAAAAAAACCTTCGTGGGGTTCGAGTATGCCCTACTGTTGTGTCGACTGTTCAGCGAGTCTGTGTAGCCCGCTTCCTATGTCGAGGATCCTGATGAAAGCCGCTTCCTATGTCGAGGATGAGTTAGCACGGATCTTCATGGTGTGAGAATCTGAATCTCTGTGGTAGTCGGTATCAAAAAACGATAGGGCAATTTTGAGTACTCTTATATATAGGCTTTTTTGAAATCGTCCTTCCAATTTTATTGTTGTGTCATCGTCTTTATCTACAGGGGATTTGTGTTGAGGCTATTTTGTATATGGTGATCATTTGCTGTTTTGAAGTCTGATTATCTCGGCTCTCTTTTGGCGTTATCATTTTGTTTTGTTGAGCAACACGATGTGTTTGTCCTCTTTGAACATGAAGATGAACTTCTAAGCAGTACATCTACGTACAGCACACCAAAGTATCCAACACAAACGAAGAAAATGCAGCCTCCTTCAGGCAGCCCTGGAGACGTCTCCCAGCGCCACGATGGCGTTAATATGTCTCAACGAAACCCTAGGAGACAGCGTAGCCACTCCCGAGACCGAAATCGTGTGCGTAGTTCTCCTCAGGGCTCACCTAGACACCAATATAATAGAGTAGACCAAGGTGGATATGGCACTCACCGGGACCATCGCAGTGGCAACAACAACCACTCATCATGGAACAAAGGAAGTGGTGGATATAGAAATGATAAGAACGGTGGTGGAAAGAGTTACAATCACAATCAAAATCAAGTAGGCGGCGGAGGAGGACATGGACATGGGCATGGGCATTCATCGTCGGGTGGTGGTTCAGCAGCCACTGCCTCAGCAACCTTCGGATATGGGAAAATGCAACATCGTGACAACAATTATAGCAACAGGCATCCGAATTCCGCAAGAGGAGGCGAGCATAGCCACTCCAATAAAGGCACTAGTGGAGGATACAACAACGAAAAAGGAGGTGGTTACAAGAGTAGAGGAAACCAAAGGGATAATAGGTACAATCAAGTACCTGTTGACTATGGCCCCGCACAACCTGGCGCGGCTCCACCAGCGAGTTACTCGGGGCAAGGGCAAGCCCCGCAGAATTTTTATGGCTGATGGGTTCATGAAGATCAAATTGATACTTAGGAAGTGGTCTACTAGTGATCCTTGCCATCTGATGGAAATATGCCTTGCCTTTTCGACTCGCAAACTCAGTTATTACCAATTGATTTACTACTAGTTGTTCAGACATAATGCATTTTTGTTTTTCATTGCTTCACGTCTTCAAAATAATTGTAAGATGGACTTCAAATTCAATTATTGTTGTTCTAATTTTCCCTGAGTTCCCGGCACAATTCGCGGAATGGAGTGGAGCAGTCGAGTCCTAGTTCTTCCTCTGGCGAGTTCCAGTATGGAGGTAGCCGCTCTTTAGCTTCTTCCCCAGGCAGTGGCGGAGGACCTCAACTGGGCAACATTCCACCAGGCAGCACAGTGATTCCAATAATAGCATCTAGTGGAACTTCTGTGATTCCTCACCAGCGAGCTTTTGGTGGGCATGGTTTAGAAGTGATAGGATCTTCTTCCGGTCGTGTCACAGGAGCCACGACCGTCACTCCTCCTCCCAACACAAGTGCTACAATTAAGGCTTCCCCTAATAAATCCGTCTTCGGAAGCATCTTCGAGACGTTTGCAAGGGGCAAACGGTCTCCAGGTGGGCTTCGGTACAGGGTCACTATCTGAATGACCCGGTAAAGGGTCACTATCTGAATCACCAACGCGAAGAGGAACAGGAATAAACTCTTCATCTCTAATACAAACGGCAACGATGCTGGCCCCGAAACAGGCGCGCCTAGGATAGACCCTGGTAACGTGACAGAAGAAGTGTTGAGGAATGACTACTGTCAATTAAGGCTATAATCTTGACGGGGGGAGCTTCTTGGAGGGGGTCGCTATCCTATTGATTACAACTGTAAAAATAGTGCTTTATTGATTTTTATCACGAAATACTAAAGCCCTCAAGTTGAGGGGGATGAAGCCCTCAAGGGGGAATTCGCCATCACGGGTCGACAACTACTTCAAACTGCGACCCCCCCCTTCCATGAGTACATGTAAAAAAAGACAGACTGGCGCTCAGGTAGTGCATATAAAAGAAATCGAAACCCTGCTTCCATTACCTTACCCCCCTGCCATTACCAAGCGCTAAGTCAAGTGTTTGTGGATACGACCTTGCGACCACAAAATTTCATCCACGACATGGACCTGAGCAGTCGGTACGAGGATTACCGGAAATTGGAGAGAGTAGTCAAGCTGAAGGACGAGATTATTAGAAGTACTATCCTTTTAGGACTTGTTTGGTCAAGCTCAAGGACGAGATTATTAGAAGTACTATCCCTTTAGGACTTGATTGCGCTTTATTATAACTGATTCCAACGGCTGCGTTAATTCGCTCGAGGATGCAGGTAAAACTGTGGGCGACGGACTGAATCCTAATCCTAATTCCAAGTACGTAGATGCAACTTACACACCCACTGAGTTTGGACGCGGGGTCCTTTTTCTCGGCATATCTCGTTCAATTAGACGCATACTACTTGTTACACAAAACAGATCTACTCGATCTTATCAAGACGTCTCCATATGACTAGTGCCCTCCAAAGCCAATGCAACTGTAGTACTACTCCTTTCTTCAACAAAGTAAGTAACTACTTATGATTAATATGATCTACTGTAGATTTCCTCCAAATTATAGCTACTTATAATTCCAAACCCAAACTATCAAACCAGACCGCGCCACTCCTGCGATGGGGCTTCGCTGCGACCTCAAAGACTTTTCGCTTAAAAGTTTAGACATGAGGTTTGACGTAGTTGTCATCGACCCGCCATGGAAAGAGTATTGGAGAAGAACAGGAGGTCTAGACGTGTACGGTGAAGACGTGACCCCATGGACCTTCCAGGAAATTGCATCCTTGAAGTTGGAGGTAATGACGGTTATAACTTGGTCTTTGTCGTGTTTGTGTAGACTACTTCATTTTGTGCTAAATCTGTACAACCTATGGAGGAAATTATTTTTCTGTCCTCTCTCTCTCAGTGCTCTGTGATCATGCATACCTGTGTTTTGTCTTGCTTGATTCCCGATGCCACCATTTCCACATTATTCCTTCGGTGCCCACCCACTCAACTCTCGTCTCACTCTCGCAATCTTACACACCTCTCGCAATCTTCCACACCTTGCTTTCCCAATCTTACTACACACCCCAGGACGTCATGGCCGAGCGCTGTTTCGTTTTCCTCTGGGTAGGCGAAACCCATTTGGAGGAAGGCCGAGCCCTGTTCAATAAGTGGAATTTGAGGAGGATTGAGGATATTTGCTGGGTGAAGACGAACCGGACATGGAAGGACTGTAACCCTGAAGTTAAGGGTTCTTACCACAATGTAAATTCTTCACTACTGTCGCATTGACGTTTTTTCCAGTAGGGAAAGGGTCAGGGATGATCTGAAGAATGCAATGTCGCAACCTCTAATGAAGAGTACGTGGACAGGCGAAACACCAACTTCCTGGACAACGACAGCTATTTTGTTCGGACCAAAGAGCATTGCTTGATGGGGATACGGGGTAATGACTTGTATATTTTCGTAGATTTTGGCTTTTTGGTGTGAATGATGTAGATGTTTTGCATTTATTTAGTTATTGTGGAACTTTTTTGACTATCTAAGGTTTACCCGCTTATTTGAGTTGTAGAGATGAAGAGATGCCGGGCTGCACTGCAATTCAATTCATCTCAGCCCTCTGAGCTTGCTTTGGTAGACGAGATCACACACTCGCTAGAAAATCTTCTTTTCTCTGTCCTTCAGGCACCGTTCGTCGCTCCGTGGACACGAATTTCATCCATGCGAACATCGATACCGATGTGATTATTGGGGAAGAGCCTGAATCTTTTGGCTCCACCGAAAAGCCGGCAGAGCTCTACGAGATTATAGAGCATTTTTGCCTCGGCAGACGCCGGCTCGAACTTTTCGGCTGTGACGGCAACTTGAGAGATGGTTGGGTCACTCTGGGTCGCGATATTACCACTTCCACCTGGGGAGCCAAGACGTATGCGTCGTTTTTTGAGGGGAACGAACACACTGAGCAGTGGCCAAAATGCCGCAACTTTCGTGGAGGACGCTTACTGGGCTCAGATCCTGTGATAGAAGTGCTCAGACCGAAATCAGTAGAGAGGGAAAGGGAGATGCAGAAAGTGCTCAAGGAGGAGGAAACGAAAGTTATGTTGTGCGACATCACAGTGATGTAGCCATTTGTCTTCTGATACAACTGTACAAATATTAGGGTCGTCCTTTGCAGCAACATGAGCATGATACGTAGCACCTTCATAAGAACTAGTACCTCGTCCATAAGAGCTAGTACCTCGTCCATAAGAGCTACCTCCATAAGAGAAAGTAAGAAGGAGAGAAGTAGAAAAGATCGTCTCGACCCTGTTCTAATTGCAACGAGAAGCAGCGCTTGCAGCGAGAACAAGAGGAGGACGGAGAGCGTATCTTGGCTGAGGATGCTGGAGAGCAGGGGGATCAGTTCGTGGATGCTCTCGACAATCTGCAGGACATCCCAGAGAACCTAGACGAAATCGTGACGAGAATGGCCAGTACGGTGGTGTTGCCCGGTGAACAGGTGAACGTCGAGGAAGGGACTGGAGCTACTAAAGCAACATCTTCAAGTTCGACTAGTAAGCCAAATGCAGAAGTTCTTATTTTTACTAGTAGTACTAGCAAAAACCCTGGTGCAAAAATGACAACAATTTCTTCCTCTTCTGCAACTTCTACAACTTCTGCCAATCCAAGTGCAGTCCCCTCCGCACCGCCTCCTTTATTCCGGAAAGAGGACGATCCGGTTACCAGTAAGGTGTCCAAGTTGATGTCAGCAGACAGTACCACAGCTCCGCGCGGCACCGTCGCTGCGCCGAAAGCGTCTCCCGGAGGTTCAGCTGATGCGGCTTTCGCAGACATGATACACATGGGAGAGCCGGAGAGTGATGAGGATGACGACGATCATGGAAAAGGTGGAGGAAAAATGGGAGGAATAAGTAGCTATCATCAGCACAATAACAAATTTGGTCACATGAAAGATGGACATCTTTTTAAAGGAGGAGAATTTAGCTCTAAAATGGGAGGTGGAAAAGGAGGCGGACTGTATCAAGGGGAGCCATATGGGATGAAGCCTTTCGGAACCCCTGGTGGAAAGATACCCCCACTCATGATGAGCATGGACAAAAGTGGTGGGAAGATGAATCCGAATATGATGTTCCCTGGAGGCGCTATGAAAGGCTATAATCATCCACCGGGGATGTTGTATCCCGGAGGGAGCGTAGTTGGCGCGAGTGGCCCGAAAGGTTCTGGAGGTGCTAAAGATCATACGCCAGAACAAGGCTACAATGCATTCAATACTGGTGCCGCGGGAGCGCCCATAGTGCCTCCTCCTGGGTCCGCTCCTCCTGAGCACGGTCCTTCTGGACATCCTCCTGCTGCAGGCGACGCCAACCCGACCCAAGATGAAGACATGAATTCAAACCCTCCGTCGATCGGTCCCCCACCTGGAGTCGAACAATTAGCGAGTTCAACATCTTCAACTTTACAACCTGGTGGATTATCATTATTGTCGAGTGCAAAGCATGGGGTATCTGTTGTCAAGGGAGGTAGTGGAGGATCCTCAGCTAGCAGTTGTAGTAGCACTAGTGGTATTCCAGCAGGGGAAGGCATAGGAGGACCTCCAAGCGCACCTCCTGGAGTACTAGCCACTTCTAGCAGCTCTATGCCGCCTCATCACGACGGAACATCAATAGAGAGTAATAAACGGCCGCACTCTTCTAGTACCGAAGATCAACTACATACTGCTACTGGAGTAGAACAACCAGTTCCGAAGTATTCTTCAAGTGTGACAAAAATGTCCACTCCCATTATTCCTGCTTCAGTACCTCCACGCCCTCTAGGACACGAGACAGCTGCTTCACTCTCAGGCCCACCCATCAACGCTTCTCCCAACACTACCACTAGCTTGGGTGGACAGATGGAACAGCAGAACGACGGTTCCACCTCGAAAGCAGCTGCTGTCCCACCATGGAAAAGATTGAAGAAGTCGAACTCCTCAAAGGAAAGCTCCACTTCTCAAACAGCATCCTCAGCAGAGGAGACTAACATTAAGGCTCGCGATAATTCATTTCCACCTATCATTTCCCTTCGTTTTCTTCTTACCACTGCTCAGAAGAACTCCTGAAGGAAAGAATTAACGCATACATCACCAGAAGCGTACTAATAATTGATGTAGAATTACTTAAAGATGAAATGGATTGTGTAGAATTACTTAAATATGTAATTTCCGTGGTTTAACTATGAAATGAATTGTTCTTTTGTTCTCTAATATTAACTACGTCTAAGAGGTAGTACATGACATGACAACTTTTGATCTCTAAGAACAAGACTGTAGCAGCTGCAAGCTTTTTGGTACCACCATCAGCACAGAACTTGATGCCCACAGGAATGCGGCCAGTACAGCCGGGACCGGGAGGTTCCTCGAGTAGTAGTTCCTCGTTCCCCCCTCAAGGTAATATGTCGTCAAACAATAAATACGATAAGAAGGGCTCCAAATACGGCAGCGGGGGTAAGAATAAGATGATGAAGGGAGGCAAAAATAGTAAAAAAGGAGAGCGAGGAGAAGATCATTTTGGTTCTGCAGAGCATCACAAGGGTGGAGGCAAGAACCATAACTCTATGAGCAAGGACTCAATGGGCAAGGACCACACCCCTCAAGTAGTCGGAGGTTCTCTCATTCCTCAAGTAGTTGGAGGCGGCGCTCCTCCTGGACTTAGCAGTTCGTCAAGCTCAAGTTCAGCGTTCCCACTCAACCTACCACTAGGAGTCAATACGAGTGCAGGAGAGGGACTAGCATCATCAAAGCCTCCGGATGCTGTAGTAGACCCAGACGACTTAACCCCAGCAGCCAAGCGCATGTGGGATCCCAATAGTGCGAAGAAAAAAGCTGCAGGATCAGCAGGAGACCAACTGCCTTTGAAGATGCCATCACCTGATTTGATGCCACCTATAATAGAATTTTCGAGACCACCACCTCCAGGAGGAGATTTGGTCAACAGACCTCCTCCAGGAGACTTCGTCAGGCCTAATAGGTCTTCTAGAACGAGAGAAGGATATGGTGGTGACAGAGAAGGGTCAGGAAAAGGTAGTCGAGACCACCATGGAGTTGGAGGTGGGGGTAAGAGCAGAGACAATTACAATATTAATAGAAGTGGGGGTGGTCACGCTGGTCATGGTGGATATCGTGACCGCATCGACCAATACAGAGACCATGGTGCCAATCGTGGTGGTCGAGATCATCTAGATAGGGGTGGAGCTGGAGGTGACCAGCATCATGGTAGCAGCTATACTAGGTCTCATGGAGGAAAAGATGCTGGAGGTAAAAGAAATAACAAGGGCTGGGACGACAAGGGCCATCGGGACCATAGAGGAGGGGATAGACGAGACGGCGGTGGAGGGGGTAAAGACTGGTGGGGGAAAGAACAGAAGTGGTGAGGTGCTGGAGACGCTTCACTGATATCATGTCGTTTGTTTGCTGTTTCACAGCATGTTGCAGTAGTGGTGCCTTCAATATCTACCTTGTTTAAGATCAAGACTCCATGATCATAAGGAATCCCCGAAAAGACGGATCGTTGGTCAAACACGACTCCTGTAACGCTATCAATCCGACTCTGACACGACTGACGTCTCGTAGTATCAAAGCCAGACGCATTGAAGAGAAAGTGCTGCGCGACTGCTAGTACGTTTTGTTGGTGTGCTATGCATAGTGTTCTTTCTAAATCTATCTGTCATCTTCCCAAGAAGAAGAGAGCTGGACACTAAGGGAGAGAGAGAGGGCCGCGATGCACGATCGCACCCAGGTTGATAGTTTGCGGGCAATATCATGATTGCAAAAATCTACACTCTTCAGGAACGACATAGGGTCAGAGTCAGCTACGGGTACGCGCCACGAAAGTACATCTAATGATTAAAAATATCGTGATTCACTGTATAATTCCTGTTTCCGTCATTAGTGAACATGGCAACTCTGCTACTGCTTAAACGTTCTCCCAACTACTTGTACATCTACTGCTTGCCATCATCTTTACTACAAGCATCAAGATGCAGGTATTCATGCAGGTCTTCGCGTTCTTGTTTCTCCATCTGCCTGCTGTCTTAGGTCAAGCAACCTATCCTTCCGAGTTCAAGCTCGAGTATTGCACTCCAGATGGGACCTGCCATGCGAACACCTTTTCGTGTCCGCACTTTCAGATGCGGTTGTGGTCGTACTACAAGAAGAAAACTCACAGACTGCCGTTGAAAGAAGCTTGGTTTTTGATCGGCCTTCCTGGTGAATATCGAGATGAGTTGGTCAGCAGTTGCCCTGGTGGGATGCTCACGGCTGCCTTCTTGGTCGCCAAAGCATCTCTCTACTCCAATCCAGAACGAGCCGGGATGTATTTCCAGGTAGGGATTGATATGCTAGCCAATAAGCTTCCGGAGGTGCATCGCGCAGTGGCATTGGACACGTGGCCAGTCACAGAAGCCCATGACGAATACTTGGACACCCACGATGAGCTAGAAGCGGCGAAGAAGGTGAGGGCGGAAGAAGTTTTAGCAAATGCTGGTACTAGAGGAAGGATAAGTTTAAGTGCAAGTGGGGACGGAGAAATTGAGAAGAAGAGGTTGGAGGAAGGAGGTAAGACTTCAACACCTACAACAGGACCACCTGCCTCTGCACCTTCTGTAACATCAGCATCACCACCTGCAGCTGTCGACAGCACCACGAGGAGAACGACGTCTCCTACAGCACTAGCTCCTACACCCCTCGCGACAACGACAGTGCACCAAAGTTTAGATCTTGCAATAGTTCACTGTAGAGAGAGCCTGGCTTGGATAGCAAATGAACTCGTCTGGCCAGTGGACGTTCTGCGCACCCTGAGACTGTTCATCTATGAAAAATGCGACGAAAACGGTGACTTAGCGGGAACGGCGATAAAATTGGAGGAAAATTTCTACGGTAGAAGTACTGTTGGTAAGGCTCAACTTTCAATGGTTATTGGGGTTGGTCACTGAGATCGAAGAGGTGACCTCTTGAGAGAACAGGGGAAAACGAAGGCAAAAGGGGACAGCTTTGAAGGGGGTCTCTTCCGTTCAGAGTCAGTGGCCACTGTTCCCTGCTGCGCTTTAATGTTGGGAATGCAGAAACAGCACAAGAGGCCATCCAAGACACGAGCGAGAGCGATCAATCGACTGCTGCCCAGCAACAGCTTGACAGTATTCTCCATACCCGTTACAATGTCACCCTCGGTTTCGGCGCTAAGATTGGAGCACTGCATGTCCTAGGACTCCAAGACGCTAAGGATCAGGTAACGCTACGATCCGCCAGACGTGATGAGTGCTCTGCCTATAGTGCACACGTGAGCAAAATGCTGTTTAGAGATGGGAAAGCGCGAACGAGTACCTACGAAAGACAGAAATTCCTATGGGAGAATAAGGAGTTTTTAGCCGATGACATTTTGCGGTTTGCACAAAAAGAGAACCTGAATGAGCATATGATCGCACATCAGAAGGAACTGGAGGATGAGAATGTGCTGGAACAAGTTCATGCTACTGCTGTGTCTAGTGGTGCAACTTTGAAAAACGAAGGTACTGAACAACAAGTCATCGGCGATCCAGACTTGGGTGATTTCACAATATTCCTTCACGGAGACCCGATTTCGCACTGGCAACAGTTTCAGTACTCTTACCTGAACCTGATGCTTTCCGCGATGCAGCAAGGAAGACTAGATGTGCGTTTTCTGCATTTGTCGACCCCAAGACTAGTGGCAGTGCGAACACCGTGCCAAGACCAGGTGTTTCGATACGTCATGGGCAGAGGAAGGGAAGGGCTGTTGGAAACTTATTGTTGTTATGGGTCTATGTGAGTCTTGGGTCTTCTCAAATAGAGTGCTTGAGTACTCCAATAGAATTTATTGTGAGATCGACGGATATATAAGCTCTAGAATAGTTGTCTGCCTCTTCTAACACCTCGCCCAATTCCTAGTATCGAAAAAGCAGCTGATGAGCATACCAGAGTCAAGGCTGGAGAGACTTCAGCAGATCGTGGACGGCTCAATTCCTGACCTTTGTGAACGCGTCGGCCCAACCTACGAGAAATATCAGGGACAACGGTTGAGGTACTTGTACAACTACAACTGCAGCATACCTAGTTTGATAGTACCCCTGATGTTTGATATAGCCATTGAGTTTGATAGTACAACTGGTAGTTATGTTTGAAATTACAACTGGTAGTTCATCCTCAGGTGGCTATCACTTCCTGATGATCAACCTTATAACGTCTTCAAACTTAGTACTATGCACATCCTGAATTAGAATTCACGTTCACAACATCATTTTTTCCTCAGTTACTGCTACTCCCTCGAGTTCATGTGGCATGTGATATTGGGAGACCAGCCAGAAGGCGAGCCTCTTCGTAGTGACAATGCTGAGGTGCCGTTTTTCTTGCGATGGAAGGACAATGAGGAGAGCTATCCACTTTGGCGTGATCCGTTCAGTTATTACGTAATGAAAAGCGAGTTCATGAAAAAGCGGTGAGATCGGCTTCATGATGTACAACTAGGGAGTAACTATGTTGATGTAGTCGTGTGGGCACGACGTTCATGATGTACAACTAGGGAGTAACTATGTTGTTGTCGTGTGGGCATATTATCTCCGTTTGGGAATATCTAACGACACCTACGGGGACTCAAGGAAATTATAGGAAATCTAATGACTCACAAGTTAGCAAGGCATCTCTCGGAAATCTTGGTTCTTTCGTAACGTTCAAACACAATAATGCATGGACTTGCATGGTGGATACCTGGGTTTTATTTTCGCAATGACAGAATCGCAATGAATGAAACGCATACTTAGACAATTTGCGCACACCAGACGAAAGAACGCACGCAATCTCGCTACCGCGGGAGCATAGTTTTGGAAGCTCCAATACTATAGGCTAGTGTTACTTGAACGGTCCCAAATCGGTTGGATGTGCCTCTATCTAGTCTTCTTGTTTCGGTCCTGAGACGCACTGTCAGAGAGGTCGCAATGCCAAGTCGGTACTGTTATATTGTGTTTCAATGAACAAGTGGATTGTTTGAGGCTTTTGAACTGAATCGGGTGAGCTCTATCTATGCGAAGGACGAGCGCTTAGTACTTACTCGGAAATTATTTTCTTTAGGCGTGTTCAATTTCAGATAGCAACTGAGGTTTGCAGCAACGAGCCAAAGAGGAAGAGTAGTCTTGCGAGGCAAGAGAGAAGATGCTTCTGGCTTACAGTTTATGGCATGACGCGTTCGAAACGTGTAGAACTGACTGTCAGATAGTATGATGCCTCTAAATCTTGCAGCAAAAGTTCTTATCCTACCTACCATCGGATGAAGGTATATTTCCTAGGCCCTCAGCCTCTGTATAGTAAGGAAGTCTGAGTTTACAGTAACGTCACAGTATCGTAGGTTTTTTAGAGTCGCTCTTCTGCATCTTTGAAGGTAATTTTCTAGTACGTATACGTGTCTATCTTGTCCGAACGTAGACAAAAAAACATCAATCGTCGACGTAAAGCATCTTCACGGCACCAAAAACAAAATCATGGCTTTACCAACAGACGAGGGAGCCGAACTGGTCAAAATGGCAGGCTACGTGCTTGTCGGCTTCAAATCCCTTCCAGAAGGATCAGATTCAGACGCCTCTTTCGCAGCCTTGGTTGATGAGCAATTAAAATTAAGGCTTCATCCCCTAATGAATCCATCTTTATGAAAGACATCGATCCTGAGAAAGTCTGTTTTTTAGGGGAGAAGGCGTCTGGGATGCATTTCGAGATGGATTAGGGTGACCTCTAACAAAAGCCGATATCAAAACCGCAGATGGTGGCCAATGTTTGTTTGCGGGCAAGCCTTATGGTGTATACGAAACGGCTTGCACTGGACCGCCACATTGCTGCGTCTTCAAATTTGCAAGCAAAGAGGCTGCGACGGGATTTGTGACCAGTAATGTTAAGACTAGTTTATCGCTATCCCACGTGGAGTACTATGCTGAGTGGCGTCCCCCTTGATTTCAAGGGGAAACAATGGGGGACACAGGGCACCTCGCTCAACCAGGGATAGAGAACAACAGGCGCTAATAATGGGAAACTAACGGATCAAACGTTTTTGTCCCATGTGGACATGCGTTGTTTTGAAGGTCCTGAAGATTTATTCAGTGAAGGTCCAGGCAATGCCTACTGGTGCGCTTGGATTGGCGATGTCGTGGATGTTGAGAAATTGATGGAATATGTGGGGCCGTCGATGATTAAGGCGTGCTTAGATTTTGAACAACAGTAACAGTTTTAGAATCAACGCCTTCTAGTTCTATCTGAGAAATTTCAACAATGTAGGACTCGAACTCAAGAATGCTACTTGCATAGTAGCGACGCAGTACTGCTACTGCTTGTACATACTTACAAGGTAAATACCTACTGTATTATTCCTAACTACTGGATTCTTCCATCTCTAACCCCAAAGCAAGTGACGCTGGTTATCCTTGTGTACAAGACGACGGCTCTGTAGAAAAAATGACCTGGGCCATCAAGCATTTGGGCGTTTCGGACGGCTACGGCAAAACGAGGGAAATTGTTCCTGCAAAGGGGGAAGGCAAAGTGTTCATCATGCCGCATGCAACTTTATGGAAGAAATTCTTGCGTAAGCAGGCAGTCTGGCTTGTGAATTCAGTATAAAAATCTACTTATACTTCTAGTTCAGACAAAAATCCGGCGAGATCGTACGCGTTGCCCGGAGCGCATCAATACAAACAAACAAAACTCGTGGTATACTAGTGGAATCGAAATATTACATACGTGTTTGCATGTGGAGTTTCACCTGACGAACGTTGTCCTCCCGGTCTCTCTTACCTTAATACACCTGCAAAGTTCCACCTGACGAACGTTGTCCTCCCGGTCTCTCTTACCTTGATACATCTGCAAAGTTCCACCTGACGAACGTTGTCCTCCCGGTCTCTCTTACCTTAATAGTGTATTAAATACACCTTCCAGATTTGTTACAACTTGAACTTCAACATCTTCCTTTTCCGCTCCTTCTTCTACTTACAACATCTTCCATCTCCCCTACTTTCTTCATATCTCACCGACAACGCTTGTGTTGCTGTTTTAGGGCTTGGCAAGACAGGAAAACGGGTCCGCGAAACCACCGAGTACAAAAATACCTTGATCGCGCCGTATGGAGTCGAGTACACGACGGAAGAGGAATACGAAAAATTGACCCAGAAATTTATGGACGAAGTGTTAAAACGGGATTTGAGGATTATAGTGCTTTGAGCGCTTACTGTTTACATGAATGTTTACGGCTATGAAATAGACCATTAACCTCTTGCGTCCTTTGTGTTGAGGTGGACTGACTGGTGACGATCGATCTGTCTACCTGACGTGATTGAAAAGTAAAGTAGATACATAGATGACGGATTTGGGTCGTAACGTTCACGATGCGGTGCTTGTGCTTTGGTTCTTTAAGCATCTTTTACTATAGGTGACAAACAAAAATACTGGATTTGAAGTGACTTCTAGCGTAAATGAGATATCTCTGGTTTGAATGTGCATAGATGGTGTAAAAATTTAGCGTGTTTTCTCCGATACTGTACACTGATAAATCCCTGTGCTTGGTTTTTCAAGAAAGAATAAAGCTGAACGCCTGGTATTTGATGTACAAGAGTTCAAAAAAAATGCAACGAGTAATCAGTCGATGAAATATACCTGCTGTTGCTTTGGCGGCAAGTATGGACTATCTGAAGCGCAGAATAAACATGAAAATCGCGTGTGACGCTTGACTGATTTATTTCGAATACAGGGTGAAAGTGAAGCAATCCTCCGCGGCCATGGTTTACCTTTCTGTTTGACGCTAGGGGTTTGTGTTCTGCAAACGGACCAGGATGAGTATCGTTCCTCGGGTTTTGCGCTACTTCCGTGTTTAGTATTAAACGGATCGGTACTCAACTCTCCAAAGTCGTTCAATTAAATCTTTTGCCTCCTGTCGGTCTGATCTATCGGTACCACCTGATAACGAGTTGAGTTTTTGGTCGAACTGCTCGGAGAACGTTATTCGGAAATCTAAAGAATATCGTTGCTTTTTCAGTTGACAGTCGTGAGCAGTGGCACATGAGTGTTCGTTTCGTTGTGAGTGATTTCATACCCCATCTGCGGCGACAAAGTTCCCCATCATGCTCGCAGTTTTCTACACCCGATGAAGGACACTGAGATTGTCGTTTGTCTCACAAGATAGAGGGAACTGCATATCCCACCAATTGTAGTTAGCTACTTTCATCGCTATAAGGTAGTGAAAGTTGCCCATGCACTGACTATTCAGACTCTCGACTGCCTACAACTTCCCATTTTCCCGCGGTGTCATTTCCTGTTGTATGTAACCGATTGCGCCAATATCAGACACACGTGATTTTCAAGCCAGCTTCTATAACCATATTTCATCTAAACCAAGAGATTCTACTACCTACAGTTAGAAAAGTATTTCTATTGGTTTATCGTTATCCACATCATGATCTCCATCTAGAACTTCCACTCTTATAGATAGGAGAGGGGACCCCAGAAGATGGCGCAGGCTTCGGTGAGGGACGATCTGGAGACCGACCAGGTCTTCCAGGCGGCCGTGCCAATAGAGGTGAAGGAGGAGTCGAAAGAGCAGAAGGAGAAGCATGCGTTTGAAAGAAAACGATCTGGCTTGCCGCCATTGAAAGTCGATGCACCTACGGCGGGACCGGAATACAGCTCTTGCTTCTACAAAAGATCCAACTCAGGGTATTAAATTCGACCTATTTGTTTCAGCTCATGCTTCTAGAAAAGATCCAATTCAGATCAATTTGCTTGAAAGTCATAGCGCAAACAGAACTTGATCCAAGGGTTTATTCTTAACCACTTTCACAGGTATGGTTCCAAGCCACCGGAGGTTCTGCAAGGTGGAAGACATGGCCTGAGCAATAAGTTTTCACAGGCCTTGGGTACAGGCGGCATGTGGCGAAACCACGGATTGAACACGTACTATTGTGATTGATGCTTTTGCATAATTCGCTGTAGTCTGACTAGAAGCACTTTTAGATGATAACTTATCTCTGCAGCCGTCGTCAGGAGAGTTGACAACAGGGACATATGCACGCATTGCAGTTGGAATTCATTTTGTGTCCTCTTATAATATGCAATGGATGTTGTTGTTTAACATGAAGAGTAGTCTCGACATAGATCAAGTGCACTGTAATAAATGGAAGATACATGATGTGACAACGACCGTATCATGTCTACGTACTACTGTATAACTCCACCTACTAGGGCGTCCGAGCGGGGACGCTTTATGGAGAACACGACAGACTGGATGCTGAAGCTCGGATAAATTTGGCGGATTTGGACCTGTTTGCTTCACTAGGAGGAAAATGATTTACAACAACGTGAACTAAATATAATTTCGCTTATCAACAACGCAACTCAACTGATCACAAAATTTACAAGTTAGTCTGACTAAGATGATCGAAATAGCAACTGGGAAAGATTTATCGTAATTATAGTGCTGATGACAGAACAGAAGCAGGGACAGGGCGAGGAAATAAGATGTAGTAGGAAATTGAAATTCAACATTGTTTTTGTAGCAATAAAATCGACACAGGTTGGCTAGAAACGCTCACTCGTCCGTGAAGCGTCGGAGCAAAAATTAAATAGCCCTGTCCTTGAAAATATGATGATAAGATGGAAAGGATGAGGATGGTGTGTAATTAAAAACAGGATTGGAACGACTGAAAACGCTTGTGAAATAGCTTAGAACGGCAGAACTAGATTTGCTCTGCAGATTCATCAACCTCAAATAGTCAAGGATCCAACCCGCAGAGAAAATTGTGAGCGATGGAGGCCTTATGAGTGATAGATAGTGCAACACTATCAGTTAGGTTTTGTGAGTGATAGAAAGTGCAACACTATCGGTTCGGGTAGCACACTATCAGTTCGGGGGGCAGGACTGCGGGCGGGATACTTGCAAGCAGAAGAAGGTGCACGGAGTCCGAAAATTTCTGGCGGACACGAGCAAGAGGAATGATCAGCGTCTTGCACGAATGATCAACGTCTTGCACGAATGATCAACGTCTTGCCCGAGCATGAAGTATAACGAAAAAAAGAACAACGCAAGGAAAAAGGAACAACACATTAGTGCCTCCGTTTTACCTCCCCGTTCTTGTTGAGAACCTATGTTTTAGCGAAGAACTTTTTCTGCCCACCACCCTGGAGAACCACTATCCCCATGCGAAAAGAACAAGGAACATGCGACTATTAGAGGACTAGGCAGACACGTGGGCCTTGTGGGGAAGGTGAAATTGCGATTTGTGGGAAAGAAGATCCGACATATCTCTATTACTGCGAAAGGAGTAGTTCAAAGACGAACTTCAGGGTCAAGAAGAAACTGTAATCTATAACTACTCACTCCTGCTCGAACCTAAACTCCAGAACAACAAACACTCTTACCTAACTCCCACTTTAGGAAACAACCTAACCTAAGGATAAGCCACCAGTGTTGAGAAAGAGCCTGGTCACCAGTTCGTTGTGAGCAGCCACTTTGTTGTGAGAGAACTGCAAGTACTAAAAAATGGGCGGTCGTTCTGCACTTTTGCTGGCCCTCGTGGCAGGCGCTGAAGGATACCAGATCCGCCATGCGAATACGCGTATACATCATATGCTTCCTACTTTTAGATTATTTAGATTTGTTTATACAAGAACGTGTAGTTATTCCTATTTAAAGTCTTCTTGATTTGATTATTGTTCTATCCTCAAAACTTCAGTGCGTCGACCGGGAGGAAAGCCGTTCTCTTTGAAGTTCCACATCGACGATCCGCGCAAATTGTATGCTTTTTTGGATGCATGCTTTTTTGATGAGAAGTATGGAAAAGAAGTCTAAATTTTCCGGACCTTCCAGAAAAGAATTCCAGTAGAGAATTCCAATATTTCTCTCACATCCTTTCATCTCTTCAAAAATATCAGCGTCCCACGTTCTTTTCTCCACTAAAAATACAGCGTTGCACTTTTGCAGCAGCCAAATGCCACTACTCCAGCGGCTGCTGCGGCCGTCGCTACGACTACTGTTGCCGCTGTTGGAGGTGCCTCTACCACTCCGGCCGTTGCTGCTGCCAGCACTGTGGCTCCTGCTCCCGACGCTACCACTCCTGCTGCTTCTCCCGTCGCTACTACTGTTCCTGCTCCGGCTTCTGCTGATGATAAAATCAAGACACTGATTGAGGTATATACTTCTGTCCATTTTCAGACGAAACCCTATCTTCTTATCAACACTGTACTCTGTTTTGCCGCACACATGCATCTATAGAATCAGTTATGGCACCTAAATCTAAACTTTTCCAGACCTCTACGTCCCCTGCTTTTAAAAACCACATGTCCTCACTTCCACCTGAAAAAACTCAAAAATTAGAATACCACCACAACGGTTATGAAGTGTTTTACTTTTGCCACAAAACCCATCTCTTCAGGATACGACTACGACGGTTATCAAGTGCTTCTTTTCCAAGGGTAGCTATGTATCCACCGACACCGATGCAGACTGCTCTAGCGTGGATGTTGTTTTATGACCCCCTGAGAATAAATAAATACTAAAATGATCATCACGAGAGGTAAAAACCAAGTACCTTCATCTCTCCATGATGAAGATTATCGCTCTATTAGTATGTTCTTGCGTATGAAGTGCCTTTCTGGCAGCCCCTTTCCAGCAGAGTTGTGGGACGCCGTCCTGTGTAGTACACCTTGTAGTACTATTTCTAGCAGAAGTCCTATGTTGCGTAGTACATCACCTTGTAGGACACCTCCCTTGGGAAAACTTGTCCCCCAACAAACCCCTACCCCAACGACCCCACACCGCCACCAATCCCCCTACGAAGCGCTAATACCAGTTGCAATGGTACCGATGGATCCATCCACCGGTCAGAAGGGTTACCAAATCACCGCCACCGTCACTGGTTTCGGAATTCCATCGGAATTGTACTATTCTTGCTTAGTGGAGGATTTTTTTTTTGAATGGTTCCGATATTTGGTAACCTGAATTTGAATCATAAGGATTTGCACTTTTCTTGAATGACCTTACCGCTACGACTACAGATCAACAGATGTAGGTGCAACGCATCAATCAAGTTGGTTTCTGAATGTAGCGTTTAAGTTTTACTAGAGAGCAACATCAACAGGTCTGTGATTGTATTTTCTCTCTTTGGTATTATAGATGACTCTCTAAATCCAAATGTGCAGGTTCAGCGACGATAGCATGTTGAAATTGCAGACCACTTTGCAAGGTGCACTGCGCGCAAAGGATGAACTGCAGTCGACCAATGTCTCCGCTATCACCCCAGCTGGAACAGGTACTACTACCACTACTACTACTTCCACTACTACTACTTCCGATGATGTACTCAATCGTAGGCACACACCGACTCTGGACGAAAGAAAACGGGACTTTTATCTAATGAAAAAGACTAAAACTTCTAATTTTTGATCGAGAAAAATCTCAACGAAAATCTCGGAAATATTTTTACCACACAGATGATTCCAGCGCTACCACTGGGCCACCGGCAGCACCAGCTGGGACGACCCCTGCGGCTGCGGCTGCTGCTGCGGCTGGGAGTGTACCAACGACAGTTGCACCGGCAGCGGGCGGAGCAGCGTCAGGTGCACCGGCAGCGGCCGGAGCAACGTCAGGTGCACCGGCAGCGGCCGGAGCAACGTCAGGTGCACCGGCAGCGGCAGGAGCAACGTCAGGTGCACCGGCAGCGGCCGGAGCAACGTCAGGTGCACCGGCAGCGGCAGGAGCAACGTCAGGTGCACCGGCAGCGGCCGGAGCAACGTCAGGTGCACCGGCAGCGGCCGGAGCAACGTCAGGTGCACCGGCAGCGGCCGGAGCAACGTCAGCTGCACCGGCAGCGGGCGGACCAACGACAGCCGCCTCGGCATCGCCATAAATGCGGTAGAAGAAACTGGTGGCGGGATGATGTCTTTGGTAGCGAGGGAAGGGCTTCTTAGGTTCATCGTCATACTGATCACTCAAGAATAGCACTTTTTAGATTTCAGATCCTTTCAACTTCATGTCTAGAGGAAGATAGCAGAAGATTCTACGGATCCGATGCTTTCTCTAGTACACGACTTCTAGTTGGTGCACAACACAAAAGATCTGAGAATCTAGCACAAGAATATACACGAGACGTTTCTAGGTGAGGACATCATAGCCTATAATGTGGTCTTGTCAAGTAGGGAGTGACAGTTTGACGGTGGTAGAGAAGGGGATTGGGGATATTACTGGGAAGGCCGGAAAGGGTTTAGGGAAGATGAAGATTGTATACCAAGTATACTGGGAAATCTATTACGATTCTAAAATGAACATTCTGATTCGAAGACGTAGGGTACAGGTGACTCTTGTGAGTGTACTGACGCTAGTACTATGCTCAGGAGGAGGAGTCCTGGGTCAGTATACTCGTGCTCAGGAAGTCACATATCCAACGCCCTTCATTTCAAATTCAAAGGGAGAGCCTCAGGGATAAGAGGTAGAGGAGGAACATCTAATTCTGAGCCAGTAGATTTAGAGGATGTTCACGTTTTCGAAGAAATAGGAATAATGAACCGCAAGTGCTTCTAAATGTACAGGTTATGTAGGGATGGATGCGCAGTACCAAATCTAACGATAAGGACAACATGGATTTCTTGGTATTTTTGGATGTAGTTGGTAGTCTTTTTTGTTTTTCAGTCATTCACGACGGACTAGAACTATGACATCATTCATTGTTTACAACTTAAGAGCACCAAGTAGAATCACGGTTTATTTTGAGAGGTCTGCGTACTACTAAAGAATTATGATGTGAAGATCAACAAACATGATCTAGAACAAGTGTGGTCATTTCGTAAGGACAAGTTTTGAAGAATTGCAGGTACATCCTAACATCATTGAAATACCGAACACATATTTACTTCAGAAGTTTCAACATACCAGTCATTTTAGAATACAATAGTGAATGATCCCTTTTCTTTTTCTTGTTGTATGGTTAGTTACGACGCATTCCAGAAAAGAGAGGACAACGTTCTAAATACACAAGAAGTCTGTCATTCTATGCGAAAACTTCTCAGCACTACAGACAGACCTAAGAGAAGGAGCACCAAAAACAGACTTCATCGAGATGATTCACGCTGCATGCCACCGAAACACAACAAATACGAGGAAGAGGGCATGTCTCAGCTCAGATTTAGAAGATTTAGAACTCTGGAATCGTTCATGATGATGTCACTCTATATAGCAAGAATTAGAGCCCAAAGGGCCTCACGTTTCTGTTTCACCTACATATTATGCACTGTCTCCCGAATAGACCGGGCCAATCTAAGGACTCAGTTCTCTATCGCTGGCCTTGTAGTACCTGTTCTTTCTTTCTCACAGTTGTTTTGCATGGTCTCAAAACGGACTGAACGAGTTTCCCTCTTTCTGTGTGCAGTGCCATTAGTCTGGTTTTTTCATTTCATTTCTGATCTCATACATCTGTTCTGATTGACATTTGCGTCTTCTGTCCACAGAGATGAAGATTGAAGCTTCTGTGTGACAAAGAGGAGAAAAAAATGAAAAATATCGAGAGGAAAAAAGGACCACGTATCGTTCTCAAAATCTGGCACAAAACCTACAACCCGCTGACCACAAGCTTCCAAAGCACTTTTGTATATCTCTCATTGAAGTTGAAGTTGATAGCTTTAGCGTTCTGTAGTTCACTTGAGGTGCCTGCTCCTTGTTCAGTCTCTCTATAGTTTTTTCTTTGTGTCTGTGAAGTGTTTGCTTTCTCTGCGCCCACCGCTGCTGGTGCGTCGAACTAAATCGAAAAATTTGCCATTGTAACTGTAATTGTAATTGTAACTGCGCTGTGATGAGTCCTACATCAAAGGGAATGTGCAAGACGGCACTATCGGTCCAATTATAAATTGTAGCAGCTGCCATGACTTAAACTCAATGACCCAAGATGAGGTGAGCGCGGGTAGGGCGCATCATCGTCAATATGGAGACAAGTCGGACCATGGAGACAAGTAAAACGCGGATGGCGCGGCAACGACCGCAGCGTCGCACTCGTGCTTTTGCGAGTTTCCTGTTTGTCACCTCCAGTGTTTCGGCGTTTATCCTTCGGAAGAGGGCAGCACCAGAATCGCAGCTATTACCGAGCAGGATGTTGACGTTTAGAATACTCGACCCAAAAGAGGACCTCCACCCAGACCCACCGCTGGAGATGAATCTGTTGGAGCAACATCAACTAAGTAGGAGGGGAGACACGACCACGCAGAGAATCGCCACCGCACTGTCAAAGATTTTCGCCTCCGCCATCGAGGACCAACCTGGAGTTGGTGTGAAAGTGTATGTTGATTTAGGAGCAGGAGTCGGACCTCGATGAAGGATGATTTTGACGATGAAAATAAATCGTTGATTTAATACGACGATGAATTATTTCCTTCGAGTAATAAAAACTGGTTTCACCAAATATACTGATGATAAGGGTCCCGCATAGACAAATTTCAGTACTAGAAATAGCAGAAAAAGTCGCTTCTGCCATCGAGGACCAACCTGGATGTTGATTTAGGAGCAGGAGTCGGACACTTTTTAGTTAGCATACTTACCTGGACTTGTAGTCGCTCTAATACACAAGACCGCCATATCACCGGGTAGTCCAGAGAATGGCGCTTCGTACGCAGTCCAGCTGGAATTGTCGGGGGATGCGCTCCAGGGCACACAAAAACGCTTTCAGACGCCACAGTTCGCGAGAAGCGTCATGCAGGGATTGCAAGCGGCAGGTTTTTCTATCCCTCTGGACCATCCTGCGTCACACAACAACTTTCTTCGTTGTCATGATTGACCCCGTGAGAGCACATGTAAGGACGATTCTTGCCTAAGAAAGTCAAGAAAGTGACACTCTTTATCTGTACTATGTCGAAGAAGCTTATGTACACCCTAAACCCTGAACTCAGGTATCAAATCCATTGCTGGAGACCTGAGTATGAGTCCCGTTAAGCTTCAAGAGAAAGAGGTGGCACCTCGCAGAGTCGATTCCATACCATTTTATGTGGAACATTTTGAGGATCATCACGGGTCCAAATACAGATGAAGGAGTGGTCATCTCTAGGTAGGTCCCACACACCCTTGCACACGTCCACTGGATCATCTCCCAAATCAGACCTCCTCTAACACATAAGGACTTGTGCCGACGATTTTTTTGCATTAGGCAAAACCTGTCCGAAAACAAGTCTGCCGTTCGCGAACGATACAGCGTGCAATCTTTTGCCTTCAATGGCAAATGGAACGAATGGAACTGGCGGAGGATTGGCCAATGGAACAGCGATGATTCAAACGGTTATGTTCACTGATGGTTGAGGTCTCATCTTGAGCAATGCGAAGTTTTCATCCTACCCCTAAAGTTACATGGTCCTACGGTCTTCGTCTTTCCCTCAGTGAGAAAGATGACTTCATTTTTGATCTAGAAGACTCAATCTGATGAAACTTGGAACAAGATTTCTTTCCGTGATCCTCCTTACAAAATTTGTCTTCATCCACACCTTCTAAAAGGCGCAACGCCACTCTCGCTCTATCGAAGACGAAGCACTGTGCACCAACCGATTGCTGCTCAACTCCGGAAACTTTGACTGATTTGTGGTGTATAGCACCCAAGGTGTTGAAGATGTGGGGAAACTACACACTATCGAATCTAGCAGACGTTTTCAAGTCCACGAATGGCACTCTAGCTACGGCACTCTGCGGAAAGGAGAAAAAAGTGGAGAATATGCTCTTAGAGGGGGTCCAGAACCTCTTAAGCGATACAGATGTTCGAAAACGATACGTTTTAGATGTTGGCATAGGGCCAGCTAGTTGCGACTTCGGATTCGTTGGATTGCCGGTTTTTATAGGGGGATTCGGCAAGCTCAAAGACTTTCGGGAAGTCAGAGATAAGGTCACGCCAAAACGATTGTTTGAGCAGTTACGAAGAGTATTGTGACTGCAAAAGTAGTGTGAATGCTTAGCTTCATCCTGCCGGTAGGTGCTATAAGCTTATCCCGGATCATGCACAGAATAGCATTTCACCTTGAAACTACTAGTAGTTGTACAACCACGACCGCTTGCTTCTATCTTTGGTAAGTACTTAAGCACCATGACCACCTCTTCACCTTCCCGCACACCATCGCTACCCCACCACCACCATCGTCACTACACTCCTACCCCTTTCATCTCTAGTCGTGGACGCGCAGAAGCAGTTGGAATTTCCTCTGAACCTAGTAGTCGCGGACACAGCACAGGCGTATGGAATGGCCTCAGAGACAGTGGAGTATCCTTCTAAATCGTCCATGGTGGATTGTTACGGCTGAAGATGGTTCTGTTTAATAGTTTTCTTGATAGTAGTTTTTGTTTTTCATTCAGTTTCTTTCTTTTGAGTAAAATAGTTTCTTGAAAAATTCTAAGGCCAATCATGAGACTGTTTTTCTTACTACGTACTTCATCAAGGGAACCACTTCTTGTTCTCCTTCTACATAGAAGCACTTTCTATTGTAGCTCTAACTTCTGTTCAAACCCTTGAAGCATAGATGTTCTGCCGTGAACATGCTATCAGAAAACCTGCAAGTATTGCCGACGAACCTGTGGAGTTACGGAGTCGATGGAAGTATAGTGGGCACGTGGGTTATTGCGAGTTGTTATCAGTTTACGGATATAACATGCGGGTCTGAAGACTTGATGGCTGGGAAAGTTAGCCAGGTAATGGATGTGATGTGATTACTAAATCACGTGATGGCTGGAAAGGTTAGCAAGGTAATCTTGATGTGATGTGATTATACTGAATTTGAAATTTCAAATTTGTCCCGTAATGTTAGAAGTTGCTCTTGGGTGCGTTGTTGAATCATAATCATTAAATCATTTGTTATATAGCAGCTGTTGACTGAGATATGGTCACGGTTAAGACTATAGAAATTGTTGATCAGGTGTTCCACGAAATGCTCGGTCCGACATTGCAGTACCCAGTAAAAATCGAAGCAGGCGCTGGTGGAACCTTGAACATTTTTGCAGCTGCCGAAGTCCACACCGGTGGATGCGCTGGTCCCAATGCTGGCACCACGCAGAGATATATCGATGTGCGCCTGACCCAGTTCGCCCCTGCGGACACAACCACGATCCTCGAAGCCTTGGATTCTGAGACGTTCAAACAAGAATTGTCTGATAGAATTTTATGTCCTCAGAGTTCAGGTGCATAGATTTTTCTAGCTGAATTTTCCAGTTTTTTTATACGATTGATGGATAATTTGCAATCTTCTAACATCATTCTCAGCCTACTCCAGGAAAGAGGGATGCAAGCAGAGCGATTTTTTCTGGGCCTACGATGCGGGAGGAGAGCCTCATACGCAAGAGTGGACGAGCCCAGTTTGAAGATAGCTTTTCGAAGAACATCTAAAGATAGAGGATCCTGGATTACACTGCATTTCTACAGCAACACACTACGACCCCCACATGATGGCGACCAGCTAGCTAAAGAGGCCTGGATTACCGTTTCTTGGAAAGATGAAAATGAAAATCTAGAGACTTCTGAGATCACTCATAGAACCAAAAAAAAATTAGAGATCAGCAATCAAAAATCTAGAGATGACCATGAACAAGTCACTAGTAGAACATCCATTTTGTAGACATCAATCAAAAAAAACCTGAAGACGGCTCTCGTCAATTCTTATGCTTCAAAAGGATCCAAGATAAGGGGGCCGAGATGCAATCTAGCAGACTCTAATTCAAAATAGAATCTGGTCACTGCGAACAATACGAAGAGGACACTCTCACTCTTACTCAGCACTCTCCACACTGACTCGGCTTGTTTTTACTTATTCTCACTTACGCTAAGAGTTGCCGCAACATACAATCACGGTAGTCTCAGTGCGAGAATTGAAATGAAAAAGAATGAATCTTCTTCGTGTCACAAGTCCTTTTTACATCTTCAAATCTGCTGCAATGCTAAACAAGGTTGCTAACAAACTCATCGAATTCCAGAGTGTCGGAGCCTCTTGGAAGAGACCGAAGACAGCCGGGCAGGATCGATGATCATGATGATGAAGGATGATGATGATCGCAAACAATGACAACGAAAAAACACCAAAAAGCCAAGCGCGCAAGTTTCTGCAAGAAAGTTTTTTTCTTCATCGATAAGATATCCGCCGAGCAAGGTTTTCTGGATTTTTTTTTTTGAGGATCCATAGTACCCAGATCCTCCAAGTAGTTGATGTCGTAGTACCCATCCCTCCAAGTAGTAGTAGTACTCTCAAGAACAAGAACAACTAGTACACCCAAAATTCTCTCACTTTGAAAGGGAAGAAGCGCAGCGTGGATTGGACGAAATCAAGACTCAGAATGAGTAGTTGAAAAGATATCCGCCGAGCAAGGTTTTCTGGATCAGTTTTGAGTGTTGACCAGTGTCTTCTCATTCTCCAAAAAAAATGTAGCAGGTAATCTTCCCCATTCCGAAGTTCCGCTTTGGTATTCTAGTAACACCGAACCTAGAAAATTCTTCCATTTCTTTGTTTTCTTACCATAATAAGAACATCATATCAAGAGATTGAGATCATCTATCTTCCTTGAGACAAACATCGTCTTCTACAACACAAACAGCTCTTATTTCTTCACCCCCTCCCATCTTAAAATCTTTATCTCTTTAAAATCTTTAAATCTCCCAAACGAAAAGAATGTCTTACGGTCCCTTCTATCATGCGACTTCTTGGTCGTGCGCCAATAGCATTTGGCATAACGGCTTTCGCTGCGGATGGGACGGCTTGGCGGGTGGCGGTGTGTACATCTGCAATACGGAAAACCAAGCCTGCCGACGCGCACGTCAGAACCCTGAAGTGATTTTGGAAGTGTGGTGTTGCAACATGCCCCGCCGCGCTCCTGTGCGAGGAAACTTCGTAATCTATGATCCGAACTGGGAAATCGATACTTTTTACTGGCATTGGGATGAATACGACGGATATGCTTAGAAGGGCACAGGATGAATGCGACGGATATGCTTAAAAAAGCAGCTGTCGGAAGATGTGACCTCCAGAGCTACAAGAATGCCCGAGAAAATTCAGGTGTCGTGTCGATGTGGGAAGATGGAAACGCCGTAGGGTCGTGACAACGTACATTTAAGTACATAATGGGACAGATATGTGAAAAAACTACTTCTTCTAATGTTCTTGCGGGAGCTTGTAAGGATGGAGGAGAAGGTGATATCTTTTTATAGAAAAAACTAAGATCTTCATATGACAGGGTGGACTATATTTATAAATATTGAGGATCAATGAAGACGATGAATAGCTCAGCTATTCATTGCGATATTTTTTGCATGTGTGTTCGCGCAAGCCCCGCTGGGTTTGGATAAATCCAAATGGAGACGAGCGAATCAAGAGTGTCAAAATGAAGTGAGCACAATCTGAAGTAATTAATAGAAGTATCTACGAAATCGATTACGCTACTTTTTCCGAGGCCACAATCGACAAAGAGTCTAGTAGTTTCTCTTTTCTTTGAGAACAAAGCTTATCTTGATTCTTCTAGACACAAAACCATGGAGTTCGTCGACCTGGACTGTGCGTTCGCAAGAAGCGTCAGTAAATGCTCAAAGTGCGAGAAGACGATCACAGCATTGCACAATGTTCGCAGTGCCTCTGGTTGTGGTGCGCTTCTTTGTGCAACATGCGCTGACGGCGGCAAGTCCTGCGTCCTTTGTGGACATGCAGACTGTAAGGTGGAACCAATCTGTGGTTCCCTGAAAAACATGCTGTCAGTGAAAATGGTCAAATGTCTCAAGTGCAAAGCGCTCATGAAGTACCGCGACTATGAAGCTCACATGACTGCCGATTCTATGGTGTTTCGCAAGATATGGGAGGCCGAAAAGGGTTGTGCAACGGGAGAAGCCGGTAAGAAGCTTAGACAGTTTCTAGCTTAACTGACGAATCATGAATTCTACATCAGGTGGATGAACAGGAAATTGTAACCGTGTTGTAATATGATCGATTGATTTTGGATGCTCAAGACAAACGCGGCATCGTTTCTTGTAATGATCAAATCTATCAAATAGGTACTGATACCAGCAATGCAGCAGGCATATTTTTTGATGACCTGTGCCCTCAAGCAGAATACGAATGCATTCACAAAGACCGTGGTTGCACCTTCCGAGGCTCAGCTACCGAGTTGCGCAAGCACCTGCAGGATGAATGCGTCAAAGGTTATCGAGCACTGGATGATTTATGCCAAGTACTTGCACTCGGTTAATGGAAGGACGAAGGAATAGGATAAACAACAAGGTAAATAAGATTTGACATTCAAACGTCTTGAGTTGTGATCCGGAAGCAATATGACAGAGTACCATTTCTTTCTACCCTGTCTAATAAGGGAAGCGGTACGGCTTTGCGGTGGGATCACTAGAATGCGGCAAAACGTTGATACGATTCGACAACTCCTTGGGCGTGGAGGTGGCAGTGGTGCCAATGCTCCGCCAGTCCCGCCTAAGCGCTTAGAGGAGCACCTGCGTGCAGCTGAAATCTTCATCACTGCTAAAGAATTCAGCAAAATCTGTGATCAACAATCTAGTAGTAAGAGCAAAGGTACTTCTGCTGATGTAGTGAACAAGACCAAGCCTGTTACGAAACGAGATTCTACTGGTGGTTCATCAAAGGACACGGTGGCAGCCCCTGAGGAGGGCGGTGATGATCAAAGTGTCAATGACGTTAACCATGTAGAAGTTGGTTCAACAACAGATAAAACTACGCCCACAACTCCATCTTCAGTTCTTTCTGGTGTCCTCACACATCTCGTTGAAACAGGCAAGAAGAAGGAACAAACCGATGCCCTGCTGGCAGATTACCGCTCAGTGTTGAAATCGCGGGTAGTGGACACATGGAACTTGAGTACTTTTGCGAAACGACCTGCTCCAGAAGCTTTAGTGCAGAGTGGAGTAAAGCGGAGGAAGAAGAACCAGACTCAAGCCGACCTCAACCTCACTACATATGGATGGTGTTTATTCCATCCGTACCACCATCGGGGCTCCCCTTAGTGCTATACGTTTTGACGGGAAAAGGGTAGCCGTAATGGTCTGGCTACGTAGATGGAATAGACGCCATTCATACTACAGAAGATGGCGCATGGCGCCAACTCTTCTACGAGGAGTTACCAGAGGAGAAGGAGCCACCGCCGCCGCCGACACCAGTGCGACCTGCGGCGCCAGCACGGTCCGTGACGCCGTCAACACCGGCACAAACACCATGTAACCACTTCGTCCGGTTTGGACGCTGCAAATTCGGGGTGAACTGCTGGTACGCTCATGTGAGGAGATGAAGCAGAGATGAAAGATTTAGATTTACATTGATTTATAGTAGATTAAAGGCAGTGCCGCAACCGCATGCAGCTGAAAAAACGCATGTATTTCTGGAATTTACAGACACCGCTGAAAGAATCGGTATTTTTAGTTCAAACAAGAAAGTTTTGCAAGACAAGAAACTGAATGTAGTATGTTCATGATGCATCCCCATACCGTTTTTTTGTATGCGATTCTTCCTCAAATTCCATATCCACCAAGTTGTATGTCATGAAGATCTTCTATTCAACAATTTTTTATTTACAATCACCATCATCAGAAGTAAGTAAGTAACAATTTTGAGAATAAATATGCAATGAGCTTAGGACTCAGTGAACTCGTAAGCAGTATGTAAAAGTATTATTCAATCGCAGGGAAGAAAGAATTATAGATATAGTGTTTTTTTGAAAGACAGGTATTTATTTGTACATACTGACAAGTGCTGTCGGAGTAAGTAATGAAAACTCCCACTCCATTGATGTGCATGTGAAGTACCCCATTGCAAACTTCAGGATGCAACTTGGTTCCCAATGCTATATTTTGAACCGGTAAGCCTTATCAAGTCAAAAATGGAAGCGTGCGCATTGCCGCGTATCGAATGTGTCAAGTAATGATGTCTCGTGTTTGCCTTTGTTACGGTCCACAGAAGAATCAGGATTCAATAGAAACCGCAAAATGTCAATGCATACAACGAGGCAAAATGAACAAACGTAAATGAGTTAGAAGTAGAGTCAAAATTATACTCAAAAATGGAGGACACAAAAAATGCAGCTCCTCCAGACACACGGCGCATCGCCATTGTCGGGAGTGGCCTTGCTGCGGTGGCGTGTGCCAGGAGACTTTGTGAGGCTATCAAGCTGGGAAGGGGGAATCAGAAGGAAAAAGTAACACCGACAACACACGTCTATCTCTTCACCGCTCGTGGAAAGTTTACTACGCAGATGCACGGTGCCAGGAATCAAGATTTTTGTAAACCAAAGCAGCCATTTTACGATTACGGGTGTCAGTATATCACGACGTACAAGGGCAGTCCATTTTGTGAGGAAATTGAAGGGAATTGGCTTGCATCAAACACGGGAAAGAATGGCAATGGTCACGGTGGTCCTTTGGTACAAGAACTCGACCTCAATGTTCGTAGAGGAAATAAGGCTCGGGAGCTTGGTGGTGTCTCTGATACGACAACATTGTCAAGTGGAATCCGACTGCGGAAAGCTGTTGTTCCTCCAGGGACGACTACTTCTAGTACTGCCATCAAAACGAGCGACGTTATGGTCGCCACTTCCGAAGAGCAGGCTGACCAAGTCCTCGTGCGTGGTTTTTATTCCTCTTCTGGTATGTGGAATTTAATCCTTGCACTTTTCCAGAAGCTGGAGCAAGATTTTCCAGGTATTGTAACTGTGGTTCGTGGTTTTCCGAAGGAAGATTTGATGGTGAAAGGGCTGGTTCAGCATGAGTGCCAGCATAAGGAAAGAGGCCAGGCTGCAAAGTGTTGGTCCTTAAAACTCGGGAAGCGAAGACCTCAGCCAACGCTGACGTTCGAAACGTTGGAGCAACTAAAAGATAGTTCGGGTTCGTCGAAAAAAGTAGGTCCAGAAAGAGGGTCTGCATCCGGTCCTGTCTTTTTCGACGTCGTTATTGGAGCATTCTCACAGCACGTACTATTCGAACCGTTTCTAAAGAGTGCTGTGAAGGATGACGACGTATCTACTGGAGGAGGAGGAGAAAGAGGTGCTAGAAGTGTGATTACTCCCTGTCAAGACTTGCTGGAAAAATTGGTCAAGTCGAGATGCAATCAAATGATACCGATGCAAGTGAAAGTGAGGTTTAAGGAAGGTTTAGGTGTCCCGAAATGGTTGGGGATGCACGTGGTTCCAGAAGTAGCACAAACAGAAAACGAGACAACTTCTATTAGAACTATATCCTCGATGTCTGATGGGGGGTTTCCCATCTCGTTTGTGGGAAACAATACCGTAAAGCAAGAAGGAACAGGTGGAGGTACTCCAGCACAAGTACGTGCGTCCGAGTCGAAGCCCTCCTCAAGTCAAAAGAATACCCGTTGGGGCGCAAAGAAACAGAAGAAAGATGCTGGTATTGGAGATGCATCACAAGATTTTCAGGAAACTGCACCAGCAGTCTCAACGAAAATAGCCTATTTAACTGTCCTCTCTACCGCTGCATACGCTGAGTACGAGTTCAACTTGGGCACAAGACAAGGCTACCGCAAGTCTGCAGAGAAGGTCCTTATCAAAGCTCTGGATGATTTGCTTTTCGCTGATGCAGGATCAGCTTCACCAACAACAGCATCAACATCTACATCAACATCTACATCAACATTTACATCAACATTTACATCAACAACATCAACAACATCCTCTACATCATCGTATACATCTTCAACTAGCCTAAAAATGATAGCAGATTACGAAGTCAACCGCATCCTGCATTGGGAGGATGCTGTGCCTGTGAATGCGGTCAGTGATTCTAGTGGCGAAGAAGGTTCAGGTTCAGGCTTAGGTTCTTCAGGTTGTCTCTTTGACGAAACGAATTCTATTGCTTGGTGTGGAGACATCTGTGTCGCGCCCTGTGCGGAAGGGGCTTGGTTGAGCGGCTGTAACATGGCAGATCGGACTCTGGTAGCGATGGGTCTGCCAGGACTGGAGAAAACGCGTGTGGAAGAAGTCAAAGCGGGGATTGCTATGGTGCCTGGTGAAGAATTCTAGATCATCTCATCTTGATATTCTGCGTTCGTGGATCCATTGCATAACCTGCTGAAGTACTTATATAAACTCACTTAGATTTTACTACAAAGCAAACAATACACGGCAGGCCCGAAGACTCTAACATGATATGCCTCCCCTTCTGCTTCTAACCCAAAGCGCATCCGCAACGATGATCAAAAGTACAGTTCTACGGACATTGGCGTCTTGGGTGACCGTAGAACTGTACTTTTGATCAACATCGCCCAAAGCAGTCTTGGGTGACAGGAATACGCATTTTTACGACTACTTGGCAGAGAAAGGCCGTACTTCTGGAAAAAGCGGGTTTGATCCGGAAGGTGGCGTAGCTGGGAAGGGGTCTTTTTCAAAGGCTGGTTTGAATTCGTCGTCTAGTGCTAACGATCGTGGTGGAACAAAGGGTGCAAAAACTAATTCAGGCAATTTTAAAGCTGGCAAGAAAAAAGGTGGAAAGGGCAAGGGAAAGAAGAGTGGAGGTGGAAAGGATTCTGAAAACGGGGGCGGAGGGAAGGGTAAAGGGAAGAGCAAATAGAAAATCGCTATGTATCATATGAGATGTGGCACAAGAACAGGTTCAACATCAGGGAAATTCGTAGAACTCAGAAGAAACTCAGGGAAGTCGTATGCCCAACCCGAACCGACTAGCATCATCATCATGGTGCAACGTGGCGCGTTTCTAAGAGCGAGCGCAGTTGTGTCTTAAGTGAGAACGTCAGAGCTCTTCTGCTTTTCGTCGCTGGATTATGTGCAGTAACTTCCAGTACGACTGGTTAGGGTGACGGTAAGCATTGACTATTTTGTGCAGGTATTAATTTGCTTAGATGTATCCCAAAGTTTGACTTTCCAACACTTTCTTCAGAGACCACTCTATGATGTAGTCATGCTAAAGTTCTTTCGTCAATGTAGAGAAAGAAATGGGGAAACAACTCTACCAGAGGACGCTCTGCACGGGCTATGCACTAGTTCTTCGCGGAACCAGATTTCGAATGATGTTGCGGTTGCTTTACGAGGTTTTTGATTGGAGATGAATGTAGAAGAAGTTTTATAGTCGGGTGGCGCTAAACTGAGCGAGTGAGAGCGAGTATTTTCAAGAGCTGTTTAATAAAGGTGTATGTGACACAAAGAAGAAGGCTACGGCAAAAGGAGGTTTATCGAGCATCATAGATACTTATTCCTTCTTCACACAACTTTCCCCAAGCCCATCTACGATCATGAAAATGACGCTTCCATCCGGAAACTTTGGGCCTCCAGCGCGTGGGGCAGCAAGGTACAGCTGCGTCGTGATCCGAAGTTGGAGCAGTAGGTCTTGCACCTCTACTGCGTCCGCTTCCTCGTCTTCAACATCAGTCGCTGCGTCACCTCCTAGTCAAACTACGATCATGACAGCTACACCTACAACAGTAGGAGCACCAAAAACCGTCCGCATGCGAACGCAGCTCGCTCTACTTCGCCAGCAACAGGTTGGGCATTCTTTGCAGTCGACCGATAGACAGGTATATCCGGGAATACCCTTGAGAGACCTGATTCCTGACCTGTGTGCTACGAACCGAGTAGTAGATATAGCTGCGAATTTGGTTTACCAGTGTCTCGACGTCTTCGAAGGTGGATCGGGGTACGATAGGATGGGCTTGATGTTTCGCGTACACGGATTCTCCTACTTGCAAAGACCGGATGAAAAGAAACTTTATGATTTACGATTTTGATTTTCTTGCGATGATGTGTCCACCCACAACTTCATTGTTTGTTCGAGCAGAGTCTTCTCTCCTATGTACTTTTATTGCACTTTAGCTAACAAGCGCAAGCCCTATCACCCTCAACGTATAATTGCCACGTGCCCTCCTTCATACTGCAGAGCAGCTTTACTCCGACTTGTACCAGACCTGTAGTTTGCTGCTCGAGCCGCACTGCATCAAGCCTGGCGCGGAGAACCTCTTTGCCGTCCTCTCTCCTGACATCTTAGATCGGGCAGCGCCGTTCCTGAGAAAAGTTCGCAGGGATAAGATACGAGATATGCTGCTTCATGGGATTATGAAGGATCAGGATGTCCATCATTCTTTCTTGTTGAGCATAGATTTTTACGGCATTGCTCCTAATCATGCCCGGCTCTTTCTGCTTCAAAAATTTTTACGTCAAACGCTCCTAAGCCTCTAATCCCCTGTCTCGCTATATGCTGTTGAACCGCGAGGCGATGCAGAGCCTTGACTGGGACAAAGTGTGGACCATCGTGGGAACGCGTCACTTCTTGGAACTAGTCGAACGATTCCAGGTAGACCTGAATGAGCAGAGGATACGACGGGCGACCTCCTCAAGGAACTCAACATTGATGCCAGGAGGTCCCTTGCGTTAAGGGCTTTGGAATTACATCCCGCACTGTCATCCTTGGCTTTTCGTTTCTAGAAGAGAATAAGAAGCCAACTGTCATCCTTGGCTTTTCGTTTCTAGAAGAGAATAAGAAGCCAAGGAAGTTGGAGATGTTTGAGGAATCTAGAAGCCTCTAAGTAGAAGTGGAGACAGTGGATGCCATGTTGCACGTTCTGTTGAACCGGAAGCCAATGAGCGTTTTCCAGGCGATATCATTGTTAAGGCTACCAAGCGAGCATCCCCCTACAGCATGATCCTTGGCCTCATTTTCAAGAGGGAAATGGGTCCAGGGATGGTCTCAGGGATGCACGTTGGTAGCTCTAACATTGAGCTTTGCCGTGAGGGAGGAGCACGATGGCTTTGCCGAAAGTGCTGGACCTCCAACAAGCAAAAATCTCCTCTGCCAGCCTCTTCTTCCCGGCTCCGCTCACTCCTTAGGGTCGCTGTTGGAGAGGGTTTTGCACCAGAAAAGTGAACACTTGCTGAGGAAATTCTTCTACCATTTAGTGAACGACACAGGAGACGAATCGCTGTTTCATGAAGCCGTGCAAGCTTGTATACTAGATCGCTGTCCTATCACTGGGTTTGCGAGGTCTACGTGGGCTGCGGAAGTAGTAGAGAGAATCGGCAAAGAGAGTAGACCACGAAGACTAGGTCTACTCGACCATGATGCCAGAAACGACACCAGCTTGGCGGGAACATTTTCTCTTGCACCTTCAATTTTTGAAGGAGCAAAAGAGACGTTTTTGGAAGGCGAAGAGGATGACGCCTGTGGCCATTTTGGTTTTGAGGAGGAGCAAGATATTTTCCAACGGCAAGGAACACTTGTACATCATGAGCATTCATGTATGCCCCAGATGATTGATGTATCGTCCACGAGGACGCCGGGAGTAAAACATGGAAAAACTGCCACAAGCACATCAAGAATGCAGCAAGAAGTGAAAAAGCTGCTCGACGAAGATTCCGTCATTAACGACATCACCACAGAGCTCAGGCTTTTGGACGGTGCTGATGGACCACGAATTGCGTACAGAGCTCGGTCCAGGACTGTCCCAATGAGCGCTCTTCTGGATCGTGGAGAAGAAGATGATGTAGAAGTAGATAGGGGAATCGGAACCATGATGGCAGAAGCAGATAGGGGAATGGAAGAGCCTGTGCATGTACCTTGGGTGAACAAAAGCGGTAGTATCTTGTCCTCGATGATGGAAGATTTGGATATCGAGGAGGATAGAAAGACGAAGAATCAAAGGGCTCATCCAGAGCAGCATGCGTCGTTTTTCCCACGAGAGCTCCGTGACGAACAGATCTTCTTCGTCGAGAGTGCGGCTCAATTGTCTGCCATGCGGAAGGTCCTGTTGGAGGACCTGACTTCTAGAAGTCCTGGCGTTTCTTCTACATTAAGGGTAGGTTAAGCGTGTTTTCTACATTAAGGGTAGGTTAAGCGTGTTTTTGTTATAAGGAACAGTCAAGAAACCACTAACAACCCAACAACAAGCTAGACCAGCGGGTAGAACTCGTCAGGAAAATCCTAGGCAGATCGCCGAATAGATTCAAATCATAAAGGGCAGGTTAAGCGACGCCTTTTGTTGCCGTTCGCCCTGCCTTCCCCCTCGCTAACAGCAAGTACTCGACCAGCAGGGCAAGATCAAGATCTACCTTTCCTCGCTCTCGCCTCCGAGACAAGCTACGATGCGGCTATATCTGTGCTTACGATCACAAGTGAACGACGCGCTTTCCTGATCGACTTGCTGCCGCCCAAACCTGGGCTTTACATCGACCTTGTCCATCATATTGTCCAATTTCTACTCGAACATGGTAGAATGCGTAAGTTGTGTTGGGATTTCGGCGATTTCCTCTTACGCTGGAACCACTTGCGGCCATTGACCAACTTTCGAAAAGTCGTGGATTTACGTGGTCAGAGGGTTTGGAAAATCCTACACAGTGTAGAGGACAGCAAAAGGTTACATTTAACCAGTTCGGACAACGCCGAACAAGAGGTGCAGACAGCGGTGGAGGAGATGGAGAAAAGACTCTGGAGACAGGCTCAAGCACAAGGTGCACATCGTCACTCTTCTACTGCTAGTGAGAGGAAGAAGAGTAGACGGCAGAAACGTGCCGAATGGCTTGCATCGTTGGAGGGAAAGGAGAAGGCTGGAGATACTGTTGACGGGAAGCAGCAGGCGAGAACAACAATATTTGCAAGTGAAGATGATGAAAGTCCTGCGACATCGTCAAGTTCTAAAGAAGCTTCTTTCTCATCTTCAACAACTAGAGGATCACCAGTAAAGCCCTCATCTGAAGATCCCGAGACACCTAGGGACAGCAGTGACAGCACCGCCATCACTCCCTCTACTTCAACACCCATAGTACAGCATCACTCCACCACTATCGAGACTGTCTTAGTGAATAGCCCCCCCGACGTTGGATCTTTAGCACGTAGATTTGGCATAGTATTTGAGTCTGATTCTTGCGATTTGAACCTAGAAGCCAGTAACTGGAATTATCGACCCCTACACAGAGAACAGGTGAGATGGACCGCGCGACGAGTCCACAAACTGATTCATCTAGAGAAATCCTTGAGGGAAAAGAACTGCTTTGCATGCAAAGAATGGAGCCATATTGAAAAGTAGGGGTGAGGACTGGAGGATTTATTGGAGCCATACTGAAAAGTAGGGGTGAAGGTGATTGAATGGAAGAGGAAGTTGTGTGCTTTTAAAGACGGTAAATCTGAAAACAGCTCTTGATGCTGTGAATGGCCGAAGTACCTGTTGGGGCTGGTGTTCGGAAACGAGGCACAACTATGATTATAGCCGTACCACGTCTAGTTGTATAGCGGTCGTTTCAACGGTTGTTATGCGTGGAGGAGGAGATCCACTGTCTGCCTAGACAAAAGATCATCGTTCTCTAGATGATCCATTCCTCGCATTCTTGTTTCTAAGACCTCCATCTAACCACATCTCCATCTAAAACCATCAGATTGTAGAGGCGCGGAGCAACGAGAAGGACAGTACAAGTATTTTCTGAAAGCCGCATAATGAGCGTGACCGATGATGAATTCGACTTCATCGACGAAGCTATCACAGATCTTATCCTGGAACCTTTGGAGGAGGTCCTTCTAGGGATTTTCCCGAACCTAGTGAACTTAAGGCTAGCTCGATTATTTTCATTCCTATCAACGTCCTGAGTGACAGATGGTAAGGACGCTCAAAAGGTGCAGCAAGATCTGAAAAAAACGTCTACACCGTCCTCGACTCCCGGAAAGATACGACCGTCTTCGTCTTCTACGACTGGAGGCGATAGACCTTCCTCTTCCGTAGATACGACGACACGTATATCACCACCGCCATGGTCGCCTAATATTTTGAAGATCCTACTTCATGGCGCCCTTTGCTATGGCATAGTGGGGTGGGCGTATATCGGTTCGTGGACCGCCATCTTTCGAATGGTATTTTTATGGCAGAGCAGCTGTCTACTTATTCGTAAGGTTGAGTACTGAGTATTTAGATGACCCTTAGTTGTAGGCCCTATTTATGCAAAATTGTCGTTTCTTAGGTGGTGGTTTATGCAGGATGTATCTATGATTCTACAGGACTTCGTCTTGCATGAAAAAACAGATTTCACAACCACTCAAGCACAAGGTTACACGACTTGCAAGATCAACAACACCTTCTAATATTTCGTCAGGATCAACGCAGTCTTGTTCCCATCCTTCGCCTCTTGAGAATACCTATAACGCCTTCTAGTCCTTCGTTTGATGAGAATGCGTATTCCGTATACTATTTTCAAGCCAAGCCACAAAAGGAAAGTCCTGGAATTTTCGGAAATTGAGGCGATTCTTGGGATTGTGTTTAGCATTCTCAATTAAGGGTTGGGAGCAGTTGACCTCATCTCTATGAACGGCATCGCTATGGTAGGCTTCTTCAAAGTACTTAGGAACGCGATAGGTAATATGAGAGGCTATTCTCCTCGGCTTCTCAAGTTACAGTGCTTAAGGAAGAAGTACAGTCCAATATGTTTTCTTGTCTCACTGTTTCATGTCTCTACGGTCATGATGAACGATGGCAACAGCGACAACAGCATGCAAAATACTAGGCAGCTGCTCCTTTTTCTTCCACTGTTTGTGTTATCGTGTAGAGCAGGATATGCTACACTCTTCACCTGAGTTAGCACTTCGTGGAGTGTAGATAGAAAATGGAGAGAAAATTTTGAAAACGTTCCGCCTCTAAGGTGAATCGGAGCAGCGATCGATTTCGTGACTGTCATAAGCGTGCCTGGTCACGCAGTAGCCACTATGGTTATCAAGGCCATCTTTCTGATGATGTCTTCGATGCACTACACGCAAGCGACCTATTGGTATGAGGATGATCCGTAAGGACCGACGGAATTGGATCAGCGTGGGTTGTCGTACTCTGGCGAGGGTCACTGTTGTGAATCGCGAAGACAATTTTGGGCCTTATATGAAAAAGTGGTGCACCAGGGGTTATTGTAGTACACTGAATGGAGGTTTTAAGCGTGGTAGTTTCTACAACAAGACTGGGCTTGATGAAGTAGTGCTGCTGCATTTTTCACACATGATAATGAATGGACAAGCGCTAATGCAAAATGGATCTCTCACCTTCCTAGAATGCAAAGAAGACACTTCCTAGAAGAAAAGACAACCAACAAATTGGACGCGCCTTGCAGACCACTGCTCTCAGTTGGTTGTATCAACAAGGACGCGGTGGAGCTCGTCTTGTAGGACAAGGACCTGCTCGTCTTGTAGCTGTGCGGTTTTTTTGAACCCTGCTTGAAAAATTGTCATGATGAGAGTGGCCATAGAGAATGATATGCAAGGACATTGAGAGGACTCCGAGAGAATGACATGCGAAGGAACTACCAGTTAGAACTATCCTGCAGTAATGGCAGCATGTAAGAACCAGATAGACAATAGAGAAACGTACAGATGACACAACACTTGACTTCTGAGACTGATTGGATCTCCTTCTCCACTGCAACTGTGTGAATATAGAAACAGTACATGCAAGTCGCACGAAAAAAGTTGTTGTTAGTTGGAGGAGATTATTATACCTTAGACTGTTTCGTCTCGATCTCCTATGTAGTCCTTTTTGAACGAATCATTTAAAACGTCAAATTATACCTGAAAGCCACCACATAAGAGTAAGACGAGACAAATGTTGCAACGTCTTGCCTCCGGGCGAAGCGCGCTGCTGCGCGAAGCCAAGCACACACTTACAACTCAACAGAGCGCGCTCCTGTCACGTTCTTGTCTTGGCGTTGCAGTAGGGCAGAAGATAGGTGCAGGAGCTGCGCTGGATCGATTTTTCTCGTCACAGACTGCAGGCGCGACGGCGACGCTAGGCGAAAAAAGACGGCTCCTTGGTTCGGGATCTTCAGCAGGGCTAGTGGGCAATCGCACATTCGCTTCTTCTAGTAAGAGCGTACTTGGTGAGAAACATGCATCCACGAGCTCAGGACCAACAGCGCCCTCCGGTGCTTCTTCTGTCCTTGCAGAAGATCTTAATAACCATGCACTTCTCGCTTCCGCCGCATCGCCAGAGGCTTCATTAGCAGCTAGTACAAACTCTACTTCTACTTCAGAGAGTACCTCTACAGCTACGTCATCTTTGCGACAAGCAGGAGCCACGTTGACGAACACAGTTGCGAAGAAAGGGTTGATCTTTGAGTTTTCCATGATGTGGGTCGTTACAGCATGGAAAGAAATATTAGTCGGTGTAATCCGAAACACGGCCTACACTTTTCGTCCAGTGGCATTGTTCTTCGTGGTACTTTCATAGAGTTAGTACAGTTTTTGCGAGATGATTTGACTTTGAAATTATTGAAGATATCGAGTGCACCATCTGGGACAATTAGGACAACTCTCTATACCCCATAATAATACTGTACTGGTGCTCCCACAACTGCTCCATTCTTTACAATAATCTACTTGACTACCTCCCACAATCAAACCACCAGATGGGCTACGTCGTCAAGTTTCTCTTTTTCCTTATGGGCGCTCCGATGCTGGTGTCCTTCTATTCCGTCTGGCTCTTCGAAGTTGGCTACAACCTAGCGCAGTGCTTCCTGTTAAGGGCTTCCACATTGCGTCCTTCATTACCTTTCTTGACCTTTTTTTTTTCTAACGAGAATGAAGGGGTAACTACTAAGCAAGTAAGGACCAGGGATCATGTTCTGAAGAATGCAATCGGGGAGCCTCTAACCTTGAGTGTCATTTTCTTGACGCAGCTGACCTACATGGACTTGTCCTTCCGAGGAACGATGCGGCCATTGATGCGACTGCAGGCTAAGCGGGTGAAGGATGTGGCCAAGAAGGCGGCGAAGATGCTGAGATTTTAGACTGTGACATAGAATTTTGTCAATACCCAGATCCCGAATGCAAACGTAAGAACCAAGTAACTAGATGATTCGCAGGAAACTCTTACCATGGTGCGGGGCCAGGTGGATTCTTACAAAGCTACAGATTGTGCGAGTGACTGATTTTTGCCACGATCACAACATTTAGCCAAACACTTCACTCTTCAGCAAACAGAAACTTCTTGAGTGCTTTCCTTGGAGGCTCGATGAAAAAAAGAGAAAGCTGGCGCAGCGACTGAGCAGCAGCGCGGAGGAAAGGCAGTGAGTTTTCAACATCACTTGAGTAGATAATGTGAGAGAGGACGGACCATATTAGCACACACAATCTAGTCAGGAGGACTTTCAAAACCACTCTCTGATTGTCTTATCCCACTGGGTCACGAGGACGACCCATTTCATTTGTAATTCACTTGCACTTAGTGTTTTAATCCACTTGATGGGTGTAGAGGTGATGTGAATGAAATATCTACTTTGTAGAGAGTGGAACCAAGAAGTTTTCTTTCCGCCTTGTCTAGCAGCCTCGCAATCGCGCAACGGCGAAAAGCGGCGCTGGCGTCCTCCACAAGCATCGACGAGCAACCTGTTATTGTGCGGAAAAGGCTTTTGATTCGCCTGACGTTGACACTGACATCGCAACTTTGATCGCGACTTTATCACCCGCTTTCCGTGCGTCTCAGATACCCGCCGTAAGTGTGTCTCCCACTTCTTCTGCAACTTCTTCACCTTGACGTTGGAAGCACCACTACGAATTCTCCTTTCACCACAAGTACGCACCACAACTCCCGCAGCAGACTACGCAAACTACCCTGACTTACTTATACGTAGGCACAAGAGCAAGACATTTCCGAAAAAGGCACAAGATGGCGTCCCTGAAAGCGATTTCTATGCGGATGAAGTCCGTATCCAATATCGGGAAGATTACCAGTGCTATGAAGATGGTGTCAACCGCGAAATTCAAGCACGATGAAAGAAGATGGCTGGCAGGAAAGCCTTTCGCAGATCCGGTATTTTGATGATAAGGGAGTGGTAGTACTACGCGAGATTAGTAGTAAGTTTTGAGAGGTAGTGAGTTGGTGTTTTGGTGGAAATTTGTTAAAGTTTTTACAGGTCTGCAATTTCTTCGAGAAGCTTCCAGCTATAGAGAGTGGGTCTCTACCATCGACGAAAGTGGTAGTCTTGTCCAGTGACAAGGGAATGTGTGGCGCAATCAATTTTATGAGAGTGTGAATTACATGCCGCGCCACCATCCTTGGCTCTTTTCCTAGTAGAAAAGGAGCCAGGGGTGAGCTGAGGAATGTAATTCCGGTACCTCTAAGAATTCGGGATTAGCCAAAACAGCGAGAATAAAGACATTAGAAGAGGAACAAGCGGGGGGTCAAGTAGAAATCCTTTGTTGTGGAAGCAAGAGCCTGTCAGCATTGAAGAGGCTTTTAGGGGATAGGTATTTGTTGAGTAGTTCTTTTTAGGTAGTCAGGCTGTTGTTCTTATCATGATCATGATTTCCAAAGAAACTTCAGCTTTTACAGAGTCTTTGTCTTTTGTTTACAAGAACCAGGAACTTCAATCGCACCCAATCTCTAAAAAGACAAGAAATCCAACTGAACCACCAGTTTGTGACTCAATCTCTCCTACCTCACCAGGTTCTCACCCTCCTCATTCGAGGAGTGTCAGGCAGTCGGCTTTAATTTCACGACAGCCAGTGTGATAGCAGAGTCAGCACTGAATGGAGAGCCAGGCAGGATCTCAGTGATGCACAATCATTTTGTGTCGATGATTAGCTACGAGCCGAAAGACGTAGTATGCTACACCAAAGCAGCAGTAAAGGCTGCTGCGCCAGCGGACTGGTCGAAGGCGGTGGATCAGTACTTTCTTACTTCCCCAATTGGGTTTGTTTCTTACAGCTCATGCTGTGGACTTACTTACTTCCCCTTGTTGTTTCTGCTTACAGCTCATGTTGTGGCTTTTCTTTCTTGTAGCTCATGTTGTGGTCTTTTTGCTGTGAATGAATGATGTTTCGCAGCAATCTATCATTTCATAAGAGTTGCTTTCTCCCAGCCAAAGGAGACAGTATGTGCCCTTATGGCAGTCTGCACTGAACTTTGTTGACTTATCGGAACTCGCTTGCAAAATACGCAAGTAGGTTTTGATTTATCGGAACTCGCTCACGATACAAAAAAAAGCGAGATTAATTGTATTGTATTGCATTTTACATCCACCCTCTAGGTACAATTTCGAGCCTCCCACATGGGAGGTGTTCGACGATTTACTTGAGTTCTACACCGCCTGCACCGTCTTTCGCGGGTATTTAGATGGCATAGTTTCCGAACAGAGTGCTCGAATGGCCGCGATGGACAATGCTAGTAAAAATAGTGACGAAATCGTCGAAAAACTTACACTTCAGTATAATCGCGGACGTCAAGCGAGAATCACCACAGAATTGTGCGAAATCATCGCGGGGGCGAGTGCGCAGTAATGATCTACTGTGTCTAGATCTACTGCGTCTAATAGGACACAACATACTTACCAACTTTTCCGGATAGAAGGCTTTGATCTTGATTCTTTTACTCCGTTTTTTCAGGAAGACCGACTTGCTGTTACTTTTATACTAGCTACCTAGATAGATCCGTCGATAAAGATTCACAGGACAATCAAGGACGATGATACTATGGAGAGCTCTTCGAGTAGTCTCCGTGAGTGATTATTTCTTCATTTTGTCGGGAATGACAATGGGGAAAAGAAGACGTGCTCCGCTTGAATCTAGTGCAGTTATAACTTCACGGCATTTTTGTGTCGTGTTTGAGCATCTTCATACCAGTGTTCAATGCATTAAGGTACTACAATTACCTGAGAAGATCACGATCAGTATTGCGACAGAGGAATGAGGAAGTGTGATCTTGTGATAGGAAGTGTGATCTTGTGATATCATCTCCTTAACACTGCTCTTTTAACCAACTAGAGAAACTCCCTACCTGGTGCTCTCCTCCTTTCGGGTCCGCAACCTAATACTTTCCACAAGTGAAAAGGATGAGAACCACGAGTCTTGTTGTGCTTGTAGCCCTTGCAACCGGGCCAGGAGCCCAGGCGGTGCATGTAGGCAGTGGTGATGCAGCTTTAAAGTTGCGCTCGGCTCTGTTGGAACAGCGTAGGATCAAAACCCAGTACAATGGCAAGGCCGATGCAGCTATTGCGGCTGCGCAAGCAGCGACGAAGCTGGTGCAACAGAAGGGGAGGAAGCTAAGGACTGATATCTTCTATTCGATGATTTTAATCATAACCGTAACCGTTTGGTAAGCGCGGTCATTTCACCGCTTGTTGTGAAGTGGACGATGTTCTAAGAATACTATTCCAACTGTGGAGCTGCACAATAGCATAAGAGCCATCTTCTAACATCCAATGCCACAAAGCAGATCGCTGAAGCCAAGGCCCTCAAGGCAGATGCAGACTCGATGTTACCCGACGTCGAAAAAGCAGAGAGAGCAGTCCAGCGATTGCAGGAAAGCCTTATTCAAGAAGGAGATGCACCAGGCGAGACCAGCACCAACACCAGGAATGTGGTAGACAAGGTGCGTGCCTTGGCTTCGTCTAAGAAGAACGCTGTTGTCGGTGCTTCGTCTGCCTCTGCAACGGCAGCATCAGCATCTGCGTCAGCATCTGCAGTACTGAAGAAGCCCACTTCATCTTCGTCTTCTGTCAATGCAGTTGCGGTTCCAACTACAGGAAATTTGAAGAAGAAGATGACATCTTCTATGAACTCTTCTAGTACAGGCAAAGTAGATGTAAAGGGAGCTTTGAAGAAGAACAAAGATTCTGTCGCTGCGCGTAGGGCGACAGGTCAAGAGCATACCACTGAGCCGACAAAGCAGTCGAAGAAGCTCGGCTCGTCGACCGGTGCAGCCTCGAAAAAAGTGGAAGAGACCAAGTTATGTAGCTGACGATGTCGATGTAAGTACAGTAGTTACACATTTAGAAGCTGTACTTAGACAGATTTGTAAGATTGAACAGTCTCAATCTCTTTCGTTTTAGGTTAGCCACTTTCATCTTCTTCATTTAGATTCTTTCAGCTTAGCCATTTTCATCAAGGGGTAGTTCTTTGCCCGCTCCTACTTGTCTCACCAACATGAACTTCTAATCCCCACCCCGAGCAAAAAGCACATCAATCTGGCTGACAGCTTGAGAGCAGATAACGTGCAAGGAAATGGGTTGCCAGTGACGTACACCCCAGGAATCATCAACGTCTTTGCTTCGCGTGCTTCCCAAGTTGCGGGTACTCTTTTAATAAGAAGAACAGAGTTTCTGACATGTGCACGACATCCTTCGTTTCGTAACTCAATTTTTGACACTGCCACCTCCTCATCCTCCGACTACCAGTTTTCTCATCAATACTTCCTCCAACAACAACAAGAACCAGGTCTCTTCACGTGGTCTTTTTCGCGTTTGATTGGTAACGCCTCTGCATCTGGATCGAATGGTAGCGACAATGGAGAAGTCCCCACTGCAGGAGCTCAAATCCTGGCCGTGCAAGACAGTGCCGGAACCGAGCGTGCTGTTGAGGCTGAGAGCAGCCATCGGATTGATATTTCGGACGCCTTCAGGCAGTACGAGACGCAGGATAAGCAGACTTTCACCGCGTTGAAGGCAAGACAGGTATTTTTATTCACTGCTGATAATGTCAACATGTGCTAGCTTGTATCAACAAAGTCAAAAAAGACTTTGATCAAAGTGGAGATCCGTAAGTATCTTGAAGAAAACATGACCCTACATTGAAGAAAGCCTTAGAACATCGCGTAAGTATCTTGAAGAAAACATGACCGTACAACATTGAAGAGCATTACTTAGAACATCAACTTACGCCCTGCACCAAAACAGCATGCTTTGGACACGAAGGCCTTGATTCAGCAGTACCCGGACGAATACAGTTTTCTTGCGGCCACTGATAATTATGATGGAGTTTTGCTGGATAAGGATGGAACCAAATAATGTGAAGTGCCTCTTGATAGAAGTAAATTTGCTTTTCTTGCCCTACTAAGAAACAAGTAGAACTATCGCCCTTGTCATCAAATACAACATGACTTCCTTTCTCTACTCTCAGTGCAGCTGCGAGATTGAGTATCTTCGTTACTCCTGTCCCCTCCTCACTCCCACTTTTCTAACTCCCACCAGTCCATGCGCAAGAAGCGTTCGCCACCTTGGAAAAGATCGATAATGAGATCGATGCCACCCTGAATGGGCCACGTGGTGACGTGCTGGGACCGGAGGACTACGCCAAAGTGAGACAGTTGCAGGACAAGAGCATGGCAGATTTAATGCGCTAAGGTGTAGTTGTAGGGAAGTAGTATGGTGTAGTTGTAGGGCAGCTATGAGAAGTTGGAAAATGAAAGTTGTATGTTGCTCTTGCTCGCGGTGAGAGTGCTAACTAGTAATAATACATGAGTACTGAGCTTGATACAAGTTTTGAACAGTAGATTGTTTCATTTACCAGGGTCGCATAGAAGGTCTATGAAGAAATTTCAAGATAGAGTTTCAGCTTACTTCGTCTAGAACAAGGAGTACCAAGTAAGTCTTTTGTCCAAACAATTTAAATGTACAGTCCGTTTTTTCCCGCATGATTTAAGATGTTGAAGATGACTACTAAGTGGAAAAGAAGCTGACGTTGGACTTCGATCCAGTGCAGGGTCATGTGGACTAATGCGTCATCCAACATAGTCTTGACATGTGAATATGAGAGGAGTGGTTCAGGTTATTAACTCTGTCGAGGTACAAAAAATATGGTCGCTCATGTTTGCCCTCTGTAGTACTCGGTACTACAACTTGTAGAACATAATTTGTGAATAGCAGGAATGTCTTTTAGAAGAAAAAAGAAAAACATAAAGGCGCAGCACATAAATCAACTGTCATAGTCCTCTCTCTCCTCATAAGTACTTTAGAACATTTTTGTCTTAGATTTTTCTAATCAAAAGAAATACCAGATCCTTTACATTTTTTATAGATTTTCCCATAAGATGGGTCCTTTTGAAATCGTTTTCACCGTGGTTCCCGCGGTCGGGTTGCATAACCTCTTGGCCTTTGTAATCCACGCAATCAGCGTAACGCTCGATGTCGAGCTGCAGCGTCTCTGTCTACTGCGAATTCCGCTATGCTGTGTGGGAAACAAGGTTACGGTCTTCCCATCTTCAGCGAAGGCATCCTAGGAGAGACGTTTTCAAGTGCTGGAAAAGAGTCTCGGCGGGATGGACTTGGAGATGGATTAAAGTGGGCTCTAATAAGGCTTTCGTGGACTTTTTAGAGGTGGCGTGTGGATACTTCCTGCAGGCGGCTTTAGGAGTAGCTCTGGTGAAGGACGAGTCGTTGTTGGGACATGACGCTATGCTCGATTATGAAACCCGCTACCACTAGCACATGAGTGTCAACTACAAAGATTGAACCTTCCAACTACTCTCTCTGCTCTCTCTAATCTTGAATCCCGCTCCTACAAGGTGCCATCGTTCTGTTCGTCCTCTGGTTCTTCGCTACGCCAAAGGCAGCCATCTACGTGCCTCAGAAAGCACCTGAAGATCCTACTGGCATAACCAACGTGAAATTCGAGAAGGTTAAGGGTACCTGCAACTGATCTCTGACAGCAACATCTTTGAGCCCAGACTCTTAGGTTCTGGCAATATAATGGCCAATTTGATGCTTTCCATCCACATCGACAAATCAAGACACATCGACGTTGCATTTTTCACCTCAGGTTAGTATGTGAAGGCTAAGGGTACCTGATCTCTGACAGCAGAGATGTTGCTGTCAGAGATCAGGTACCCTTAACCTTCTCGAAAGGTGTCTGATCTCTGACAACAACATCTTTGAGCCTCAGCATGAAAAGTGCTAAAAGATGTTCTACTAAGAGATGGGAAGTCGGTACCTCCAAGAAGGGGTCTGGTACAGGCGAAGGCAGAGTATGGACCTGTGATCCGAAAGGGACTTTGCCCCAACGTTTTGCAAAAGAAGGACCAGCATCGAAAGAGTTCTTTCCACCATGCTTATGTTAAACGTTGGAAAGATTTGTACTAAGTAGATGTTGAGCAGTGGTTAGTTTCAAAGATATTACATACGTCTACCGAACGTTATAGACGGAAGTCAGTACTTGGATAGAAGTCAGTACTTGGATAGAAGTTACGTTGTACTAGAAGTCAGTACTTGGATACTTTCTTAGATTATAGGGTAGTTTAGGTTTACATTTTACCTGATGCTCTAACCCCCACCGTCGAAGAGATCCTGCAGCGAGCGGCCCAGTCCTACCCAGATCATGTTGCTCTGGCGATCGAACGACCAGCACCCAAGAAAATTGGCGAGAAAAAGGCGCCTTCCATCCCTTGGGACCAGTGGACCAAGTGGACCTATGCAGAATTTTATAAGCTATGGCGCAGTTCTTGTTGTCAGACTGTCTCCGTCTGATTGATTCTGATGTTGGGGCGCTCCGCCGGCCTGTCTCTCTACACCTCGTGTGAAGGAGATAGAAAGGCAACCTATCCTATCCTATCCTATAAGTGAACGTGCACAGTTAGAAGATGCAATCTCAAAAATCAACTACGACTTTCTAACCCCCGAATCCGTGGCCGCCGCTGCCGCTTTTTGTGAACTTGGTGTGGAGATGCACGGTGCGGTTGCTGTTTGGGGTTTCAATTCCCCTGAGTGGCACATGACGTTTGCTGCTGCAGCCATCGCGGGTGCCAAGATGGCTGGGGTATATCCTACATTATGAGAATAACGGACTCATTCAATAAAAGTGGGTTGTGAAAAACACAAGTTGAAGTTTTCTTCTGACATTTGAGACACGGGACATCTTCTAGGAGATCCATAATTTAAAACCTTTATAAGAACAACAAGGTTCATTTATTGCGACTCATTTATTGCGACTTCCGAAGTAGTTCGTATGATTTGAACAGTACTATTGAACCTCTAACAGCTGACAGTTTCGACAACATGGTCTACAAAGTGAAGCACAGCGGAGCACGCGTTGCAGTGGTGGAAGGAAAGAAACAGGTCGATACCTTGCTCAGCGCGAAGGTTGAGGGGCTTAATACCATCGTTTTCTATGACCCAGAAGGCGGCGCAACGGAAGGAGAGCAGAATGGAGTTAGTATCATCGCGTGGAAGACACTGGTGTCAGGCAAGTACTGCCCAAAGGGTGAAGAAGCAGTCAGGTATCTTTCGAAGCGACGAGCGAGTCTCCAGGTTGGCCATTGCTGCTGCTTGGTCTACACGAGTGGCACAACTGGCATGCCGAAAGCAGTGATGTGCAGCCATGATGCTATCACGAGCACAGTATTGATGACATTCGTTCTTCTTTTTATGATTTGCTTCGATCATGTACCTGTGGTTTAGTTTGTTTCGTTCTCTTTTTTCTCTGTGATGGTGGGTTGTTGTACTCTTGTTCTAGTACAAACATCGGATAGTACACCTCAGGGCGGCTTAGCTCTTCACGAGTTGAAGAATATGACGGGCAAACTGAAAGGCCCACAGCGTGCCCTTTCCTACCTGCCGCTGTCACACGTCGCTGGGCTGATGTTGGATATTGTCGCACCCATGGTTCTCACAGCCAGATACCCACTGCCGATGACGGTACCAATGAATAGCCCTAGTAAACCCAATGCGCGTAGACGTACGAAGTGACAACTCCTCATAACGTGATATTATAGCCCTTCTTGCTTCTTCAACCTCTGCATACTACATTCTGACTCGTCTCACTCCACATCAACATCCCACCACCACCTTCACAACAGATCTACTTCGCACGCAAATACGACATGTCCGAAGCAACTATTGTGGAACGTATATCTTTTGTGAGACCTACGATTTTCCTGGGCGTTCCCCGAGTATGGGAGAAATTAGCGGAGGGGATGAAGGCGGTTGGTGCTAAAGTGAAGCCACCTATTTCGTGGCTGAGTGCCTGGGCAAAATTATGATTTGATCCCTTTTGGATTTGGATAATTGATCTTAGTTCTTGTGTTGATTGTCGTACTGACCACACTCGACTATATTGATTGCTTTATCACAACGAACTGGAAGATCTATCCAATCCCAACATTTTCCCGGCCTCAACTCTCTGTTTATGGTCGTTCTTTTACTCTACGCAGATACAACTAGAATTGGAACAAACTAAAAGTAAAATTTGGAAATTTGCATTCTCATTGATGGTCTTGTTCCCGTTCCCCTTCCCCAGAAACAAATGCTCTTTCTTCTAATGGCCGCCAAGTGTCTAGTCCACAGTCGTAACTGTCAACTTGGCGGATCTGGGGCTTACCCGTTGAAATGGAAAGTAGCAAACTTGGTGACTGGTGGAGTCAGAAAGAAGATTGGTCTAGACCAGCTACAATTTTTAAGGCTTCCCCTACTGGTCCATCTTCAGCGAAGTAAGCCATCTCTTTGAAAGACACCCTGAAGAGTCTGCCTTTCAAAGGGAAAGTTACCGAGGGTGTATCTTCTCGAGATGCTTAGATTATGGTAAGCTCTAAAATTCGCCTTCACAGGCGCGGCGCCTATGAATCCCGAGACCTTCGAATACTGGGGAAGTCTGGGCGTGAACATCTACGAGCTTTTCGCAATGTCTGAGAGCACAGCGATTTGCACGGTATTTGGAAGAAGAAGTTTTTACCTAGTGGAGTACTTAGACAAAAAGCTTTCTCATCTTTTTCAGGCACTTGATAGGGATAGACTTTCTTCTCACTCTCCAGATTTCTTCTCCACGTGCGGCCACTTGGGGTTCGGTTGGTTTCGCCTGTCCTGGTGTCGAGGTCAAGTTATGGCATGTTGATACCACGAGAACTGTAGGTCAAGTCTGTCAAGAAGAGAACTGTTTCACTTCGCTGATGATTGAGAATGGTCATTTGAGATGTTGCACTGATGATGATTATAACAAACGATCCCAATGATCTCTTTGAGCGATCACTTGAGACGCACTCATTCCCCCACACGGCATCTGTCTAACCCCTATCCTGAACGCTGACAAGCCAGGCGTCGCTGTACCACGTGCAAAGGACTTGTTTCATCCCACGGAAGCGGAACAGGGTGAGCTCTGTTATCGTGGCAGGAACAGTATGATGGGGTACATGGCCAACGGCGCGTTTGGCAAAGATCATGTTGCGGAACTCCAAAAAAAGACAGCCGAAGCCATTGACCCAGACGGATGGATTCACTCGGGAGACAAGGTGAACTACTTAGAAAAATCCATGTTATTCCTTACTTGGTCGTTCTAAGTAGATATGTTTTTTCCCTCTCATTGTCATTGTCATTGTCTTTCTAGTTGCTTCATCTAGTGTTTTTTCACTCTCATTGTCATTGTCATTCTTTGAATGTGTTTTTTCACTCTCAACATTGTCATTCTTTCTTACTAGTTGCTTCATTCCTCTTGACCACTCCCTCACAGGCCTGCCTCTCGAAAAACGGCATGTTCCGCATCACTGGACGTTACAAAGAACTTATCATCACTGCGGGTGGTGAGAATATCGCGCCGGTGCCCATAGAAAATTGGGTACAGGCGAACTTTCCGGCAATCTCCAATATCATGATGGTGGGCGACAAGAAGAAATACAACACCTGCTTGATCACGTTGATTATGATAAGATAGTCTTGAAGTTTTTATAGTTTTGAAGTTTGAGGTCTGAAGGAAGCATTTGATGTTTGTCAAGAAGCACTCGCACTCCAGTACAATTGATAGGATACATCACAAGACTGACGTGTACTAATTTTAAGAGGTGCAACTTCTACTACAGATTATTCACAATGTCAACATCCTCTGTTCTATCTTCTAGGTCAGCAACCTCTAATCCCAAAAGTGTCGGTGCTACCGGATTAGAGCCGGGCACGGATCAGCTGACTCCTGAAGCCTCGGCACTGCTAGGGGGTGTCAAGACTATCAGCAAGGCTCGATCTGATGCAGCTGCCCTCGCTTATTGCGAGAAGGCGCTCAAAGCGGTAAACGCGGAAGCTTCGGTGGTGCCTAGTAATGTTACGAGTGGAGTTTATATTTGCAAAAGACTAGGTAGGCCTAAAAACGCTGTTCTTTCAGAAGACTTCGTACTAATAATAGTAAATATTCGTAAGAGGGTTCTTCACAAACATTTGCTTCTAAGTACGATCTTCAGGCAAATAGAAACTTCTAGAAATACTCAAAAAATTGTAGGAGGCCAATTCTAAGAAAGCCTGCAAAATCCAGAAATTCAAGATCCTGCCACTGGATTTCTCTGTCGAAGGAGAGGAGCTGACGCCGACTTTGAAGTTGAAGCGCTCTTTCGTGATGAGCAAATACAAGACTTTGATTGATGAGATGTACTAGGAATCAAGTACAAGACTTGACGAGATGTACAGCTAGAAGGAGTGATGATGTACATTTTTTCGAGTCCGAATGTATTATACTGATTTACAACTAGAATTGTACACTAAGAATCATCATATTGTTGTTGTATGCATTTTATTTATAGGGTATATACGGATGTAGTACTAGTACAACCAGGTGTAGGTGGACACAGGGTACGATAAGTTTGCATGTCTGTGACCACTTTCGATGAGGCAGCAATGTCTGAGATGCAAAAGTGTAGTTGCCGGAATCTGGAAGATGTCATAGGATGAAGCGTGGGCTACGATGAATGAATATAGAAAGAGGAGTGGATCGCGGTGACCGACACAAAAAAACACACTACCCCATAAACCTTTTTACGTTTTTCAAATCCCTTTGGAGAACACTGCCAGGACGATCATAAGCTCAACATAGGCCACATCCTTGGAGAATACTGCGATGATGATGATTATGATAAGCTGAGCATCGGCCACATGGCCCGAGAGATATTTCCAACTTAGACACCTTCTGCGGGGGGGCTCGCGGTGTGATCAGGGTGGCGGGGCTGTGGTGTTTAGTCTAGGGCCGTAAAATGTACGGGCGCCAGGCAGCGGAAGGCGCGCGAAACGGAGCGCGGGCATTGACGCAAAAAGGGGGCGGGGCCTCTTTCTCCCCGTTTCTTTCTTATACTTATTCTCTTTCTTTTCTCTTATTATCTTTCTTTTTTTCTTTATGCGGGGGGGCGATCATCATCATCCTAATAATCCGAATGGCAATCATCAGCCACTCGGACACGGATGCGCCCGGAGAAGTATTGAGACCCCTGCCACCCTCAAAAAGCTCCCGGCGTAGCTCATAAGAAAAGAGAAGGGAAAAACCCGCGACGGGGGTAGAAAATCCCGCGTGGGTCCTTCTCGTTCCACGGTATTTCTAGCCTGTCTTGGGCGCTTTTACTTGTTTTTGAAGATGGTTGGTTCGATCGGGCTTTGGTCAGCCGGAACCTAGTATCGTGTTATGTTCACTTTGGCTTCGGGTTTGACAGCTGGTTCGGTATTTCGTTGTACACGGATGACTGAAAGCTCGTTTTGATTTCCGTATTGTATCAACCGACGACGAGAGAAAAGAGTGTCTCGTATCGAAAGAAGCTGTAGGAAAGGTATGTTGAAACAGTGAAAAGCGGCTAAGAATATCTCATTGTTGTAGTAAAAGTCGAACTCAGTCGAGCATGAAGAAGCGGATAGAACATCAAAAATATTGTGACGATACAACAATACAGGATGTTTTTTTGGCTAGTTCTCTTACTAGGACACGTGCCAATTGATTTCTAGGGGTAAACGGTAGTCAGTGCGTAATCAATAAGTGATAGAGACCGTTCTTATACTACTCTTCAGTTAGGCTAGCGAAAGCTGGAGGGCCAAAAGACCAGATCACAAAACAAACTGTGATAGACACAGGATTAGAGGATGCCAAGGTAAGGGGCTTCTGCTCCCCATTCACCAGTCGCTTATCATCGCGGAAGCTACAAGGAAGCTACAAGTTCTGACTTTGAAAAGGTCCTAGTCGTCCAAAAAAATGCCGGGCCGTCACGGTGGTGGTGAGAGTAAGTGGAAGGGGCGAGGAGTAGCCAATGAGGATGAGTTGGCTGAGAAGATCGCAAAGAAGGAACAAGAAAAGCAATTACGGAGAATTGCTGCTGCTGCTGAACATGCTAGAAAATTGCGACAGCAAAGAGCCAAACAGGCCAAAGCAAAAGCTGCGGAGCGTGAGTTCGCAAAGAGGGTGCAGAGACTTGGTAATATGAAGATTTTTTCATTTATTGCGAGACGAGTTGACCTACTTTTACTTCGTGAACAACATGCTTCTACTTGCATTTTTATCACACAGATGATACTCCTCTCCATTTCTCTCACTTCTCTCACAAAACAAAAAGGTGTCAACACTTCTCTAATATGAACAACAAAACAAAAACAAAAAGGTGTCAACACTTCTCTAATATGAACAACAACACAAAAACAAAAAGGTGTCAACAGTTCTCTAATATGAACAACAACACAAAAACAAAAAGGTGTCAACACTTCTCTAATATGAACAACAACACAAAAACAAAAAGGTGTCAACAGTTCTCGTCTATGAACAACAATACAAAAACAAAAAGGTGTCAACACTTCTCTAATATGAACAACAAAACAAAAACAAAAAGGTGTCCACACTTCTCTATGAACAACATAATCAACAAAAACAAAACGTAAAAAGGTGTCTTCCGAGCTTTAATCTCCGGAGTTGGCAGTATGCAAGTACAGCTGACCTTCAGAAAGTGGGTAGAATATGTCGAGATGCTCAAAGACGAACGGATCGAGAGGTATAGGAGGCAGCGGTGGCAATTGAATTTTACGATATGAAGATTAGTTTCTATTGATATTTGAAGGTACAAAAAGACTGAACTACCTCAAATCCACTAGACCATATGGATAAAGAGGGCACATGACATGACATTACTGCAAGAAAGACTAGTGCTCTGGCTCCGTGATATATTTTTTTTTGTTTAAAAAGATGTAGCGACTTGGTCTTCTTCGGTTCAGAAGCATTTTTACTGAGACTGACGTTGTCACTGGATCCGATTCTACGAGATCTAGGGTCGTACTCGGTGTGGTGAAGTAGAGGATAGTAGCGTACTGAATGACGCGCTGCATCTAAGAGTACTGATACCGTAAAAATAGAAGTTTGAGTTTCTATAGTTCCCACTTCCCACCTCCCGCTTCCTCTAATCATCGTCCGAAGGACAGTGTTGCGAAGATAGGCCTGATCCGGATGGCGCCGAACCAAGAAATGCCTCAAGCCTACAGGCGGCTGGACGAGGACTCTGTGCAGCATAAGATGAGGTATATTTGAATTCTGTTCACCAGCATAAGATGAGGTATATTTGAATTCTGCGAAGTCATGTCAACGCATTCCATATGCTAGTGATCCTAACCTATGAAGTAGATACGTAGATCTAATGAAGAGAGTACTAAGAGTCATGATTTGCTCATAAAGTATCATATCAAGCCTATAGGCAGCTGGGGAGGACTTTGCGCAACACAAGATGAGGTAGGTATCTGACTTCTAGATCTATTAAAGAGAGTAATTTGTCTAGAACTTTATGTGATGCGGGTCCTTGGAATTAGATAGTTTAGTTGTAACTATAACACGGAGCGACCACAATGTGGCACATGACACATCAAGAGACTCTAAGAGTCATGGTATTAAGAGTCATGGTATTTGCCTCCAAAATACTTATCATGTTCTTGAACGCTGACTAGATGGTGCTGACTAGATGGTGCTGAACCTGAAGAGGGTCACGTACGCGTAGGTATTCATAATGGAGGATTACATAGACTTATCATGTTCTTGACCACCGCTCCTGTACATAATATTGATATTCGCATAATATCTGCTCCTTCTTGACCACCGTAGGTACATAATATTCGCATATCTGTTCCTTGACCACCGTAGGTATCACATCGAAGGCGATGAGGAATGCGGTATGGATTTGCAACTGAAATCAACTTCCCTTCCGGCGCTTCTTCCACGTGCCTACAGGGATCCACTGTACCCTACTAGGGAGGACGTCATATTAAGGCTCAATATATTTCATTTCTACAAGTCATTTCTCCCTATTTCCTTCTTAGGATTGGGAGAAATGTAGGCAAGAAATGAATTGTTTTGAGCTTTAAGGATAGCCAGACGGGGTTCTACGGCTTTGGTGGACCAACTTCCTGCCCATCCAGCACAGGTGGTGCGAGAGCACATAGATGCAGCAAGGGAACGACAGGAGAATGAAAAGCGGATGGGCAAGAGTGACAGAAGTAGTCACTCGGGAAGCTGGAACGATATGGATTCCATGACCATGACGCACAGTACCAGTTTAACGCATAGCAGCAGCATGCATTCAAACAGCGGCGGAAGGAAAGAGTCAAGCGGAAGTGTGGCTGTTATGAAGACAGGAGTTTGGTGATGAAACTATCGCAAGTTTCTAGAAGAAATGTAGACTCAAATGACGTTTTTGAGGTAACGGATATTTGTGGCAGAGTAGACAAGTTTGGTCGGGTACTTATTTTACTCCATCACGGAAGATATCTGTTAGGATCGTTCAAAGACAGATCCATGAAAGTGCTTCAGATGTTGAATCCTCTAGCTTCCCGCTCTAACCCCTCCCCCAACGCGCACCAATCGTCTTCGTCGGACTCGGCGTTTGGCAAGAGTGGGAATGCCGTAAACAAAAAAATAGGAGACATGATGAGGACAACCGGCACCTCTGACGGGTTTGCGAAATCGGTGAGTGACGCGGAAGAAAGCGCCAACAGGTCCATGGGCACAACGAATTCATCCTCCTTCGGAACAGTGCTAGGGGCTAAGCAGTTTGTGAAGGAGGTACTATTTTTGTTGGACTTGTCGCTCTATTCTTGTTCTTCTGGGACTCGGCACTCTTGGTGTCTGGTGTGTGGAGGAGAAGTCCCTAATTAAAGAACTTATACCCCGTGAGTGGGTACATCTATCTATCTATGTATCTAGATCCAATGCTCGTTCATGTTAGTTTCTCATACAGTATTCATGATCAATCATCGAGCCTAATCAAATTTGAGACCATTGACTTCTTGATCATCATAAATTTTTTTTTATGACCACAGCTTCACCATCTCAACACCACAGGGAACATCCTCTTCACAAGCTGAAGCGGCGCCATTGCATCAGCAGTACGGCTACGATCCAGCGATCATGAAATTCAAAGCGAAGGGCTTGCACTATTATGATTCGATTAATTTCCAAAGCAACATGCATGAAAAAGGCCCCTTGACCCCTTATGTACTCCCCCTTCCTGCGCAAATACTACTCATTTTTCTCCCTCTCTCTCTGCTGGAACTAATTTATCATGGACCTACTTGTACGGACTGCATTAATTTGCAAAGCAACATACATGAAAAAGGCCCCTTGGCTCCTTATGTACTCCCCCTTCCTGCTCTAATCAGTTCGAACGGGCAGACCTGTCTTTTACGATGCGAAGTATCATCTATTCAAGTTCGTGTATCCACACGTGGACCGGCGATTCTTCGACTACGGAGATCGTATACGGTCTGACGCTATCGAGAAGAGCTACGAGCCACGTGGACACGTGATGGTCAAGTAGTTCGCTACTATAGTTCAAAATTCCTATTTCTGCATTTAGTAGTAGAAAAAATTCCTATTTCATCTGCAATGCACTCACTTTTTACATATCACATCTACTTCTCACAGTAGGAGATAATACTCCCACTTAGAGAAGATGAAGGTCTTGAAAAATTCCTATTTCTGCAATGCGCATGTTTAATATACAGAACCAGACTACAATGGGTTCCCAAATTCCTATTTCTGCAATGCACAGCAAACCGTCAACCACGGCGTCCTGAATAAGTTCGTCCTAAAATAAGATTCCTATTTCTGCAATGCACACATCTGCTATACTCACTTATATGGTACTAGCAAGCCAGTTCCTAGATTCCTATTTCTGCAATGCACACACAGACACACTCGTTATAAAGAATTCGTTTTTCTGCTGCAGTCTGCTCTGTTATAAAGAATTCAGTTTTTCAGCTTTTTCGAAAGCTGCTTACGCAATTTACTCTTTTTACAGTCACATGTTGGAGGGGAAAATAGCGGGGGAAAATCGATTCGGAGTTTCTTGTGAAGAAAGGGGGACTAATACTAGTATTACTAAGTACAACTCATCATCATCAACTAGTAAGTACGTACTGTGTACCTTATTTGGTAGGGCTGTAACGGTAGTGCTGACACTGATGTATAGTCACTCGGCATGGCAAGAGTTCAAACGGACTGCCGTTTCTTGATACTTGAACTAGAGCTTACGTCATTTGTCTTTGTAAATGGTCCTGGGAGTTGTACGTACTACTGCTTGGACGCGTAAAAAGAGGTCTACAACGAAGCAGCAGAGTCTCTATTCAGGGCACTAGCCCTGAGAGGTCTCTCTATCAAACTTTGACTTCGACCCTCAAAGTGTGGCTGTTGTTCGTTGGGGGATGAAACTATCGGTCGTCTTGGCATCCTCTAGTGTGTGAAAGTCAGACTCAGACAATTGTGGGCTTTGCTTTATCGATGTCGGTCTGATCGGTCGTGAATGAAGAATTCCTCTCGTACCTCTACCCCATAGAAGATGATAAAGAGTCCCTCATGCCTCCGAGGAGCCCTGTACCCCATCCCGAATGATGACACCCGCTATTTGCAAGCTGTCGCATTCTTTGAGTTGAGTACTTTTCTTCAGGTCTTCGTCGTTTGGATCGTTTTCTCCCACCCTAGATGGTTCAGACACATGACTATCTCTTGGTTGTACATGATCTTTGACGTACTACTTGCTAGGTCGAAATTTTTTCTCCGATCACTCCATCACATTATATCTCCATCACATTTCGTCTCCGAGGATCAAGCACACGACACACTCAAAAAAATAGACCCCAACTACAAAATGCTCTCACTTGCATGTTGACTATTTTTTTGTAGAATTCAAAAATAATAGGGAAAGAGAGTCTGGTTACGAACTGTTGCAGAGGCGATCTGCGTCCTGGGGGTGGAGGAGCTGCATGAGTGGTGCAGTGCAAGTTCCCGCTACAGAGAGGAAGTAATACTGCAGCTTGAGCCTCTACTCGAGAGGAAGTAATACAGCAGCTTCAGCCTCTACTCGAGAGTAAATAATACTTCAGCTTGAGCCTCTACTCGAGAGGAATTAATACAGCAGCTTCAGCCTCTACTCGAGAGTAAATAATACTTCAGCTTGAGCCTCTACTCGAGAGGAAATAATACAGCAGCTTCAGCCTCTACTCGAGAGCAAATAATACTGCAGCTTGAGCCTCTACTCGAGAGGAAATAACACAGCAGCTTGAGCAGGCTTCAGTTGTAAACAACACAGCTGCAAGCAGAAGCAAAGAAGATCTTGTCACTAAATCTAGATACTTCGGTATCACCTTCTAGTCGCGTAGAAGATGCCATCCAGTTTAGCTGTTTCGGCACCACCTAAAAGGGAGCCCGTCCGGATCGTCCCAAAGGCGGGTGAACCTGAGATTAAGGCTATCGCTATGCTGTTTTTGAGTAGAACCAACATAAGAACTTACCGCTATGCTGTTTTTGAATAGAACCAACATAAGAACTTACCGCTATGCTGTTTTTGAATAGAACCAACATAAGAACTTACCGCTATGCTGTTTTTGAATAGAACCAACATAAGTAGTCTTCGACCGGATTCTAAAATCAGCCATCCCAAGACTATAATCTTCCTATTTAATGATTATGTCCTTCAGCCTCGTACTACTTTCCAAACCATCAATTTTTACATTAACCTCCTCTAATTTCCAAGAAGACTGGAAAGAGCTGTTTGGCGAGGACTACGAGCCCTCACTAGGTGTAGAGCTAAGAAGTAGTATCACTCTACCCACTGGTCGGACACTGCCAAGATACAAGCATGAGGCGACGGACGCATTCAAAAGTTGGGAGAAGTCAGCTCATTGGCGATGGCCGAACAGTACCTCTCGCATGTTGAGAATACTTACCAGATTTGAGACCTACTTCCACCTCCTTTATGAAAGTGACCACCATATTGAGTGATGAGAAACTTACTACTAGTACGTCATTTTTTTATGAAGTTCGATGACTCTCACATCACCACAGTGAAAAAAGTTCCCATCTTCCATGCACCACTCAATTACAAATAACAGGGAAGAAAGTCGAAAAGTCGCAGTTCAATTTTACACGGAGACATTGGGAAGCAACGACACTAGTGGAAGGCGCACTTGCGAACGGAAATCCGGATAATTTGTTTGAAGGTATGATTTGGATATCCTAAACCTTTCTCTTTGAAGGTTCTTCGGGGTGAACCATTCTTGGAGGGGTCAAGCTTAATCGTGTTTGTCTAGATGATAAATAGGATGGAGAAAGGTATTAATGCATAGTCTAGTCTAAGTCTTGTACACCTCGTCTCCAGATTTTATGAAATCTTCTTCAACATAAAATCTCAGGTAGCAGATGTAGTGTTCATCCTGGCAACGTAGCATGGTGGTGGGGGATACATGGGTGTGAGAAGTGCAAACAGACAGTGGAAGGCCAACGTCAATTTTTCAACGATCGGATTGCCAGGAAAGTTATGCATGGATCTTTGACATCTTACTTTGTTAACTCTATCTACTTTAGCATAACTATTATAGGCAAATTTAGTACCGGTGGATCTTTTTGATGGTGAAGGAGAAAGGGCGAGTCAATCATCTCGGTTCCAACGTATTACTCTCGAGATTTACAACATGCATCTATCTCAAAATATGCTAGACTTCTAACTTCCACCGCGAACGCTTTCCAGCGTTTACACTACAGAACGAGACGCTTGCGGAGACAGCGAAAACTTTAGAGGATACGACACCTGCTCTAGCTCATCCACTATTGAGACCACCAAGTCCGTTACCGGAACCGCCAGGTGAGGAGTTTTTATTTGCTGCGCTGTTCGATGCGTTTTTGAGTACATGTTCCACTGCCAAAGCTGTATTATTTCTGCAACTAAAAACAACATTTTCAGCACCTTGATTTTTCTTCGACCGATTTCAATATTGTGTCTCTCGCTCATCTCCTTTTTCGAACATTTTCTATGATAAGCATCATGAATTGATTCATATTACATCAATGAATCCAGGTCGCAAGCGAACCGAAAAAGAGAAGCGAGAACGGGACAAGAGGCATGCGTATATCGTTGAGAAATACCCCTACAGAACTGCGCGAATCGGATCCGATGCAAACCCGAAATGCTTCAGCTATCAGTGGCTAAAGACTTTATGGTCTCTTCATGCGATTTTTTACATTTGATATTGGTCACACATTTAGTGCTGTCCGTTGGTTTTGGTTTTTTCGGTTTTTTTCCCACACTCTTCTTCTAACCAACGCACCCGACCGTCGCGACTTGGCCAGGAAGATGACCAGACCAGCTGTGCCGTGGCACTGAGAGAATGGACGTTTTCACTAGTAGTTCATCGGAACCGACATGAAAATGAAATACCATGAGCAGTATGAAATTAAATTGGAAATAAAGTACTTAGTAATACAGTTACTGTAGTTTGCTTTCGCACAGATACAGAATGATTACCTGAAATCGTTATAGAGCTGCCTAATGAACCTGAACACTACGTCAAAGGATAATAAACTCCGAATCTGCTTCTGATTAAGAACTGCGTCCCTGAAAAATGACCTGGAATATACCAATTCTCTGCGATTAATCTGAACTCGCTGTTATCGTAGTTATGCCACAAAGAATTATAAAAGGCATCATTGAGAACGAAATGTATCTATGCACGGCCCAACTTCGTGTATTTTAGAAAGACATCTTAGCTTGCTTGTTGTAACTGCTTCTTAGCTCGTTGTAATCGAAACAACAGGCTGAGATGAGATGCTGCAGACAGTGGAGTAATACAGACAATTTGGAGACAAGAGTCTTCTGGTGTCTCCTTCGAAAGTCGATCCATGTCGATGATTCTGGAGAGACGAGCGCAAGAGATCCTTCGCTGAAGAAAGACTAATAGGCCGAGTCATGCGGTTAGAGAGAGGGAGCTTGAGATCGTCTGTGTTGTACTTGTAATAAAGACATGATTGATTCTAGTAATATGATTTGGTCGTCCCTTTGGATTCTGATAAGGATTTGTTAAAGATTCTATCATTTCATCTTCTATCTAGGAGGGGTTTTCTGGCGGGTGTTAACTACTTGTACATCTTGATTGTTATACGAAAAAACAAAAAAAGGATGTCGTCCGATCGCAAAGCCGTGATCAAAAATGCTGACATGGCAGAGGTATTTTCGACTTTTGATGATTTTCCTTCCGGAATGATAGCATCTTTTCCCGACGACGTTTCCAACATCCTAATGCTATCCGCTTACTACTCTGCTCATTACACGCAATATCTCTGTAGTGCGACTTTAATATTTACCGTACTTCTCTTCCGTTCCTACTGAAGGATCCCACCTGCTGTCACAACTCCTCTACTCACAGGACATGCAGCAGGACGCCATTGATTGCGCGATGCAAGGACTAGAAAAGTACAATATCGAGAAGGATATTGCAGCCTTCATTAAGAAGGAATTCGACAAGAAGTACAACCCGGTAATATACCTAGTATATGCACTTAGGTTGTTTTCGGACTCTGATAAATAGATTCTGATGAGAAGGAACTACACCATTAGGTATCTTCAGGATTGTAGCTTGATCATTTGACAACTTGCATCTTCTCCCTCAACAGACGTGGCACTGCGTTGTTGGGCGAAATTTCGGCAGCTATGTCACACACGAGACCAAGCACTTCATATACTTCTACCTGGGACAGGTACCAATTTGTTTTATTTTGTTTGCAAGAGCATGCAATGAATGAGTATCTTCTCATTCTTTGTCTTTCAATAATTGAGCTTGGTAAAGAACCAATAAACAGAGCAGAAAATTCAAGATCACAATCAAACTCAATTTCCCTGTCTCTTCTGTTTTCTAAGGTTGCGGTGCTGCTTTTCAAGTCGGGTTAAGACTTCTTTGATGAGGACTCCATGTTGACTACGTCGAAGAGAGGAGCCTTTCTATCGGAGCTGCTGAGCTGAAGACTCCATGTTGACTACGTCGAAGAGAGGAGCCTTTCTATCGGAGCTGCTGAGCTGTTAGTATGTAGCTTAAAAACGAAGTGTATCTGTAAGTTGTGTGATCTTCTGTATGTCTGTGAAAATTCCTGATGTAGTCTTGAAGGACCCCCCTTACCACTACACTTAGCAATTGTTAAACACTACCTTGTGAATCCAAACCCAGCTGCTCCCCTTACACTACAGAACAGCATACTTGTGACTTGTTTGTTGACCATAGTAAATGATGTCGTTGTTGAAAATTTGCTTCTAGACTAGAGTAAGGTCTAGCACGACCGTATGGTAGTTACAGTGTAGACGAACGAAGATATCGCATTGAGGAAGAAGTGGTTGTGTTAAATCTGGTGTTCCCTTGTTCTTTGTCCTCTTACAGCACTTTCGCGAAATAACAAAGCTATCTAGGACTCGAAACGATCGATTTATCACTGAACGAAAAGTACCGTGTGAAATCAAATTGACGTGGTTGCCGTGCTTGTTGTACGATGAGCAATTACAGCGCGACTAGAAGGAGGTAACAAAAAGAACAGAAAAGACGTTGTTGAGGAGGTTTAAACGAAAGGTCTTCTTCGTGTTCTTGTCGTGGCAGTCTTGGACGCTGTTGCCGGTGTCTTTCTGACAGGTCCAAAAAAAAAGAGGATTGATACGGTTGTAACATGGTGTTCCTGATCTCTCTCGATCTTCATATTTTGTGCAAGTTCTTTCTGATTTTTTTCCCCGACAGGCTCTATCTTTGTTACTAGTTGTCTAGTAAGTATGATGTCTCATTTCTTTCATGTTCATCAAGTAAAATTTATTTACTAGTCTACTTGTCTGAACAAAACTAGTACTTGCCTGGAGAAAATGAAAAGCATCTACTAGCAGACTAATATCAATGTTGTGGCACCACCATCAACGAACTACTCATCTTCTTCCCCTTGAATCTGTATTAAGTTGCAGTAACTTCATTGAAATTGTAAGACCACTTATTTGTAGTTTATCAGGACCACGAGCGCTCACCCCCTCATAGGTGAGCCAACTCCTATCCTATCCTCCAAAAAATATGAAGCCGTCTGGTTCAAACCCCTGTCTAGGAGAGGAGATTAGTTCCGGCAACCCTTTCGCAGAGATGGATTTAGGCGATTTTGACGAACCTAATGAGGACCACGCTTTACTCAGTATGGGAGGACATCAGATGAATGGACAAGGGCAACAGAAGATGAATGTTAAGGACAAGAACGTACAGTAGAAGAAGTAGATCATGTCATTTTTGTAGAAGCTTTTTTATAAATGGATTTATCCACTCTAGCCACATCTAATCTCACGCCTGGACAGAGTCCGCCTGGGGGTCCACCCGCATTGCAACAGATGCACTTGCTAATGCAGATGCAGCAAATGATGAGCAAGATGATGAATGACCAACAGTTAAGACTTTTTTGCCGGATGTAAGTGCGTCGTAGTAGTAGTTCTATCTTTGATCTGATGATGAATGAGTTTACTGTATACTGGATCTCTTACGAAGACCATCCTCTTAGGTGTAGCTTTTCCTCCTAGGGGATTCATGCTGTTAGATTGTGGAGAAGATGACAAGAAACAAACAGAAACACGTGACTCATTTTATACAAATGATTGTGATAAGCTCGTCTAAAGCGAGGATCACAGCAGCCAGGCGGCCAACCGCAGCAAGCGGGCGCCCCACCACAGCAGCCAGGCGGCCAACCTCAACAAGCTCAGCAAATGGGAGGTCACATGGCCCAGATGCCTTCGGGACAGCAGATGATGGCACCGCTAGTTAAGACCATCATGTCAACGTCACTCCTGATCTATATCCACTTACTCAATTATAGGAGAAAGAACATTTTAAAGTTCTCCATCTGATGTTCTCCATCTGATGTCTTGTAATATCATAATGTCTTGTAGTCCTTGATGTCTAAGTTTCGGAATGCTCTTCCTGTCCCTCCTGGTTGTAATGCCTTGATGTCTAAGTTTCGGAATACTCTTCAAGGAATGATGACAGGTGAGCAGGAGTTTCGGATCCTCATGACAGCTGAGGATCCTTCGCTCCTGCCGGCTCCTGCCGGCTCGATTTTAAAGTTCTCCATCTGATGTTCTCCATCTGATGTCTTGTAATATCATAATATCTTGTAATATCATAATGTCTTGTAATATCATAATGTCTTGTTGTCCTTGATGTCTAAGTTTCGAAATGCTCTTCCTGTCCCTCCACAACAGCAGCAAGTCGCTCCTCCACAAGGCGTGGCACCTCAAGGAATGATGACAGGTGAGCTCCTCATCGCAGCTGAGGATCCTTCGCTCCTGCCGGCTCCACCACCAGGCGTTCAGGGTATCCCCGAGTGGGCAGACGCGTATCAACAAGGAGAGACGGCACCATTGTACTTAGGAGGAGAGAAAAGAAAGGAAATCTTGGACTTCAACTCAAAAAATAAATTAATGACTAACTAAGGAAAGCACCTACAATCTAAATAATTCATCACCCTTCTTATTATGTAGTGACTTTCACTTTCTTGTCATTGAGGAATCTGAGTGGTTGTTCTTCATGGTCTAGGAGTAATTTAACATGAACGACTTACTATACAGCAATAGTTTTCAAAGACGACGAAAATCCGATAGCTACTAGTGAAGAATGTCTGTCTACTATGCAAGCCTCAACAACAATATAGCACCTCCTTATCAGCTTTAATCAGCTACAATACTGTTGAGTCTCCTTGTACTGTCTGAAACCCCGCTAATGCTTGGCTGGATCAAGAATTCAGTAAAGGAAGGCAGAAAAGGGCCCTTTGGTTTTGTCGCTTCAGAAAGCTTCGCCCAAGGAGTCAATTTGTTTGCTGCTGTCTGCTCTCTATCACCGCAAACTATCGCAAGAGCAGAGGAAGAACAGCGCTTGATGTTAAGGTCAGACTTTATCCATCTTTCTCGGCATCTTCTTGGTCAGATTTTTCCTTGTATTATCCCTGTGAAATGATACAACAAAGGTAGAAGTAAAGGGGTCGAGATGTTGAGGGTCGACGCAAGATGAATAAAAGCGGACGCTAATGATGAATCAGGGCGGCGTCGCCGTGGGACTCGATATCAATGATTTATTTCGGCGGTATTTTGCTGGTTCTGACGTAGAGGTTCGCTTCGAGGTGCATCGGCATCCTACCGACGTTATGACAACTACGTATAACTCATACCAAGTAGTTCTATAAACTGATCTAAAGGGTCAATACTACGTCAACCCACCTTTGACAGACGGAATAAGATTTTGTTCTTAGACTGGAGAGACGTCCTATTGCTCAATCTAGATGAATACTAGTAGTTTTAGTTCTTAGACTGAAGAGACGTCCTATTGCTCAATGTAGATGAATACTAGTAGTTTTTGTTCTTGGTACGACAACACCTCTTCTAATGATGCGTCCAAGCTTCAAGCAGGCAACTGTGTGCGTGTGGATGGAACTTTCGGGGAGTGGTGTCCTGGGCAACCACAGGGTGTAGGGATGGCACCAATAATGCAACCAGCTGGAATGGTTGTTACGAGGAACTATCGAAAAATCTTTCAAAAAAGTTTTGTTGTAGGTTCGTAGGTAGAAGTATGGAGACCACGTTGTAAAAAAAGAATATTATATACATAGATTGAAGACCATTTTTCTGTTATACAAATAAGTATGCAGTATTATCAATACGTAAGAAGTCAATGCATCTTAGACTGAAGATTGTATCAGTATCCCTGGTCTACTGCTCTGATACGTATTTTAGGCTGAAGATTGTATCTATCAGTTTCCCTGGTCTACTGCTCTAATGTTCCTCCACCGGTTTTCAATCCAGCTCCTGCGCCACCAATCTACAACCAAGCGGCTTTTCAACAGACAGCTTTAAGGCAGGCAAGACTAAGATGATGTATTCTTTCGTCCTGTGAAACATTAGACATTTGCATTCCTATTTCGAATCTATCCACCAGCAGCAATGCAACCTCTATCTCTGCCACATTATTCATCACCACTAGCTTAAAGTCTTAGTACTAAGTCACCTCTATCTCTGCAAAATTATTATCCACCAGTTTTCCTGGCTAATAACAATACTCCCCTAAAATGGCAATAGTTTCAAATCTCAATCTCTCCTAATCCATCCCCAAGAACTAAATTCTAGTTCAAATTATCTCTTCCAACCCCTCCCCCACTAACCTCAAGAGTTCACCTCATCTTCTAATTCACCCACCAGTAGCCTCGTCACCAGTAGGTGTCCCTTCGATTCCCCAGTACGGATCAACCACGACACGCATGATCCCGCAGTGTCGTCCGCTGATCAATCCAGTCGCTACAGCGCCACTCGATCGGCATCTTGGCTTCGTATCGAAGCAAAATCTCACGTCAGCGTCAGGAGATCAGGGAGTGGCAATGGCCGGCCAGCAAAGCATGATCAGCAGCATGCCACCACCACAAGGACAGCCATCGCAAGCATTATGTCTCTGTCAGTAGTTCAAGTTCAAGTTCCTTCATGAACAAGGAGAAATGATGATAGTTAGTGCATGGAGTAGAATTATAACCCAATTATACTGGTGAATGCTTTATATAATGAATGCTTGCTCCTTTAACCTCGATCTCGGTTTATTGTTGCTGATTTTGATTGTGTTGAGTTGGAAGTCTGAAGATACTGAATGATCCCGTCTAATGCAAAGCGCAGCATTAGAAGGTGATGACGATTTGACTGGACAGGATAGGCAAATCGAACGCCTTTACCGAAGATACAGAGAGGAAAAGCAGGAACTGCTCGCTTTGCAGGAGAAGCGGAAAACAGCAGACTCTAGAAAAGCAGCTTTGAAAGAAAAAGTCAGGACATTGGAGAAGGAGTTGAGCAGCGCAAGAGCCCAATTAGTGCAGGAGTTTCCTGAACAAGAAGCTAAGGGAAGAGAAAAGAAGAGTGACAGTGAGATGACTTCTTGAGCTGAAAATACAAAGATATTACATTCTAAAAGACCACTACGCCGTACTCAGAAGTTCTGCTTGTTTGAGGTTGAAGTTGTTGCATAAGGTTTGAATACTGAATATTCATACTAACTTTTCCCTCATCTAATTCAAGCAAGGAGCAGCTGCGAAGATATGAGGAGCGAGAGCGGGAAGCACATCTGTGTGAGAAATTGCGAAAGTTTCAATCAGACTACTTGTTGGGACTATTATTCGACGATGAACAAGAGGCAGCACACCCACAGGCAGGGAATAAAACTATAGGTGGGACGAGCGCTTCCTCGTTCGGAGTGAGAATGAATACTCAACATTCCTCGAATACAACAACGACTGGCGGGAGAATGAAGAGCACTCAGTCGTTGTCGAATACACTGACAAGTTTACGAAGATTTTCTTGGTGTAATTTGAAATAAGTAGGAGGTAGGTAAAACTGCGGACGGCGGACACCCTCCTAAAAATCCTAATCCTAGGTAGATGAGCAACAACATCCTTTTTTTGTTTGTTTCGCATATATGACTGATTCTTTCTAATTCTGACGAATACTTTGGCCAGCATGATGAAGAAATTGCCTGTGCGCGGACGGGAGAGATCTAGATCGCCATCAAGGAGACAGCATCGATATAAATGACTCTTCAACAGCGGAGGAGCATGAGGACTTGGGGTTTCCTTAATAGCAGCAATGTGTTGATTCCGAATCATGGGTCCCTTCAGGGAAGGGACCAAGACTCCTTTGAATGGGACGACCAATACTCCTTTGAGTGGGTCTTTACAACAGGAGCATTAGAGTAAATGACACACGGGAATGGAAAGGACATGTTGATGTTGCTGCTGCAAAAGCAGAAGAAGGATTTTATTGTAAAACGCAAGTGAGGCTGTGGAGCGGGAGACGAGGTTCTCTAAAGAAAAGGGCCTGAAGAGTCTTTAAAAGGGACTTGGTCCTAGGATTGTTGGCTGGGCATGAAGAACCTGACGCAGTCAAATGTTGACGGAATAAAACCACCTACTTGGTCTCTAATGTTGCTCTGCAACTCCCGTAAGACTTGAACTCTAACTCCAACTTGAACTCTACTTTGACTCCTATTGGTGTCTGCAACTTGCCATCTGGATGGTCACACAAGCCTCTGCTGGAGATGGCTTGGGGGAAGATGGTCACACTTTGATGTGCACGAGGTCGTGGCCGCTCCTTTGTATCCAGATGCTAAAAGAATGGACGTTGATGTACCAGAAGCTCTCTCCCTCTGAAGTCGGTCCTTTCTTCGGTACTCCTGGTCAAAAATCACCAACTGAAACTCTATGTTGCAGCGCTTGAGCATCCTGGAACTTGGCTGTTTCATTCAACAACGGAGAACTTCCTCAACTCCTTGCTGTGTCTCCTGTTTGGGATCTGTCATCTTCTCGTTTGCTTGTAGTTGGGGAGCACTTGTGCTGCTTCTAACCCTGATTCTGATTCTTTTCCGAAGATATGGTTTCTGATGTCGACAGCGTCAATGATAAATCTTCTATGTTTTTGGTGTGAAAATTTCAAAAACATCCGAGCTAATCTCTGCTGCAGCGAAAACGGTCAAGCAATTGATTCTTGCTAGAAGACTTGTGAAGGACGCTGACCTCTGCAATTCGGTAAAACCTCCTTCATAAATCATCCATTCCATGAATTGGTACTGTAGTACTAGTACCCCATAAAAGGGCACATCTACCACGCTAATACTGCTACTCTCTCTCTCTCTCACAACTTTCATGAACGTGACGGCAAGGAGTTGATGAGACTCCGCCGTCTTCGTAAAAAGCAAATGGTACTTCCCAATACCACGAACGATTGAATTACGATTTGTACAAGATGTTGATTTTTTCTTGAATTTTCCTTCTTCAGACGAAACAGGTTCAGGCTTTGTTGGTGCTTTTTTTTGTGAAAATTTAGATCAAGATCTAGTAGAAGTCCTGAAATTATGGTCCTAGACCAACGACAGACTAGCAGCTTCGTAGTTCTTCTCCTTTCCTAGTATAAAAATGATATGATTCCTTTCCTCTGAACTTATACTTAAATAGATACACCAAAAGAACCCTTCTACTACAAGACTCTACTACAGAACTTTATATCTAGTAGTACGTCAAAAATCTACTACAAAACTGCACTATATCAAAATTGTGTCATCTGTAAAACAAAACTATACTCCAAAGCATTCTGGGCGTGCCACTGCTCCGAACAGTCAGAATCAATATAGGAATACAGAACAAGAAGAGTCCGCAAATCCGCAGCAATGGCGTCTTACAAGGAGCGACGCGCGCAGCGTGATGCCATGAAGAGCGTGAACTTGGCAAACCGACGGGAGCACTTCAGAAACACGAGAGGTGGCAGAGAACGAACGCCAATTATGCTGGGTTTAGGTTGTCAGAGTGAGACATTATACTTGTAGAAGAATAGAAATCAAAATTATCACCTATGCAACATTGTTGTAAGCTAAGTACAAGCTACGCTAACCCAAGCAGCTACTGTATTGTAAGTTGCAAGTAGCTAGTACTGACAAAGAGTCTATGTTAAACTAACGCAAGTGCTGCTTCCATAGCTCTAGAGCACACAGGAAGTTGAATATCTTCGTTTTGCTAACATCATAATAAACCCCCAAGATACTTATTCAAGAAATTTCTAAATAGCCCCGAAGATCTCTATTCCATCCGGCATGAGCATCCTAGAAATTTGAACGCTGAACCCCGAAGATCTAAATTCCGACACCAGCATCCTAGGTCTTCTCCTGGTCTAGCAAGGGAGGCAACTCAGAACGACGGACTTTCGGACGAGGAAAACACAGTATCGAAGGTACTCGCGATCCTTCTCCGACATGGGATCTACGACGCTTACAAACGTGCGCCGTATCGAGAACCAGTTAGGATTTAATGTGTCGATTACTGAAGTCTATGATAGATTAATCTGTCTAGCTACAACTGACGAGGACGTCGAAACTTTTTTTTGCAATTCATTCGACAAAAAGTTTTTTGTCGAGTCTAAGAAGGAAGAAAGAGTTCTTAACTACCTCTAACTATGAGAGTAAGAGCAAGTAAGTAGGGCAGTGTCTTTATCTTATCTTTAATGATCAGGGACCTCGACGGACAACTTTGTTACAACACATTTAATGACCGATCAATGATCCTTATATATAGAATGATACTACTAGGGTGCTAGGAAAGGCACTATCAGGGGCATACGCATGACATACTTCTAGAATGACCAATATAGAGTCTAATCTTAACTACTACGATGAGAGCGGTTTTGTTCCTGTAGAATGGTTGTGCAACATGGTTGGTGGTACTTTGAATCATTTCAATGTGGGAACCGTACTCAAGATAGTGGAACGCAGCGTCAAGAACGAGGATGGTATTGGTAACTTCTAATGAAGCTTCATAAAGTAGTAGCGTAAAAAAGAAAGCGGACGGCATCGATTAAACGCAAATCTTTGATCTGAAATAGGAATTGTAGATCTACTCTGCTCTACTGCTGATAGTTTATGACGATATTACTTGAATGCTGTTTCAGCATGTTGACTAAGTACTATTATTTAATCAGAAACACTGCGTTGTTGACAAGGCAGACTGCCGCATTTCTCTCCTTGCGCTACCTACTATTCTCTACTTCGTTGAAGTAGAATGAACACGCAAAAGTTCTTGTTCTCTCCCATCCTCAAGTATACGATATGCGCAACTACGTGACAGTCTCACATAAAACTACTGCACAGAGGATGCCGGAACTGCGCTGGGCGGAAGATTTGAGATTGCAAATGTTCCTGAAGCAGGAAAAGAGAGCTTATTCATTCGTGCGACTGTTATGGTTTTGCATGGCCTGGGCCTATTCTTTCTGTGACTAAGGAAGCCCATATCATTTGTTCTTAAAAAAGAGCCCGTTTCTAAAAAAACACGAGAAAGCATAATAAAAACGAGATGAAATTATAACTAAGTTACTCTACAGCCTTCTATGCAATCTATGATTAGAAATTTCCTCGAAGATGAGAAAGCATAGCGTGGGAGATGACGAGCTGCCTTGGGCTTCCGTAAAGCATATTCACAAACCACTCTGGGAATTTTGGTCGGATGCTATTGAGGGCAATTGGGCTCCAACGAAAATCCTGTGTGATTGGGCCAAAAAGGGTGCTAAGAAATATGATAGTGCTCAGTATAATTATTCAACATTGGTTTTTCTTGTTGTACTTCCTATTCGTTAGTCGCATTATCTGCTACTTGCAGAACATGAAAAGGATCAATTTTCAATATACGACGGACGGTGTTAGTACTACTTGATGTTGCTGGCGCTGCTCTTGAAAAAAACTCTTCAAAAATTCCATCTCAACAGTCGCTTTTCCGGCAAGTGAAAAGTCCTCGACAGTCACATCTTTGTCCTCCACTGTGACGTCTTTTTGTGATGACGCTGCCGACTCCGTTAAGGCTGGTGTATGCAAGTTCGAATATATCAAGGAAGAGTAGCAGTGCTGGTGTAAGTCATCGCATCATGCGAATCTGAATTAACTTCCAAGGCATTACATTAAGTACAGTCTCAGGACTGTGCCTCCGAAGACTTTACTTCGATGTACTGTTGCTCTATTCAGTCCTGTGCCTCTCACAAGGACTGTACAACGTCTAAGATAAAAAGCGGCACGAAAATCAATTTCGCAGAATCTGAGGGAGGACAAGAGAGCGAGAACTCAAGCGATCGACCACCGTCCTTCAGGGAGAAACCGGCCTCCAGGGAGAAGCCGTTAAAGGATAACAAGAAAGCACCAGCAGTCTGCATTATGATAGATGCTTTCCCTCCTACTTATGTGCGTACCATAACAATGACTGGGTACACTACTTAGGTATGCACGACTGGGTAGATTACTATTAGATAGGAATGAAATCAAGGATGTTGAATGAACAGGATACTTGGACGTACTCGGAGGTCCTACAACCTTCGCTACTTTAATTTCAACACCGGGTTACAGCACCTGATGGCGTAAGGGTGACACTCATAGAAGGCAGAGGCGGAAGCTAGACAAGAACACGAAGAGTACTAGTGAAGAGAAGTATTTCTAAACGATGACTTTTATTCCTTGAAAGGCATGTTGCTGGACTAGCTCGTAGTTGTAGTAGACAGAATGACTTGCAGCTTTATATTAACTTTGTGTTGACGTCAGAGGACCTTCTTATCGTACTAAATATGAGCAGTCGTGCGCACATTTACCCATTTGATTCTATGTCTACCAAGTAGTTAATTGTAAGAGTACGCAGTTCGAGTTGCGTAATCTATCAGGTGTATTGTTCGTTCTTGTGCCAGTTGTCGTGGTCACTCTCAGTAATAGTTCCTGCGGTATCGGGAATGTTCAACGCATAGTAGATACATGACACACCTTCTGCTAAGGAGTGTGTGACACATATATATAAGTACTACTTGTACTCCTTGTGATATACAAAAACAGTTTGTACCCTTCACATTGATCGTCGGCCAAGAAAGAAGTAGCCTTTGCCATCCTCATTTTTTGGAACAACTTATATCATACCCAATGGAGCACTTTTCGTTGGTTCTTATACCTGGTTAAAAGATAAAAGAGGAAAATAAATAGAAGAGGCTGCGTAGAAGCAGGAAGTGCTAGAAGATCCTTGATCAGGAGAAGAACGGGCGAGCATGGTGAAGGCGTGTTCCCCATCTTTCTATCGTTCAAGCATTCGTAGACCTTGCAAGAAGACGAACGACGTGTCCACAAGCACTCGAAGGAAGTTGCCGAGCGGCGCCTGAGAGTTCTGTTGAGAGACACTATAATGGAATTTAAAGGAGTTAATATGTTGATGGATCTTACAAGAAGTTAACATATTGAACTACAACAGAGGCTCAAACATCACAAGAAGTATCATTATAGTTCTAGAAGGACTAGCAGTATACTTCAAGTTCTAGGAGGATTACAACTAGATGTATCCTGTGTCCCTGAATGTCTCACCTACACCATCCTCGAGGTCGTTGTAGCAGAGAAAGGTCATAGCGCAGAAAGGTCATAGCAGAGAGAACTGAGAGACAGAAGAGGGGCTTGAGGCTGCAGATGATTGATGAAGCATGATCGTCATTTTCGTTCGAATGTGGTCTTTCTCGTGATCCATTTGTTGCTTTTTAAGCTAAAGATAAGTATTCAAATACGGAGAACGCGACGCGTGCGCCGTGCACTTAATTGCTCACTGTGATGATATTGTTCAAGTTGGATAGATGTCTCATGGGAATGTAGTACGTTGATAAGACTCCAGCTCATATGACTGCCTCTAGTTCATACTGACTTTCTTTTTCTTTTTTGGGAAAGACTTTTTTTGGAGGTTGTAACCCATATACCCCTGTTTTGATTTGATTCTCTGACATATCCATTTTTTAGTACATTGGTACCCATTTTTTGCATTTGGTTTGAGTGATTCTATCATGATCTTGTTGGTTCTTGTTGCTAGTTTTTTGCTGTATTGTTCACGTTTGTTTGTCTCTGTTCCACCTAACCTAACCTTCTTCCAAATCCAAATCAAGGATATCTATCAGCTCCGAGTAAGATTCTGAGGTGATATCAATGCTGAAGCTTGATGTCTACAACCTGAGAAAGCGACACTCTACAACCTGAAAAAACCTGAAAAACTCATGCCGTTCCAGGCAACCAGACAACAACGAGGAAGCGAGCAAAGCCTGTGAAAACTTTTAGGCACCCAAGCTCAGCGTTTGGGGCGTCCACCTAGGCGGACGACAACCACGACGACCCCTTAAATTATGACCAGCTTTTGTCCTATTTTCTTGGCATCTTGCTCCCCTTTTGCCTTGTATTACCATGAAATACAAGTTGAAGGGGGTCGAGATGGCGGGGCCGAGACGGCCTCAAGCTGAGTCTAATTAAACGTCCTTGGGGCGCTCTGCCAAAGCCTAGCGGCCATCCTCGTGTGGCGGCGAAGTCGAGGCATCCAGTCCTATTCTACCGGTCCTATCTTATCAAAGCTGGAACGCAGAAGAAGCATAAAGCTTAGCTTGGTACTACTCTACTTTTAGATTGATGAACGCGAATTAAGTAGATATACACAATATTGAGTATGAAGAAAGAGAATAATCAGTGATCGGTCTGATCTCCTCTTATCAGTCTACCATGGCCAACACTTTGAGTTTCGTCGTCTCTTTATCATCGTCACCAACGAACATTAGGTAGTAATATGCAAGAACTGCTTCAGCAGGGGGAGTAGGTTCAAAAGGAAGAGGGAGACTGCGCAGAGCTCGCGCGGACTATTCACCAGTAGACCACTTCGCAAAAAACTTAGAAGAAGAGGCGAAGTAGGTAGTACTTCGTTGTCTCTAGAAGTTGTAAAAATATTGGTTTCATCTACTCTCTGATCTAGATCTTCTTATTAAGGTTTACCACAGACAATGCATGCTTCAGTACCATCCATGGCTCGTTTTCCAGTGGGAAAAGGCGCAGGGTTGATCTGAAGAATGCAATGGTGCAATATCTAATCTTATGGTGTGTGAAAGACGAGGCTTTCTATGTAGCTGATACATGAATGTCAACAGTTTCCTTCCTCTTCCAACGCGTTACATTCACACAGGTCTTGAGGAAACATGCGCAAAGAGACGCAGAGTAATAGATTTGTCGATTGCGGAGAATTATACGAGCAACAGCGTATGAAGTCAAGTTAGTATTGCACAGAGGAGGAGCGATTTTTGAAGAAGGTAGAGGTAGAGGAAGCAAGCCCAGTCGCAGAAACAAGGCTGAGAGCTGGTCTGCTTTTGAAGGTATTTATTATTATTCTAGTGGTAAACTACACTTGAATATACATTTGGGAGCTAGATTCATTGTAGTATTTTTTTGGCGATAAGTCTAGAAACTAGAGTTAGACTCTCTTCTGTGTAAGCTTTCATGATCGCCACGACCATGGCCACCCATGAGAACAAGAACTACTTTCGTCCATCAAAAGATACTGGAAATTCATGCGCCAACTGCTTCAGGCAATTCGAGTAGTGGGCTTTTCGATCATCAGCTACTCCTATCATCGCAGAAACAAGGTGGAGAGCTGGTCTACTTTTGAAGGTATTACTGGGCTACATTCTTTTCTGGGGACACATTTACTAGACGCACTTCTGGGGAAGGCTTCATGAGCATGACCCGTGATCGCCACCACGTTGAACATCTTCGTTATGATCGTCGCCAAAAAAAGGAAGTAACGTCAGAAATACAACTACTCTCCGACTACAAACACTTCCAATCCACCGACACCCGCAGGCAATTCGCGCAGTGGTTTTTTGGATACTATACCCTATCCCTACGGTCAAGCGCTACTGCAGTCGGGTAGGTGAGACGCGATTTTTTTCGGCTTCGGCAAGTCCTTTTTCATTGGTGAAGAGGAACCCAGGAGAAGAACTGACTCGTCGTTGCGAGATACTCAAGAGCGGTGCAAGTCTATTTTGTATTGGACTTGAAGATTGATCGCAGGTTTGTCTCAGATACTTAATCGTTTAAGCATATTGCTTCGAGTATGTAAAGCATGTTAAGCATAGCGTCTTGAGTATGTAAAGTGTGGTCACGCATAGAGACACCCTTTCCACGTTAGTTCCACGTTGGTATGTCTTCCCCGGTCTTCTTCTTGTGTCTTCTCCTGGATTGAACAAGTCAATGCGCTGTCCTACTTGTTCAGCAGGTAAGTGCTGAGCTTCGAGGAGCGCGAAGGGCTGTGACAGGAGTACTCATACGTGCACTGGCGCGAGCATTTTCAAGAACCGACACCGCCTGAGCAGTGAGAGTCTTTTTCCCAACCAGAGTTGTGAATACTGGGCGTGAGGTAATGAAATCCTGTTGAGATAGCCACGAACTACGTTAACAATGTCATGCTACTTTTGATGACTGGTGATGTGAAGGTACTCATATAGCCTGTCATGCTTTTTTTGCACTGGTCTGACAGCTGTTATCCTCCTCCGTAGACATCAGCGAGAAGTTTTCTTGGTGTTCTAGTCTTCTCATTTTCTTGCCAACAGCAGGTAGACAAAGAAAGGGAAAGCTCTGGATCTCATTTTGCGGGCGAGATTCTCGGAAAATTTACATTTTGTATCGAGGTGCGGAAATGAGAGGCACGAAAATAGAACCAAGTGGATCGGAATACTAGACAGTGCTGCCACGAAGAGAGCCGACCCCACTAGAATAGATAAGGCACTGAGAATCACTTAGCTCTCGTCTCCTCCATCAGATGGCGAAGCATTGTTGCTCTTCCATCCAACCATTGACGCCTTGGGCTCTTTTTTCGATTCAAATTCATACGTATTTCAACCTTGCACAGCAAACCAGGTAGAAAACTACGCTAACACTTGTCCGAGCGGGGAGAAAAGCTTAGTACTAAAAAGAAGCTCTTGCCGAATTTCTTGTGCAAAAATAAGAATGCACCGCAATCGGAATTTTTATATCAGCAAGCGGAAACGCGTTGCTGCGGCGAAGGGGTTACAAATAACCTGCATGACTGCCGCAGTTGTGTCAGTGCTGTGTTTTTGCTTCCACGCTTTCGTTTCTGGTTCTGGTGTTATGGCAAATTTTCGTGTGAGATGCAAGTGCAGCAAGTAAGAGCAGCGTCTTTTTTAGGCGAACATAGATGCACTCATGTCTTTTTATTATTGTTTCTAGCAGAACAAGCTAGAACGAAGCAAAGGCATCCCCGCCTCATCTTATCCTACCCTATCCTAGAACTAGAAGAGCCGGAGGTAAGGGCCCTTTTCTTACTTATTCCACTAACTTGCACCTATCTACGTGAGGAACGTGAAGTAAACTATTTCAGGACTTTACTCCGAGGATAATAAATATATTGGCAGGAAGATGGACCATGTTTCATTACCTAGAAATCACTTTAGAAATACTTCTGCGAAGCTAGATAAGCTGTAGTTAACTTTGTGGGAAAAGTAACTATAAAAACTTCAACTCTTCATCGTGAGAAACAGCAGAGAGGACTTCGGGGTGAGTTGGCTCGTCTATCTTGTTTATATCGCGGCAAACAGCTTCTAGAACTACTTACAACTACAGCTATTCACTTGAGATCTGTGCCTCTAGTGCTGTCCGGTTTTTTCTTAAAAGAAGTTCTAACATTGGCGCAGAGACGGATACTGTGGACGACCCTGCTTCGCCTTTCTCTCGTCCCTTATTCAAGACTGGCAACAAGACGCCGACCATCTATGAGGATAGCAACACTAAGGCTCAACAAAGCGAAGGAAGTATGTTGTTAGATTTAAGCTCAGCCTTACACTGTCTTAGACTTTTAGAATTAGAAAGCTTTCAGCAGCAGCTTCTGTCATTTTTCAGACCATTGGAAGTAGCTAGGTGAAGGCCTCACTTCAAACATTTTCTTTCCATCATATTCGCAATGCCTTGTTTCTAACCCTCGCTACTTCCTGGAAACGCTATCCGATCGAGCGGTTTACTCGAACAACGTTCGCAGCGCGGATTTTTTGGATTACAGATTGGATTCTGGCAGCGTCCACAATGCAGATTTTTTGGACCACAGCGTTGAAGATAATGCAAACGCCTTCAACCTTTTGAACGACGAGGACACATCATACATGGATGACAACTCTCACGCAGCTGGTGCAGACGCGCCTAGTGCTGTTGGAGTAAACGCGACTACTAGTGTTGGAGATGTTGTTGATGGGGCCGCTTTTCTGGATGTGGGGTATCAGGAAAAACCTAGGTTAGGGAGCAGGGGGGAGATGAGTGTGATGCATTTAAAGTACAAAGTAGACGTGTGCTCCCCTACTCGCAGCGCTCCCACTTCTGAGCCGTTAGGGGAGTTCGTAAGGGATCGTAATAGATGCTGTAAAGACTCCTGTAACTTTATCATAGAGGGGATGTATGAGGTTGAACTTGAAAATGATGAGGTTGAGATCGTCCATCACGGTTTTGAGCTCCTCTTGGCAGGGAATTCAAGATCAGAAAGACCAGATGAAAAGTCTCAGTGGCAGGCTGTAACGAAGTCAAATTTGGGCTCCATGGATGAGGCCTCCATTGCGATTTTAGAGGAGTTCCTCCACATGGCAGCTAAGTCGCATTTTGATTCGCCTACGAAAGAACACGGACGCCAAGTGCTGGTTGGCGTTGATTTCATAGCCCAAGGTGAGAATCAAAAAACGATAACTCTTGCTAACGGTGAGGCAAAAAGTGAATATACTTACATGTATTTCTGGGAGATGTGCGAAGTGTATGATGGGCATGAGCCGACTGCGGCGTCAGCTGTGTCTGCATCTAATGGGGCTGCTCAGGATAAGAAAGTAGCACTTTCTAGTTTTTCGTGTCGTGCGAATTTTTTACCGCAGCATCTAGAGCACGAATTTCTCGCATTTCGCGGAAGGAAAGATGTTCTACAAATAGAGGGGTTAGCGGATATAGCGAAAGCGACTCATGACACGTCCACCCCGTTCACATATGCCAACGTGGTTCAGGTGTTTGGTGACTCTTTTCGCGAGCACGTGCTGACCGTGTGGTGCACTGTAAGTAAAGAGATAGGCTTCAGTATGGGCCATGTGCGGGACCTTGAGTCATTGTTTATTGATTTTCCTCTAGCTCTACGCCTTCTAAGCCGGAATAAAAAATGGTGGATGTGGCGTACGAAGTGGGACTCAAACACGGAGCAAAGGCATCCTCCACTGGTGTTTAGTTTCGTGGGCGGTAGTAACCCATCTGTGAAGCCTCTTGGTTTTGATTTGGTTTCGGATGGTCATAGCAGCGAGGTGTTGTCACGATATTCGGATAAAATAGCCGACTACCATAGTTATATCTCGTTCAGGCAGATGGAGGCCAGGAGCCCCGCTGCTGACCTAAAGAAGACAATTTCAGGCCTAGAGTTTGACTTCGTAGGTCGTGTGGTATCGGCTAAGGGGGTGAAAGCGGGCCTTCCTAGTACCGGATTACCAAGTCAAGATGAGCAAATGCAAAATGCTGTCCCCTTCTATGACATTTTCCGACTTCATCGCGCTCATCTAGACATTGCTCAAATGGATCCCTCTTCGAGCAATCTCAATTTTGTTGATTATCCTCCTGGGAGGGGCGATGAGAGTCAAGCAAGCAAAAGCCGTATTCAGATTTCAGATGTTGAGACATTTCTCCTCCGCCCTTCTGTGGGTCTCTGTAGTGGTAAGAGTAATCAGGCCCGTTTTCCCACCCAGCTGGAGTGGGGTCGCATTCGTGCCGTCAGTCCATCAAGGAAAGGGTCCCCCAATTATGAGAGACAAGGAGCAGACGAGGTTATTGCCCCCATGATCGAAGCCGGGGAAGACGCCTCAGTAGTGACACTCGCGTTCGGGCCTTCCTCTCCTAATGGAGAGGAAGCTGCTGCGCAAGTGTTTTTAACCACGCGTGTCTCGTCCGCGGTTGTCAGGAAGCCTCTTCTCAATCAAGAGGCGGCAACGTCTGAAAGCTACAAGGGTGCGCTGCGTGCATATAATAGTGTAAAGCAAGAAGCAGGCGACACCACGTGGAGCCAATGGAGCCTCAGCGGATGGCTTGTTCGGCCTGAGCGAAAAGACAGGGTGACAGAGATGAGTGGCTTCGAGTTTCGCTTGGTGGGTAGTTTGGGTGAGGGAAGTGCGGGGGTGTTTCAAGGGATAGCGAATACAGGTCAAAGTCATGCCTTATCCCTTTCAGTGTACCAGCTGCATCGCATCAGGATGGACTTAAAGCCCTTAGATTTAAATGACAACTACTCCCTAGTTTACAGGGAAGAGCCAGGGGCGCCACGGTTTGAGCTTTCGTCAGACAAGATGTACGTCCTCGCTAATGCTCAGGGGGCGTGCGATGACAGGTCAGCGACAGTAGAGAGAAGGTGCACGCTCTCATTGCCTAGCGCGACTCAGGCAGAAAAAATTGCCAAGGGTTTGACATATGAGAACCTTTGGTGCGGCCTCAGGGGAGCGCTTAACACCGACCCTGAGGGGATTAGTGCCCTTTTACCTAATGCAGAAAGGTGGGCCCCTAGTCCACTTGTTATCACTGAGACGCTCGTCTTTGATTATGAGACCGACCTGAAAGGAATTCTAGACTTGGAGTCGAAGGCCTTAACAAGTGCAGGCGTACTTAAACCGGGTTCGCTCACGGCCAACTCCAAGTCTTCTCGTCTACTGCGGAAGATTGGCTTCAACGCCCGTCTCCTCATGGATGGGAATTCCGTCAAGAAACTACAATCGCTTCTCAAGGCTATAGAGAGTTTTGACGCAGGTGAGAGTGCTATAGAGAGTTTTGATGCAGGTGAGAGTTTCGGTGGTCCGTCTTCCTTTTTACTACAAGAGGAAGGCACGTCGAAAATAGACGCAGGACTAGCACCAGCGCCCAAGAGTAGCAGGCCCGAAAATGGGCAGTGGAAGCTGCCGCCCATAACATCCGGAAGCCGTCCATTTCAATCGGGACACCCGGAAGCGCCCGTCCAGCCAATCGACCCGGCAGGGGGTCCGCCGGCTTCTGGGCATGGAGGTCGAGCGGCTCCAGCTGGACAGCGGACGGTCCGAGGCTTGCGTGGACGCCTTGCCCCGCTTCTTTCCGCCCCGGGTACAGTGACTGCTCCTTTGACAAAGCGAAGCAGTGCCAAGGGCAGTCGGCGAGGTTGCTTGGGGGTTTCGCGGCTTCGGTTTGACTATATAGGGGGCGTCAGTTTTCCCGTTATGCCTTTCATGGGGGACAGGGGCACTCAGGATGCCGCCCGTTTTGGAGAAGTCTCCTATCTTGTGTTTCAGCTGCGTGGCATTGATGTCGACATATCCGTAAATGCTTATGACGGTGCCAACATGGCTTTTGCACTCGGTGATAGATCTCAGGCTTTTCGATCTAAATTGGGGCGTGGCGCTTTTCTGCTATATTTTTTGACCAAGCCGCCTCGAAGAGGTAAGCGCGATCTAGGCCTGTGCCGTGACGCTGACTTTGAGTTTCTGTGGCTCCGTTTTGCCACAGATTCTGAGGCGGAGGCCCTGCAAGGCCTGGCCAAACAAGGGCAGGGATCAGTCGTAAATCCAGGTAAGCAAAAGGCTCAGGTTAGCACTTGGGGGGGTACTAGTATTGGCGCGGCCCTCGAAATGCAGCGGAAAGAGGATATGGATAGGGCTACAAAGGCTGTGCGCCTTGTGTTTGCGTCTAAGCCTAGTGCAGGCGGCGACGCGAGGGAGGAGGGTGAAGCAGGGGCGTCTTGGGCTGGCGTGCCTTTACACATGGAGGAAAGCACGAAGAAAAAGATGGAGGCTTTGAAGAGCTACGTTCTTCGCTATAACAATAATAGAGGGGGAGGGGGGCTAATCATTAGCGGCGCCGAATATCGTGTGATAGGTAGTTACCAAAGCGTTGCCGGTGCGACTAAAAGTCGAAACATGCAGGAAGATCTCCTAGTCTTCACGCCTCAAAAGGACGATCAAAATACTAGCACAAGCAACGCCGAAAAGCTTGTTTTCAAGTTTTGTCATATCAGTTTGGGCCCCGGGCCGGAAGTTGTGGCGGCTGCACCAAAAGGAGCTGCGCGCTTTGACTTTGAAGTGTCGTCAGATGCGTGGTATATACTTCTTTGGCGGTCACAGGAGCCCGGGAAAGGCGCCTCTCACTTTGCCTGGAGATTTGCTACTGCAAAGGAAGCAAAAACTATCTCCAGGGGGACTGCCGTGGATGTAGACTAGAGAGAGTGCGGTCGCTTCTTCTTGTAAAAAAGGAGATGCGGCCGTGCCTATGGTTTCTAGTTTGAGGGGCAGTTAGATTTATAGATGTAAAAGTATGTGTAGGTCGTGGAAGGATGGGGCGAAGCAATGGCATCGGGATGGGGTTTTGTCTTGTTGTTTGTTTTTGCTGCATGAGCTTTTTTTCTGGAGTTTTTTTTTCTTGGAAGGTTTCGGGCTGTAAAACTAGAAGTGCGGGCTGTTGGGAATTAATAGCATTGAGGCGGGGCGGGTGGTGATTGAAAAAAAAGGGGAGGCTTCTTGTATGTGTTTTGTATACGGAGAGGGACTAAGACTTAGATCAAGGTCAATAGATCGGTTCCTAATACGAGTTCTACTTTAGTTGTTTGGGGAAGCAGGGAGTCGACATTGGGAATGGATTTTGGTTCTTTGGGAAAATAGTTGTAGTTTGTGGTTGCAAGTTATTAGGAACAATGGGAAGATGAGGGCGGGCCTCGTATACATATTGTTCAATATTGTAGGGTAGTTGCTAGACCTAGACGGGCCTGAGAGGGCAAAAGGGCTTTGGATGGTGTTGCGGATTGGGAGGGTAAGCAGAAGCGAGGGGACAGGAGTAGGTCTTGGGAGGGTGAGTACTACAAGGGCCCGCGAGGATGTATAGAATTAGGGCTTGGAAGGGTAAGTACTGGAAGGGCGCGGGAGGGTGTGTAGAAGTAGGTCTTGGGTGGAGGGTAAGCAGAATGGTGGGTGTGGGAGTATTAGTAGGCCTTGGAAGGGTAAGTCCTAGAGGTTCGGGAGGGCGTATAGAAGTAGGTCTCCGGAGGGTAAGTACTAGCAGGGCTCAGGAGGATGTATAAAAGGAGGGCTTGGGAAGGTCAGTAGGAGGCTGGAAGGCGAGGGTATCAGTAGGTCTTGGGAGGGTCTAGTGGCGGGGTAGTGTATATGGAAATGGTAGGGTAAGAATTAGAAGAAGGGGGGGAGGGTATCGGGAAGGGTATAAGTGGGTTATGGGAGGGTGCATGGGTAAAGGCTAGAGCAGTCAGTGCGGCATCTGTTGGGCAAAATGAGGGGAAAGTGGGTGGCACGCTAACCGGGACATTATCGTTAAATCAATGCCTTACACTCTTTGGCTTTAAAGTTATTTGATGTCTTGTTTCCTTGGGTGATAGTTGTCGTCCAAATGTGGCGTCTTCTAGTATCTATTCGTCTCAGGACGTGGTGGCGCAGTCACTGCAGTCGCGAGCCCGGTCACCGCTCAATCCTCGCGGAGGCCCCCTGAGTGAGTGAGTGAGTTAGTGAGTGAATGAATACCGAAGCGGACGATCGGCATCCATCTTCATCTTATCAAGCAATCAGTCTTACTATGGTTCCTAAGTGCTTACTATGATCCTTAACTTTTTGGGCAGTTTGGGTGATCCTTATCCTATGTGTGCAATTATTTCTATGTGGGCAGGGAGGGAGGAGCAAGAGCCTTATTCTATGTTGTGGGCGGGGAGGGAAGAAGAGCAGTATTCTATGTCGTTGGCGGGTAGGGTATATTCTATGCCTTGGGCAGGGAGGGGGCAAGAGCCTTAGTCTATGTCGTGGGCAGTTAGTGTGGAGCAAGAGCCCTATTTCTATTATAAATATGTTGTCGTGGGCGGGGCGGAGGGAGCAGCGACCTTATTCTATGTTGTCGTGGGCAGGGAGGATACAAGAGCATTGCGCGCTGTCATGGGCGGGGAGGATACAAGAGCCTTGCTCGGTTTGGAGAGGAAGAGACGCGAGGGGGATGTGTCTCGTTTTTCTCTTCCAGCATGATACCAAGAAACTAGACGGAAACTGGCTAGGAAGTATTTCGAATCGTATCTATGTGCATTTTTTCAAATTCATTGTTAGTCTACTCAAGAAGTTCCAGGAGATGTAGAACTGCGCTCTTCATACGTCTTGCATGATTTCAAATTTAGACTTATTGTCTATTACCATTTCGACTATGATGAAGATAAATGTAATAGAAGAGTAAAACAGATCATGTTGGAAATTTGTATGGTGTTCCAAGAGGCGCCATAGCAAGTCAAAGTGATGATCTTCATGTGCAGAAGTTTTCTTAGTATTAAAAGTGTACAGTTGCGTCTAAGTTGTACAGTGTCGAAGTCTAAGAATCTCCAAGGTCAATTTTGATGTTGCGTAGACAGACTTGCTGAAAACGGAGGCGCACAGGGTACAGACCTGAAAAGCTTGATGAACAGGAGAACCAATGACTATCCAATAAAGGGCTGAATAGTAATTATCCAACTTATACAGTTTTGAATAAATTTTCCGTTTTTGGGAATCAATAACATGCGCAAAATTGGGAGGGTTTTTTTATACTTTGATCACGATGAGCTACAAGACATTGGGAAACTCTGGAGCAACTAATGAATTTCGTTTCGAGCATCAACATTTCAGCATATATTATACAACTGACAGGAGCGACAACATCATCATTAAGATTTATCACGAGCAAGATCGTGCCCGTAGTTCAGATTGTGGCTGTATCGAATTGCAGGTGCCAAAGATGAAGAAATGACTAGCACGCAATGACCCCGCAAACTACATCCAGCCTCAGCGTCTGCTTGCTCTCTGGTTGCGGCGCATTCGCTATTTAGTTGCAAGAATCCACTAACAAAAACGCACAAGGTAAGTACTACGAAGGAAACCACTCAGCGCTCGTTTCTTTGATTCTTGAGGAAGTATGCGCTGACTCTTCACATAGCGGGGCTGTGTCGTTTGCATAGTCGCCGAATCATGGGTAGGCGTGTAGGCGACTTATGACGACAAAGCAAATGCCACAGCGCTGGGCATAGTTGCAATGTAGAGAAGCAAAACCTGCCAGGTTCTCGAGGAGCTTGGACAGCTACACGCCGCCTACCATCTAAGGGCGTACTCGCTTCATATGCCTGCGAAAAAATTGTGACTAGCTGTGAAGTAAGTGCGCTGTCTCTACTAGAGTGCAGGCTTGTAAACTTGCGGCCTTCGATCTCTTTTTTTCCGGCAGTTGAAAGGCGAACGCGCTTGCAAGGGGTTACAACAAAAAAAAGCCTGGAAAGGCTCAGATAAATCGTAGCCACTTCTTGGGCTGAGTCGTCCTGCCGGGCGTAGTTAGCTTCGATAGGTTGAGAGCCGCAGTCTGTATGCAGGCGAGGAAGCTAGTGCAACTTTTTAGAGTACGAAGTAAGGCAGTGATCGGCAAGGACAGAAAATGGGAAAAAAAAATCGTCATTAGAATTTCTTACTTTTGTCTTTGTCATGAAATTAAGTGAAAAGCTAGCATATCGCCGCTAGCTTAACGCAACAGTTATCGAGGATAATTTTTGATGATCAAAAATGGAACGGGCCTACTTGTGCTACGCAAGAACAGCACGAGAAGGCCTCCCACACTGGCACAGAAGTATCAAATTTTTTCGGGAACAGATGAAGCACTCCCCATTTCATGAAATGAAAATCAGCAGCAGTAGTGGAACTAGAAGAAGATAATTACTCCAATTTTTTCCCAAGTAGTAAGGCGCCCCTACTCTGTAAGGCTTGCACCTTTGTGCCGGATTGCATTTGTATAGAATTATGCAAGTGGCATAGAATGCAAGTCACGAAGCCCTTTGCAGCTCCCTTCTTGAAGAGCTTTGAATTAGATTCATATTTTATGACGCTTCTTCGCTGTAGTTGTACTACCAGTACCTACTGGCACTATTGTTGTCCGCGAAAAGAAGTATCAAGATATGTACTCCTGTTGGACCATTCGAACACAGACTGCTAAGTCGCGTCCAGTTTCTCGGTGAGAAACACTTGGGAGTGATATACTATAGCTTGCACAGTTTGCACTCACAGCCTGAGACTAATGATCTCTGGCTGCTTTGATCCCTGTGGATGTTCATTGGGGTTGCAAGGAGGAGGCCTCAGCTTCATCGGGATATCGTGTCGCATGGGGAAGCTTTCATATGCTTCATATGGATTGGAAACGCGTATGCTATCATCATTGACTCCGACGACCTTCCTACGTTGATCCTCATCATTGGTCAGAACTTGACAAGACGTTATGGACCTGGCTACAGCTATGAAACATTCATCATGTCCGCTATCTGAATACGTTGAGGGCCCTTTGCCTGATGATCGTTGATTTTGGAACCATATGCATTTAGGTCTGTAGGTTCTCACTCTTTGAGATCATTCCGGTGCTGTTTTGTCCTTGACTGTATTGAGAGGCTTGAGCCACAAACGAGAGAGAGAGGAGAAGCCAGAGACACCCGCGCGACGGTAAACCCGTCGGGCGTTTGGATGGTGCTCCGGTAACCTTTTGCCTGGCGATCTTGGTCATTTCGTTGATCTTCATCCTTGTGATCTTTGTGATTCTTCTAGGATTATGAACTGACCAACGCCCCTCCTCAGTCGTTGCGTGTCGAAGTCGAAGTCCCTAGGCTTCTGGACTACTACGGAAATCACATCTCCTAACTACTCTTTTATGGCTACGGTATACTCGGCTAGAAACCAAAATAAACCGAATATACTACGCTATAGGAAGCTAAATCATCCCCATCCGTGTCATCGTCTGAGGAGTCACAATCATCATACTCAACTTTATTTATCGGATTATCTATATGGTGAAGCAGTAGTCTACGTTGAGACGAGCTACGTTCTAGCCTAGTTAAGCCGTCAGCCTTCATTAAGTTAGTTGGACAGAAAACTATCTTACTGGCCGCATCACGCACACGCAAGTAGCGAAGTGCATAATGGCGACTCTTCGGGCGTGTGTCAGTTGCTTTGGCTGTTGTGGTCGCGGATTGGTTGCCGATCCAGAGCGCAGCATTGTCTAAAGAGGGAGGCAAGCCGTTCTGTGTGTGTACCAACTGAGTTGGCAGAGGCCTGTAGAAGTCTGTAAAGTCATGCAGTTCACTAAGCGCGATAGTGTCAGAAGCTGCAATATATTCACTTTCAGCCGTAGAATAGGCGCGGGCAGTTTGTCGGTTACTTCTCCAAGCGATTGGAACGCCTTTGAAATACATGACCGATCCCCTTGTGCTTCTCATAGTCTTTACGCAGTTGGCGAAGCCTGCATCACTAAAGATATTCACGTCTTACGAAAGTAAACCCCGGGACCTTTTTGCTGTCGAGTTAGAAACATTTTTTCCAAATTTTGACAAATTTTGACAAATTTTGGGATATTTTGACAAAGCGCAAAAAATTTTTTGGCCAGGGTTGTCATAATTTTGACAAATTTTGGCAAATTTTGACAAAGCGCAAAAAATTTCTTGGCCAGGGTTGTCATAATTTTGGCAAATTTTGAGAGAGCGCCAAAAACTTCCTGGCAACTTTTGTCATAATTTTGACAAATTTTGACAAGTTTTGACATAATTTTGGCAAATTTTGACAAAACTCAGATGAGGCTTTGGCATCACTTTGCCAAACTTTGACAAAAATTGGCCACAATTTAGCAAAATTGGAGGAGCTTGAAAACTCGACCAAGGAACCTGGAAGCTCAAAAAACCTGGAACCCTTGGCCAAGGGACGACCCCCGGGCGGTTGTACCTATTTGGGGCGCTTGGCTGCGGGGTCTGTCCCACTGATCAGACTCGTCGGACCGCGTCGACAAACTTGGAGCGCTTGCCCGTGGGATCTGCTTGGCCAGAGTTGTCAGACCGGTCGCGTCGCCTCTTTTGGATTCCAAAGCCCAGCAAACTCGGGGCGGGTGCCTGGCTGACGGGTCTGGTTTGATAAAGGAGGCGGCTGGGGTTTGGGAGATGCAGCGCTTGACGAACACGCCCGGGCACCCCAGCGGTGGAGCCAGGGCTGGCACTGGTATCCACCGCTGGGCATCGCTTTGAAGGTATCCGCGTGCGCTGCGGGTCGTGCCAAGATTCATCATGGGGCAGACATTTCGGGGCTTTGGCGTGCGGCGCTTGATAAACACGCCCGGGCGCCCCGGCGGGGTCAGGGTTGACACTGGTGGCGGTGTCCCCGTCAAACGCGGGGCTTCGCTTTGTGTGTGTCTTTCCCCGCCTTTGTGTTGCGGTTCTTGCGCCCAGAAGGCGACCCACCGGCTTGGTATGGGGCCGCACGTTCTTCATTTGCGTGCGAGCTGTTTGCTTATCTTCATCTCATGGGAATAGAAACCGCCGGACCATATTCGTGCGAATGCAAGCCCCCACGTGCATAAAAATGAATCCCAACGCACGGGCGTGCTCGGTCTGAGATTATACCTATGCCCTTTCGGTCGTGTCAGTCAAAGTCTATCGGCCTTCAGCCGCTGCTTGTGTTTGTGAAGTGTTGCAAGCCTTGGAAGTATGAAGCTACTGGGCCTTGTGCTAAGTTCTGGCGGTGTGGTGCTGATAGATGGCGCCCAATGTTCAAAGGTGACGGGAGAGAAATTCAGCGTGAGAGTGGAAGTCTGTCAGTGCTGGACTGGTGAGGTAGTTTCAGCGTGAGAATGGAAGTCTGTTAGTGCTGGAATGGTAAAAAAATTCAGCGTGAGAGTGGGAGCCTGTCAGTGCTGGAGTGGGATCATGTCAGTGCGATCCGCAAATCCGTGAGAGTTTCTATGTGCGATCCGTAAAAGTTTCAGTGTGATAATGTCCGTTCTTGCTGGAATAGGATGGAAGCTCGAGCCGTATCCCTTTGCGCTAGGTCAGTGCTGGAATGGGATGCGTGTGCGATCCGTAAAAAGTTCCAACGTGATAATGTACGTTCTTGCTGGAATAGGATGGAAGCGCGAGCCGT